ATTGTACAAAAATAACTGAACAAACATTTTTTAAAAGACAAGTTAACCAAATACTATATTATATACAGTATATATTCTATAATCAAGGACAAGTTATTATATTTTTATAATAATTTAATATTTGATAAAATGTTATTACATATTATTTGAATAGATTTTCATAACACTAAAGACACTTAAATTGTTTGCAAATCAATATAAACATTTAATGTATTTGTTTGTGTATGTGAAATATTTTTTAACATAATTATTTATTTAAGCATTGTCAAATACTTGTTTTAATTATTAATACAGTATATTAATAATTATATTTTTAAAGTATTGTACTGAAATTTATTATATTAAAAAACAATAAAATAAAATTGAATGTCATATTATTACAGCAAAAATAAACTAATAACATAAAAACAGAAAATATTTCTTTAATTTATAATATATTTATACATATACTGTATATACCATATATATTTCATAATAGCTTTTTATTGATTTCATAATTTTGAAAATTAGTTATTCTGTAAAATAAGATTTTCAAATGAAAAAAATAATCCCTCAAAAAATAAAGTTTATTTAAGTATATTATAATGTATTTTAGTCTAATATTCAGTACGTTTTTAAGTATTTTTAACTATATAAAAGAAATCATTAAATGTTACAGTATTTAAAATAAACAAAAATCAAAATATGGTATAATATATTGTTTATTAAAATACTATTTTTAAAAGCATTTATCTAAAGTTAAAATCTAGTAACACGTATACATTCATACAATATATGCTAACATCTATAGACACATACCTAACAACACTGTTAAAGCCAGTGTGACATTCATCGTATGTTTCAATGATAATGACTTTATTTTCAAAGCCATTGCATAATCAATATTTCGCAATACATTGCAGTCATATTTGTGGGCAATGCAGTCATTAATAATAGATTGTATATACAGTAAGTGTGACCAAACAGTAGAGTGTAATCCAATACAAATTTTTTAGTCTTTCACTCTGTTGTAATCTAACAATACAATTACAATTTTAAAGGTTTTATTATAGAATTATTATCTTGGTTAATTGAAAATTTTTTAATATTTATTATTTCCTAATTAAATGATTAATTTTTGTCAATTTGTCCAGGCAAATCACCAAATCATTTGATAACTATAAATACATTATACATTTATTCCTCATCTTTTTTAATSTCTCTCTCTCTCTCTCTCTCTCTCTCTCTCTCTCTCTCTCTCTCTCTCTCTCTCTCTCTCTCTCTATCACTCTATCACTCTATTACTAAATCAGTCAAATAAAGTATATAATAACTCAATTTACGCCCTGAGTCTGTCTCATGTTTGTATTATATGTAATATATTGCAAATATGAGTCTATAAATTAAGTTACTGTCTATGAGTTAAAATAATAATAAATTAATGTTAAATATATCAGAAATTATATTTTATTATCGGTTTTTAGTAGAGCTTGTAATTCAACATATTATTTTACAGTTTATTTACTACTATATGATATAATATATTATACTAAGATTATAATTATACTATAACATAATGTACCTTTATTATTATTAAGTTATATAATAGTAACCTTTAATGCACTGATAGGGTTTAACTCATTTATTATCAATTATGCTATATATTTATTAGTGACATAGAGTCTAACAATTTTTACTGATTATTGAAACGTTTATTATTAAATCATAAATAATAACTAATCAATAAGTAAGTTATTAGTTAAACAAAGTGTGTTTCAATATATATGATATTATACTCAGTGAACCAAAATATCAGTAAATCATATCTATTAAGTTAATCAGTTAACTAATATATCTGATAACCCCTGCAAAACAAATGCCAATCTATGATATCGATGAGTTTAATCCTACATTGAATTGCAAATAACATTAAAATTGATTAAACTTAGACTTATATATTCTAAGTTTTGTGTTGATACAGTCGATAATAGATATATTGTACAGTAATATAATAATATACCGTATATACAGATTATATCAGTATTTATTTGTTTTTTAGTTAACAATTAGTTTTTTAAATAAAAGTATGCAAACTAAGGCTTATGACCAAAATTAGTTTGATTTTAAAATTAATACCTATTTACTAAACCGTAGACATGAATACGTTAGTCACATAAAAATAATAAAATAAAATACATTTATTAATGCCTTTTAGTTTTAAGGTAAACCAGTTTATGATACAAATTATAGTAACATTATTCACATACAAAAGATAAACATTAAAAAAATTAATAATAAAATTAAGATTTTTATGATATATAATATGATAATATTTAACATATTCATGAATTATATTATACTGTATTATACTTGTTATGAATATATATTAGTTAATTAATAATAATAAAAACTTATATATTTTTACAATAATCAGTCGTTGACTGTATTGTCAGATATTATTTAATTTTTGTAAACATTTTTGTGATCCGTAGAGCTGTAAACAAGACTATCAGTCACTATAGGTTTTACTTAAATATTTCATATATATTACAATTGAAAATCATTTAATATTACAATACTATGCTGACGACGACAGCGGCTATGCTATTAATTTCAATTATATGGTCAACAATASRTTAGATTTAAAAGTGACCAAGGGCAATGTTTTAGATAATTTTAAACTGGGTAAGATTGTAATTGGTCTTTTTTTAATTAATTATATGATTGGGCAGATAATTGCAGTCGAGTATCATTTTTACAATTTTTTAACAGTCGTCTGTATATTATATAGCCAATGATGCAATTAATTAAAAAATGACCAATTACAATCTTATCCAGTTTAAAATTATCTACAACATTACCCTTGGTCAATTTTAAATCCAACGTATTGTTGACCATATAATTGAAATTAATAGCATCGCCGCTGTCGTCGTCGGCGCCGCTGTTTAAGACTCTCTCAATTAAATTTAATAAACTGGCAGTAAATATACTGTAATTGTTATATATGTAATATATAGCTTAAAATTAAATATATTGTTTAAAAAATAAAATTTAATTGTTTATATCTCATATACATAAAAAAATCATTTATAATAAAAATGATATGCATAAAATTGAATATATTTGAATTGAATAATTTTTAAGCTATTTATAATTTAATTATAATTTGTTCAAATTGCCCTTAAAGTCATTGGTTTTAATATTTATGACAAGTGTCTAACCATAACAACAATTTTTTTAAACACATTCATTAATCAAATTAATTATACCACAAAAATTTTTATAATTAGTAAATAATGTGAAATATTCAACATAGAAATCTGTTTATAATTTTTATTAAATTTTGTAACCATTTTTTTAATAAATACAGTAGTGTTTAATAATAATAATAATATTTTTATTGAGACATATTTTTATATATATATTAATAGATATATAGGCAATCGGTTTGCACATAACTACCAGAGCTCAATGGCACAAATATACTCTATATTATACAGTAGTTTATAATATATAATATTCTGTATTATTTATTCCTATTATCTATTTTGATAGATTCGTTACAAGATTAGCACTAGTAGTTCATAGATGGTGTTCACATATTTATGTAGTACTACTGTATAGCAGTTGTAATACTGTAGTAAATGTTAATAAAGCAATGGTTAATGTATTGCACAACTTTTGTATTGAATAGGATAACTAAATATTCTAAAAATATTAGTTATATTTATATAATATTATTGAACATAATATACATTATTAACTTTATAATAGTTAAAACAAAAAGTTAAGTCACAATAATTTTATACTAATTAATAAACATAATTACTATATAAGCATAATTGATTCATAAACATATATAAATTTTTAACACAAATACTGGTAAAAACTATTTTTTTAWAAATAATCAAGCAAAAAATTGTTATCATTAAATAAAATAAACATATATATATATATATATATATATATATATATATATATATATATATATATATATATATATATATATATATACCTATACTTTTATATTGATTGGTTGTTATATTTTAGTTTTAAAGTAAAATAATTTGTGACACTTAACTGGATAATTGATTATGAAAAATGAAAACAAAACAATTAGTATGATGTTTGGCAACCCTACTGTAAATCAATTGCGCAATGCATTTGACAGTACTATACAATGTATTGAAAAGTTGTTTACGTTTTATTAAATGCAAGTTTTGAGCTATAGTTTAGACTGGTTTTTAAAATACTGAGCACACAGTCAGTGAGTGTGTGTACAGTATGTATGTGTAATGTTTGAGTCAGTGATACAACAGTGGATTCAATACATTATACAGTTTGGTTCATACAGTGCTTAGTGCTGTCACTACTATCGGTGCTATTTGTAGTTAAAATACACATAACATAACATAACAGCAGTGAAAATATAATATAATATTTTTTCTCATATAATATATTAAAAACATTATTATATGTTTTGTACACATATTTCACAGTGTTTTCATTGAGCAAACCATTTGCCAACAACACAATCGTTGCCTTTTTTTTCAATAGTTAGTGACCAACGATGACCTCAAACACAAACAWCATCTTATGATCCCTTGATATATRAGTGTCGGTCGGTGTGTGAGTGAGTGTGTGATCACCGGTAATGACCAACCGTTTAGTGCAATACATAGTTTAATATACATTAGAGTCCATCAATAGAGTAGTCAATCGTTACGTTCAACGCATTTGAGATACTATTTCGCAATCGACTGCAGTGTTGAGCAAATTATTATTAATATTATATTATTATTACTGTATTATTGAAATGAGAGTTAATATGATTTTATTAGACATTTGTTGTTAATATAAATAAATAAATAATTGAGTTATCGTTTGAAACAATTTTATATATTTGTTATTCATTTTGTTATCAATTGAAATGAAGTCCTAATTGTTATGATAGTTATGTCACATAATATATATATATATTATTGATATTAAATTAATGTTAAATATGATTATATATTAATTTAATACTTATTTTACGGTCAATTGATTTGTTAATACTGTTGTTGTTGTTGTTGTTGTTGTCCCGTAAATCAAGTCTGTCAGCCGATTGTCTCTTGAATTGGACAAACATTTTTAGTCCTTAAAGATTGTTTCAATAATTTTGTTGACAGTCAAAGAAGATGATGACATTTGCTGCCAATCATAACGATAACAGTGACCTAAGCGGTGTTGTCGGCGGTGAGCGACACATGGATCAGATGAAAGACTGTACACAAAACAGAGACATTAGAAATATGCGAAATTTGGCCGAAAAACAGAGGAGAGACAAACTCAACGGTTATATCAACGATTTGGCTAATACTGTGCCGTTGGTCACCGTCTCATCCAAACGGCTCGACAAGACTTCAGTGCTCAGACTATCGGCCGCTTATCTTAGACTAAATAAAAGTATTTCTTAATTTTTTTATGATAATTATTTAGCAATTAATGTATTTGTTTTATTAACCAATTTATTTGTCTTATCAAATGATAGCGGCGTTGACTCTCCGTAAAAGTAAGGCCAAGAAATCGTCGTCGACCGGACAGTTGTGGCGACCGCCGAAATTTCAATTCAATCATTTACGGGCATTGATTGATGTAATGATTGATTTATTATAAGTGTTACTTTTGTTTTTATTTAATGATAAATATTAGTTTTTAATTACCGGTACATATCTGTAACAAATTTATCTTTTTTTCAGTTAATACATATTATGTATTTTGTGTAATAACAATATATTTTATAATATATTGTTTTGAAAATATCTTATTATTATTTAACTATAATTGAAAAACGAGTTTTTAACAAATTTTCGCAATTCAATGAATACTAATTTCCTTTATTTTACTATTAAGTTATTGTTAGTGTTTAGTTTACCTGTAATATGTATAATTAAATATTGTGAAATTTAAGAAATTTTAATTTTAAATTAATTGTAAAATTGTTTTTTTTATTTTTTTGGGATTTGTTGTATGAATTAGTCTGTCGAGGGATTTATTGTGGTGACCACTGGCTACGGAAAAATTATTTATGTCTCGCATTCCGTCGAAAACTTTTTGGGTCATCAAAATGTGAGTCGAATTTAATTAATATATATTTATTATTTAATGATATTTTATATTTTACGGTACTTATAAATTATAATTGTGTTTGTAATATATGTTATCATTTTTATTTCTTTATTTTACTTTTTATTTATTTTAAATTAATGATTGTGAGCTTAATTTATTGCTTTTTTATTTTTTGCATTAAATTAAATTATTAAAAATAATACAATAATAATTATAAAATAAGGGGAATATTTATATGATTATAATAAGAATTTTTTTAATCCTTGAATATTTTTCATTTATAGTAATTATTTTTAAAAACATTGAAAAAAATTATTGCATACGAAATTGTCTTTTTAATTAAAAAATGTTGATAGATGAATTTGTAAAATATTCAACTAGAATTGGTGTCAATTTAATATCTAATAATAACATTATTATCATTAAAATTATTTGTGCATTTATATAAATTAAATTTTGTTTTAACTAATTTTTCATGCATTACATAATATATAGTTTTATTTCCTTTTATATTGACATTTAACTGATTTATTTTTTAAATATTATTTAAAATTGAGTCTTTAGACTTACACACTAAACGTAAATATTGTATTATAATTTACTTTTTTGTAAAAATATATTAAAAATTAATAATCATTTAGTTAAAATATTGCAAAATATGTCTATGGACAAATCGAGCTAAATCATTTTGTAGATTTAATAGACATTTAATTTGTATTTTTCATTTTTATAGCACTTGAAAATTACAAAATCATACATTAATTAATACTCAAAAGTAACAACTGTTTTTTGAAAAACAATTTATGTGCTAAATATTTACAATTTGCTATTTATATACTATATATAAAGTCAGAGACAAAAGTGCTTGACATGGTTTTTTTGTTTACAACTTTTAAAGTTATAAAATTAACTTAATATAAAAATTTGTGGTTTTATCGAATCATGTAACGGATTTATTACAATTTTTACTTTTATTTATTTTTCATTCAAACACAACAAAATTTTAAGAAAATTCCTGAAACACATCAAATAATTTTGTATTTAAATTAGTATATTATGCTTTTTACATAATATCAAAATCTCTTATAGTTTTCGAGATATCGTACATCCCTGAGCCTTAATATAAAAAATATGTTAATGATATAATATCTGTTTCATGATTTCATAGTACCAAAAAATTATATATTAATTTAAGTTTAAAAGTTATAGCCAAAAACCCGTGTCAAGCACTTTTGTCTCCGATTTTATATTAAATAGAGTAGTCTTAAAAAGTTATATCGAATTAAATAAAAAATAATTTTCACATTTTATAACCGGTTTTGTTTTATTTTTATTCTCTTATTAAAGCTATTAAAAATATAATTTACTAATATATTATTGACTAACTTTTYACAAATTTGATGATAAAATTTAGTCATAAAAAATGTTATGATGTTATTGAAAACAGCATTAGAAAGGGAGGGAGGGTTATATGGGCTGTTAGTTTGAACAGTAGTGATGAATACGTGAATATCTGAGTGACTTTTGTCTTCACTTAAGTTTACATTTGATTTACTGTACATTATTTTCAATGATAATCAAAACCAATGGTCGTTGTCATGCACTGAGACTCGACACACAAAATCAATTGAAACGACAAAAACCCGATTTAATAATATTATAATTGACTAAAATATTGACTCAAATAATTGTTTGCTTCATTGCTTTTTGTTTTTCAATAAATATTTATAATCAATTATATTAATATATGACTTGACTCTACTGTACTAATAATAATAATAATAAATTGATGTTTGTGTACACATTCTTATAGTCATTTAATTTACTATACATTTTATGATTATATTATTTTTTAATATTATATATAATAGTGACTTATAATGTATGGTTACTTCGCTGCTCCTACTCGGCTATGAATGCCATACAAATTGAAGGCCACTAAACTATAAATGTTTGTTATCATCAAAAATAGCATTATTAAAATATATGCACTACTATTTCATTTATTTATATTTTATTTATTTATAATGAATGTTTGGGTCAATTTAGACATGGATTAGACTACTTAACTTTTTTAAGTAATGAGTTGGCTTTCCCACTTTTTTTTATAACTTTTTTCAATTATTTTCACCCATTGCTATAAACTAATAATTAGCTACAGTAGTAACAATGCATTATTCATACTGATATGAGATTAAGCTGGTTAAGCAAGGTCATTTAATATCTATAAAATTAATGTAATTTTGCGATATTTTCAAACTTTCAATAGAAAAAGATTTAACATGATAATTGTTTTTAAATATTTTTGCTTAGTAATAATAATATTGCTTGTTATATACGTAAGTTATCATTTACATAATTAACTAGATAATTTATTTGTTGTTGAACTGTATGTATTATATGCCATATAACATTACTATATTAAAACATTTTTAGCATATATTTTTATATAGTAATATTATTAGTAATAAAATTAGTATTACACATAACACTTATTTTGCCAATAATAATATATTTAATAATAGACTTAATATATCTCTCATTTTTCCACAAAACATTGATAAAACTAATGCAAACCATTAATAATAGTTAGAATATAATTTTTTATAAATAACAATTGACTTTATAAATAAATTAATGTCTTAAAACAAATCAGCTGAGACTCTAGTTTTTTGGTACATTTTTGATGTAACAATAAAAGCCATTATACTTTTGATTACTTGTGATTACTATTTAAATTAAAGTGTTTGTTATCTGCAATAATACAATGTTTCACAAATTGTTGTCTAACTCCTTGATTAAGCTTTTTTCCTGGTTTTAAAAACATTCGCATTTTGAAGGTTATAGTGTTGACAACTATTTTGTTTACGGGATTTCAACTTTTCATTAAAAAAATGAAAAATGCTTTTTATAGACAATGCATTTGAAAGATGAACTCTTTTTTATTTTATTTTATAATATATTTAAATACTTTATTTGATGAATTCAAGTAGTTATTTCATTGAGTTAATAAATACTTATTTAAATTTTTGTTTTTCAACTATAAGTTAGTTTTATGTGCTTTTTATCTATTGTAACAGTAATTTGGTTTAAGTAGCGGATATTGACTCACTATTTTAAAATGATTTTTAGTGATATAAATATTATTGTTTACAATGTGTTAGATAACACAATTAGGATAACATATATGAATTTGTTGTCTGGTTTAGCAAAATTTTAAATAAGAAAATATGTTGTTTTACTATTTTTTTATCAATATAATAATAATAATAAAGTCTATTAAATAAGAGGATAAATAACCAATTTGCAAAACAAACTATTATTTATTTGATATATAATACATGAGTTTCAGTTGTAAATTACTTTTTTATTGAGTTAATGAAACGTGATTTTAATGAAGAAAATTTAATTGAGAGACGAATGAATCAAATAAATTAAAATACAGTATAAATAAGTATTATTATCAACTAAACTAAGTTATAATAAAAGATAAATACCGAATAAAACTACTTTTACATTAACATTGGCTTTCAATTTGTACTTTTGCTTACTATTTATGATATAAACACTTTTTAACAGATATTTAATATTTGTTATAATAGTGGAATATGAATGCAAAAAATACTGCAAAATTTATTTTTAAATTAAAACATTAAATTATAAAAATTATATAATAGTTTATTAACTTTAAATGTTTAGTGTAATTCACTTTAAATTTATCAAATTTGTTTAAATTTAATGTATACATTAAATAGCAAATTTTTTCATAATTTTATGTTAATGACTGATATGCATATTATATAACATTTAAAATAAACATAAGTTATTATAAACTAATTGTTTGTTTAAAGAAAATATATTTCAAAACTCAGTCAGATTTTAGTTTTGTAGTCAACTGATTGCAAAATAAAAGCACTGTATATTTTTTGGTTTTATGTAATAAAATATTTTTATTATCATATTTTCTGGCTATCAAACATGTTATTTATTACAATTGAATAAATTTTTCACAATATCATTTGGTTTAATTATTAGTAACTTAATTACAACAAATTATACAATATTATTATAATTTTATATTCAACATAACAAAAAAGTGTTATCAAATATAGTATAAACATAAAAAATAAATTATCAATACAAAAACTATATATAGTTATATGCAAACTAACCTGGTAGAATTTTTTTAGAAATAAGGTTTTAAATATTTTTTATATAAAATAAATAAACCAATATATTGACCAATGTTTTTATTGTTGATATATTTTGAATAATATACTATCATTAGTATTGATTATATATACTGTATTTATTATATTATTTACGATAATGTTTGTCCAATTGAATTACTGTAGTTACTGAGTCATAGAATAGTTATATACTCATTAAATGATTATATAAGTTATTTGATAAGATACTCATTTATAAAGAAAATGTCTTAAATTTATATTTTATATCTAACTTAAAATATATTTTAGAAAAAATCAAAATTAAATATTAATAAAAAATAATAGAAAAAATAATTTAAATATTAAATTATATATTAATATTATATAAATTGTTCTAATTTGTTGTCTATATAATATTAGATATTATTTTTAGCAAATTATATATATTAGATAAATTTTAATAATTAAATAAATTATTTATTTATTTATTCTTAATTTTAATTATACAAATTTTGAATTAAGACTTTATTAGTTATATTTTAATATTTATACTTATAAAGGRATATTTATAAGTAATAGCTACTCTATGATAATAGTGAAAAATCATTAATATTTTATCATATTAAATTAAAATTTTATTATTTGTCTAAAATAATATAATTTGTTCATTATATGACACATACTTTGATAAAATAGGCACAATATTAAAATTGAAATTTAAGTTTTTATGGTAAGATATATTTATATAATATTGATAAAAATACGCTATTAAAAAATGGTGTCTTATCTCAAAAAATCTCATATTCATTAACTAACTAATTATTGTATTGAAAGTAAGTAATGTCATATAATAATGCTAATTCACGGCATACAAATAACTCATACACTTTCACTCTGCGCCACATTAAATATTTTGATATCAATTTATGTCTTAATTATAATTATGTCTTAGGTATGATTTTGGCATATTTTTTATTTTACACTATTTTATTATCAGTTATAAACTAAAAGAGTTTTTTAGACAAAGAGAGAGAGAAAAAAAGAGAGAGAGAGAGTTGATATAGTAAATAAAATTTATAATTAAAATGTAAATTCTATTTATAGGGCTATAAATTTTGATATTCCCATATTTAGTAATAAATATTTTTTTGCACTTAAAATTCATTTAATGTTTTATTATGTAAATATATTTTCAATACTTTTAATCAATTCGTTGATTAAAATTATAAGCATTATTTATATTTATTTTTGTAGTTTTAGAAAACAATTTTTTATGAATGAAAAGAAAGTTAATTTCTTTAATGATAATATTGAATAAAAGTATGGATTAAAAATTATATAACTTTAAGCTGTGAGTAATTGCAAAATAAAAGTTTATATATATTTTTTGAATGCAATTGTGAACACTTTTTCTTCTATAAATAACTTTTAATATTTATTTCTTAATCTTTCATAAACTTATCAAATTTTATATTAAAAATATATCAAATAATGTCTTAATTAATTTTATATTAAATATATCTATAAATTATTTTTTTATAACTATATACAATATTTACAATATTTACAATACTTTTACAATGATGATGACAATTATATTTATATAACTTATGATTTTTAAAATTAAATTTCTTTATTTATTATTTCTTAAATGTTTTTATTGGAATTACAAAAATATACTTGATAATTTTAAATATACACGAGTTTAAGCAAACAAAATGTTTTAAATAATTATATGGTTTATTTCTAGTTGAAGTCGGATCTAAATTTAAATTACTATAATAGTTTACTAATGAGCAGTAATTATCGTTTATTTATTAATTCAATAGTTATTTATGGTTTAGATATAGATTTTAGTTATCAATGTAAAGCAAATTAGATTGTTTTCTCAAATAATTCATTAAAGAGGGACTGTTTTCAATAATAAATTATATGTCTTTCCACTCAATTAGTGAATTACGAAAAGACATGTATTTGATGGCAACCGACATTTAAGTTGATGATTGAGATTACTAACAATTGTGGTATAATATAGTACAGTACAGTACACTACCTGTATATTTAATGATTAAATTGCATTGACTGGTCTTTAGTTTAGTTTTTTTTATTAAATTATTGTCTAATTGAAAGCTAACTTTCAATGGTTTACAAAGTTTCCCACGCGTTAGTACATTATATCAATTAATTATTATAATATTGTTATATATATACAATAATAATAATAATATTCAATAGAATTAGTTATTTTAGTAGTAATTTCGAAATTATTTAACTTAATTATTACATTATATGATCATTGATTTTTATTTATCTATTGATTTTATTAATATTTAATTTTATATAATTAAACAATTTCACAGTTAGAAAGCATTTAACTGTTTTTACAACAATATTTGAAAGTATAGTACATATAGCATATATAGCACATTTGAATATATATAAATGTAATTTTTTATCTATGTATCAGATAAATCTATAATATCTCGAAAACTAATTGACCAATTTTAATGCGGTTTGTTTTATTTTTATAAATTGAYTKCCACGATTTGTGAATTAAAAATAATATTTTATAATTTATCTAGAATTATTTGTAAAAATTAAATTAAAAATTTTAATTTTTAACATTTAGTAGTTAAATAACAAATATTTTTCATAATAATATTTTAAATTAGATCTAAACTATTGAATTTGGTTTTGAACAATTGGTATAAAATATAATAGTTAAAATATGCTAAAATTAGTATTAGTAAAAAATTATTATTTTTAAAACAATAGATTTTATATTTTTAAAGTGGTTATTTTTGTTGTATTAAACATGAATTATCATCACTAATGTAAACTAATTGATAATTATTGAAATTATATGATTATTTGAAAATAAATTTATTTATCAAAAAAATCTGAAACTGTTAAATTTCAACTAAAATTGATTTTAAAAAATAATTACACACAAAGTTTAAAATAATGTTTATGATTCATCAATCGGGGGAATCTAACTATAATAGTAATTAAATTAAACAACACTAAAATTGATCAACTCTAGTTTTCGAGATATTAATAGTTTTATCTTGATATTTAGATATAAAATTATTTTTACAATATTTTGAACTGTTTTTGAGATTTTAAATACCAAATTTAGATCTAATTTGCATTTTTATTTCTAATAAATAATTTATTAATTAAATTAACATTTTGATTATTTATATAAAATGTTTGAAACTTAAGACATAATTGATATTTTAAACAATATTAAAGTGATTTTAATGAGACAAATGATTTCTAATCCAAAAAATAGATTGAAATGATTGGCCATTCCTTGACATCATTCCTTCACCCGAATGACATAGAGTTAGTTCAAACACAGATACAGTCAGCACACGAACAAGTCTCTAATGGTATGTCCCAATCAATGACTGGATTATTATTATTATTATTATTGCTTTTATTGTTAACAATATTTTGTTTTTAATAACAGGATCTCAAACGTCTGACAAAATAACATTTCAATGTCGTCTTCGTGAGAAAAATCAGCCCCGAAGTGAAGTTATGACATACCAAATGGTTCAGGTGTCCGGTCATATCACCAATACTAAGGATGATGAAGATCCTGATGACGACAAACCAGAAAATAAGATATTGTTTAAAGGATTCGTTCAAATCATTCCAACCAATCCAATGGCAGAACTGTCTCTAATGGACGCAGATTTGGATGAATATGTTTCAAGACATTCACTCGACGGCACTTTGCTTTTTGCTGATCATAGGTATTATTATTGATTTGTTAATAATTATTTTATATGATTATTAATTATTTTGTTTTAATAATTACTTAGGATCTCAAATATTATTGGTTTTCTACCATCTGAAGTGATGGGTAATTCAGCTTATGATTACATTTTACCGGATGACCATTCAATTGCACTGTTTGCCCATAAGCTCAGTTAGTTTGACAATGTTATGATTAATTAAGTTATTAATTAGTTATTAAGATATTAATATTTATATATTTGTATAGTGATGTCTAATAGTAATGGCACCGGTACTATTGTGCACCGGTTGCGAACGGCCAGTGATTCATTTGTATTTCTTCAGTCATCAGGTTGTCTTCAATATGATAAAGACGGACAAATCAATCACTGGGTGTGCGTTAGTCGACTTCTAATGTAAGCAAACCTATTGCCAAAGCGTTATTAACTTGAAATCATTAAATAGTAATTTTTGTCATTAATTTATATTACCGGTAATCAGTGAGGATGAGGGCGACAAAGAAAGGGATAAATTTGTAAAACGATTCACTCCTCACATCTTTAACATATCGCCGACAGCCCTCTACGAGTCACTTCAGATAGTAATTGGTCCGCGATCGGGATCGGGATCCAATCCCCCCTCTAACGACCGATTTTCCAAATCATCCAATTCAACCAAAATAACTGAATTGTCATCAAATGAATCACCTCCTCCGCCACCTATACAGCAATATATACAAACACCATCACCACAATCAATGATTGGTTCTGTGTCACCATTAGCCTCAGGAATAGCAACGAGTCAATTGTGTGCGCCTACTATTTCAGGTGAACACTCTCCTCAAATAGAAACTACAAACACGATTCAGCCGTCCTTTTGTGGTGGCCTAGTATCTAATTTTGCCGGTGCTAAAGTGCAATCAATATCTACAGTACAATCACCTGTAGTACAGATCCAGACGCTACCTCTTATTCCGATAACACCGACACAAATAGTAACGCAACAAACTAACGAATCTTTCAACCGTTTAGATAATAATGTAACTGTTGGCCAAAATAACTGTTTTTCTAATAATATAATCAATTTGATTGCTCCGTCACCCGTTTCTTTCACATACCTTGAGACCAATCATACTGTACATACAAATATACAAAACAATATTACAGTCTCCGAAATGAGTAAATTAAGTGCTAATAACAACATTTCCGGATCTGTAGGAAATGTTAACATTACCTCAAAACCATCAAACGATTTATCACATCTATTAGGGGCCACTGTTCTCACATTTGACAGCCAACAACGCCCAATATTATCAGTCTATAGTCCTATGATGGCCAACATTGAACATCAGAAAAAACAATCACCAAATAAACCGCATCAACAACAATCACAACAACAATTACAACAACAATCACAACAACAATTACAACAACAATCACAACAACAAATACAACAACAGTTACAACAACAACAAATTCATTTACAGCCACAATTTAATACAAATCATGTAAACATAAATTTAAATGTTAACTCTAATTGTTATGAATCAAGTAATAGTGCGACAATTAGTCCAACACTGGACACGAGTTTCTATTCACCAAACGGTAATCCATATGAAGAGCCGCCAACAACTACTGCCACTGAACGCCAGATCCTCAATGGCTTTAATTATGAAGAATTATCTAATCATTCAACTAATTCATTGTTTAGCTTTTCATTTCCCAGTAATGACTCTCAATGTATGTAAAAATTTGCTTATTTTTATAGTAATAATTATTTAGCTTAAATAACTTGAGAACAATTATTATTACTTTGAATTTTAACAAAAAAACTATTGTTTTAATTTATGATTAATCGAGATAAATGTTTTTTTTAATAAATTAGTAATTTAAAAGTTAGTTATGCATACTTAGTTAACGCATAAAAATACAAATGTTTTGTGCATTTTATGTTAAAATAAATATTTAATATAAATAATTAGGAAATTTAATTTAGTAGTAATTTAATATTTAATTTTTATAATTTATAATCCTAATTAGGAAGATTATAATCTGATTATAAGATTATAATTTTTTCATATTTAATTTCAGTTTTAATAAAGTATATTTAATAATTAAAAAATTTCTCTGTATATTGTAATAGTTTATAAATTTATAATGAAAATTATATTAATTGCTTTATTACATTTTCGCAATATGAAAATGAAATAATAAATTATTATTATTATTATATTAAAATTAAATTTATTTCAAAAAAATAAATACACAATTTAAAAATCTTAAATTGAATTATAAATTGCAAGTAAAACATTAGCATATTGAATTTTTAATTAATAGTTTTAAAAAACTTGATATTAATTAAACATTTACTATTATCTTAATATCATATTTTTAATTTAATATAATTTATATCAATTTATACATCACATTTGCCAACATGTGATCATCCTAGATTTATTTTATAAATAGTTAGCAATAATTGCTATTTTAATAATATTGCTGTCAAATTGTTTTTAAGTAATAATTATATTTAGTAACATTTAAAGTATATATTTATACCTTACATTATATTACAGTATAATACGATTCCCAGATATGAACTCACATTTTTCATACAAGTGCTCAAAAATAATAATAGCATTTGAGCACAAATATTATTGCTAAAGTAATACATATTATTTGATCTATTAATAAGATCACATTTTGCCTACACGTGAATCTATCAGTTCTAATACTATATAAGCTACAGGTGCTCAACGATAAGCATTTTAGTTTAATCTTTTTTTCATATTATCATTTAGAAACATATAAAAGATACATTTATTAAATCTATAATAACGAGATTTTTTATATGAGATTTATTAGCAATATTTTTCTCAAAAAAAATCTTTGTAAATTAATTTTTGAAATGATATAATATTTTTTAGATCAATAAATTATTTAAGAATTTAAATTTTATCTAATTATATTGTTTATTAAAACTAATTAACGTTATATATTTATTATATGACAATTTTTAGGCGATTTTAGTATAATAGAGGATCAGACGTTTGAAGAGAGATTATTGGACGATCCGTTCCTATCATCAGTGGATGGAAATGGAGACAAAAGAATTGGATTTACAGCAAATGAGATGGAATTGGATCCGACAGTTGAAATTGAAACACCAATTGTTAACATTCACAATACAAAAACAAATCATTCAATTGTCTTCTCTTCAAAAACAAACACAAATTAACTCCAGTTATCTGTTTGATAATAGGACTGACATTGCGTTTAAAATTAAGTCATTAAAGGTAGTGTTTGACGATTTTATCACTTTTTTATCAACTAATTGATTGTTTATTTTTTTAATAGAAAAAATTGTGTAATCAATATCAAGAACTGGAGTATTTGAGAGCAGCCCTCAAACTCAACGCATCTTCACTTTCATCTAAATATAATACAAATTCTTTGGCCATTCAGACAACAAATACTGTTCATCACAATAATCGATATCTTAGCGATATTTCCGACAATGCGACTAACGTAACAAATTTGTCAAAATTGGATCAGTCATTAATGACCACTTTGTCTGTGTCGACCACACGACCCGTTGTCCACAACGAAGAGTCATCTCTAATGAAGAACTCTTCTTCTAGTCTGTCATCTTATAATAATGAATGTCTCGTCGATTTTGCCACTGATTCAGACATGTTTTATGTTGAATCTTATAAATCTAATAATTAATAAAACATTTCGGCTCTCATTTCGATATTACTCAGGTATAAGCAAAAAAAAGTGATTGAAATTGTTTAGTTAGATATTAATTGTTAGTACCATAAGATTTTTGTCTATTTGTTTAGTTCTTAATTACCGTAGTTTTAATTTAGTGTTTTTTGTTATACTGTATATATATATATATTTTGTTTAAATTTGATAAAATTAATATTTATTAAATAATTATATAAATCACAAAAATATCAGACAATTGTTTTAGATTTTTACGGCTAAAATATTTTTGGATCAAATTATTCAAATGTTTGATATATTTACAGTATATTTATTATACAAATTATAGACCATATATTATATATATACTGTATTTTGTGAAAAGTTATTTTTAAATTAGAAACATATTTTTATGTGAAAACAACTATTAAATGTTAAATTTTATTGGAAAATATTGTGAGAATTATGTGAATAATAATATTTTGAAAAAAATCTTAAATGGCTTATTGTTATAAAAATGAATTTTTGTTTTACATATAAGTTGTAATTGTTAAAGTAATTATATTTTTGAATGTTAAATATATACATATTGTTGTGCAAATATTTTGTTTTAATTTAAATATGTTAGAATATTGGGAGAACTGAGTCTAAAATTGTATGAAATGTTAATTAATTAAACTTATTTATGTTTATATCAAACTGCTATTAAAATATACATATAATGTTAAATTTAATTATAAATTGCTCATTAAATGTCTTATTAGTGATTATTTGCTTGTATTATACCGGAGAGCCTCTTAAACAATATTCTACAGTTTAATCGTTTTTTAGAAAATTATTTATTTTTGATAAAAGAAATGTTGTTTAAGAGATTAAACGAAAAAGTGGGTCTTAAAGTTGTGAAACTAAATGATTAACATTCATATAATGGCTTATAATTAAATAAGTGTAAAACAATATTTTGATTGAATGTAAATTATAATTATAAACAGGATATACATCTATTTTTTACATAAAATCAATTATGATTACATTTTTTATCAAGTGCAATCAAATTAATTAATTGTATTAAAGTTTATATCTATTATATAAATAAATAACTATATATATATATTAAATGTACAAATAATAATAATATTATTATTATTACTATTAAAGTGATCAACGTTTGTGATTTGTTTAACGAAAGGCCTAATAACTAGTATTATACTCTATGTGTTATAGTTTATATACTATATGTTATATACGGTATATATATATTTAAAAATTATAATTTACAAATATGTTACACATATGTAATGTCAAAATATACTCAATCAATTGTTAATTATTAGTTGTTAATTATTATATTGTTCATAAAAACTTATAATCATAAGCTTATATCTGTCAAAATGATTTATCATACCATAACCAGTATATCATTAATTATTATTATTAAATATTTAATTTTATTTTAAAAACAAATTTTTATAAAGAGTTATAAAACAGATAATAGTTTTTATTATATATAATTTATATACAGTATATCTAATATATTTAAATCAACAAAATTGTATATAAATTTTTCGATGAATATGTTATATTTTATAAGTTATAACGTATTGTAAATTTTTTTTTTTTGAATTTACAATTTGAATTTATTCTTTGAAAAAAACATAACTGAATTAAAAATTACAAACCATTTATTTTCTGTATTCAAACAGAATCCATACAATTTGTAAAATAAAATATATTGTTAATATTCTCAAATCTTTTGAAAACTTATTTTATTTATTTTATAAATAATTTAATTAACATTAGAATATAGGACAGTATGAGAAACCGGAATGTTGTTCCGTTTTAATAGGCGCTAAATTCCAGTACCGACACCGCAATATTCTGGCCGCAGCTTTAGGTTGTCTCTCACGAGTGAATATGCCTTTCCTATTGCCGATCACTCGACTGATTTCTATGATATATATATATATATTAAAAACGATAAATTATTAGCAATTTATTTGTGTTAAACAAAAGTCAGTTTTCTATATACAAACCCTGACGAGTCATAAAGTCTGCAAAGTTCCAGATGTGTTCACCGATGAAGAATCCTTCGGCTATTAAATTGTCAAAAGCCTTGTGATAATCGGATATGAATTCTGCCTCATAGTCTTCGGTGAACACATAAGACGGATCCTAATTTGTGATAATAATTTAAAATTTATTTCTTAATATACTATATATAAAAAAAGTATAAAAAAATTATCGAAATGAATACCTGATGTAAACCGGCCAAAGTGTCGGCGCCGTACTCTGAGATCATAATCGGTTTTTTGTGTGTATTAAACCAATTCTTCAAATTATTAGTCARAGTTCCGACAATAACTTGTGGGTAACCGGTGTCAGAATACCAGCCATAATATCGATTAATCATTAATACATCCAAAGATGGGGACATATTGTCATTATTATAGTCGGCATTTATGGCAGCAGTCAATGGTCTGGTTTTGTCAAGACTTCTTGCATGAGCCGCCACTTTCTTAAAATAATCGCCAGAAGCTTTWTGAGATGACTGAGGCTCGTTAGCAATGGACCACATGACCACTGATGGTCTATTTTTATCTCTTTGAATCATTTCACTAATAGTAACCAAATGTTGTTTCAATAAAACATCATTGAATGAATCTAATCCGACAGCAGGACACTCATCAATGACAACAATTCCCTGTTCATCTGCCATATCCATCAATTCCTCAGAGTATGGATAATGAGAAGTACGGAAAGAGTTGGCACCAATCCATTTGATTAAATTGAAATCTTTGGCTAAAATAGGATAATCTAAACCTTTGCCTCTAATCTATAATATGATGATAATTAATATTAACAAAAGTATAGTCTCTTTTTACAATACAATACATACATTTGCGTCTTCATGTTTACCAAATCCTCGGAAATAAAATGGTTTGTCATTAATGAGGAATTGTTTGTCAGTATTCTTGATTGTTCTGATGCCTACTTTCTGATAGTAGACATCGACAGTCTTTCCGCTCTCCTGTAACATCACTTTTAATAAGTATTGATAACCAGGATTAGGATCTGTAGTATAGGGCCACCAAAATGTTGCGTTGGATACTATGATGGATCCCTTCAATCCCTGACTATTGGCTACTTTATTACCACTTTTGTCAAACACTTCAATAGCACAGTCAGAATCAGTGTTGGCCTCACTATACGTGATCTCATAGTTAATTAAACCAGTTTTTGAATCCTTAATATCTGTGGTAACTGTGATATCGTTGATGTGATTCATAGGTAAAGCATAGAGAAAGACATGTCTATGAATTCCGGCGTAATTGAAAAAATCAAAGTTAGTTGAAGTCTCATAAAAGCCTTTTGGGAATCTAGTCGTGTCGTTCTTATAACTAACTGATCCCTGAGGTATAGTTTCTTTGGATAGTTTATTATTGAGAGCCACTGTAACCAAATTGCTTTCTCCATATTTTAATTTCTTTGTCACATATGTTTCAAACGGCAAGTGTCCGCCCGTATGATTCAAAACACTTTCACCATTCAAATAGACATTTGTCTGGTAGTGAGCACTTCCGAAACGAAGTGTTACCGATTTGCCCCTCCAATCGTTGGGCGCAAAGAAGCTCAAGTCATACCAAACCCAACCGGCATAGTCTCGTATGTAACGACTTTGAGTGATATCATTAAAACTTGACGGAACTGGCATTGGGATGACATCTCCTAACTATTATAATTGCAAACAAAAAAGATTTAATTGTCATTTGTTTGAATCAAATGAATACTCAAATAATAATAATATATTTACCGAATCCAATGGTTTATTATACCATTTGTCAGTAAAGCCGATATTCTGGTCGCCGTCGGCCGGAATTACTTTAAAATTCCAGAAGCCGTCCAACAGTTTTACTTCACGTGTTTCCGATTCTCTAGGATATAGTCTTAGATTTTCAGTCGACACTTGAGTGCCGAGGATTGCTAATAGTATTATCTTTAAATACATTGTGCGCTTCTATACTAAAGGCAACTAATTTTTCAAAAATAATAAAAATATTTATTAATTAGTTATGTATTTATACTAAATATAAATCAAAATAACATTTCATACTTATCTATGCTATATTTTTATCATTTGTCAAAGTTTAATACTGTAAGTGTTTAATGAGATTACAATTTTAAGTGAAGGGGATATGTTTTTATGCATTTACTTTATTAGTTCACTATATTATTGGCTAATTTTATTATAAATTTATTTATAGATAATTTAGTACATATTCATCCAACTGTACCCTTATTTATCTAAACTACTGTATATTTATAGCTATAAAAAATCATTTTAGATATATAAACTGTATAATACAGGTAATAAATGAAATAATACTATTAAATAATAATTTAATTGCCCATATTTTAAAACTATATACTGTATATCTAAAATTAATAAATATATATTCCTTAAATTATTTAGAATCGATAGTTTAATTAATTAGAAATATAYAATTTATATAATATGAATCTATTTAGTTTTTAACTCAATATATATTGCTATAGCAATCAAAACTCTAATTTAATAAATTTAATTTAATTTACTATACGTATATGTTTTATATTTTAATAATATTTTTAATTTATAAAAATTATGATTATTTTTTGTTATTTTTATTTGTATTTTGAAGTTATTATTATTAATTTTAATTAATTGTATTGTAAGTAACTGAAAATATAAGTAAATAATTTATTTATTTATATCAAAATATAATATTAATTAAATACAATAAGAGAAGCCRTCTTCCTGTCCTTTTTTGGTGTCAGCCAATTGCCAATACCTGCATCTCATAACTCTTGCCGATGCTTTAGGCTGTCTTTCCCGAGTGAATATGCCTTTCTTGTTGCCGACAGCCCGACCCGTGTCTTATTAAATGTTATTAAATTTACCAAAAAATCGAAAAAATATTTCACTAAATAATTGCATTAAATTCAACAAATTTTCTCAAACAATACCTTCATTTGTCATAAAGTCCGCAAAATTCCAGACAAGTTCGCCGACAAAGAAACCGTTAGCTCTGAGCGCATCAAATGCTTTGAAAGCCTCTTTGAATAGTTCCGACTGATAATCTTCTGACCAGACATATGGTGGGTCCTGATGTAGACCGGGAACAGTGTCGCCGCCATATTCTGAGATCATCACTGGTTTCTTATATGTCTCAAACCAATGATTAAAATCTAAAATCAATTGTTTTTCTATAGCTTGTGGATAACCTGTGTCCTGATACCACCCCCAGTATCTGTTAACCATAATGACATCCAAAGCCGGAGCCATATGATCGCCGCTATAACCATGACTTATAGCCCCAGTTATAGGAAGTCTGAAACCAGGATTCTCTATCTCTGATAAAGTCTCTTATTTTCTTGAAATAATCAGCTGATTTAGGATCACCAGAATTTGGTTCGTTAGCAATGGACCACATGACCACTGATGGCCTGTTTTTATCTCTTAAAATCATTTCAATAATAGTTTGCGAATGTCTCTCAAATAAGGTGTCATTGAATGTATCTAATCCGACAGCAGGACACTCATCAATGACAACAATTCCCTGTTCATCTGCCATATCCATCAATTCCTCAGAGTATGGATAATGAGAAGTACGGAAAGAGTTGGCACCAATCCATTTGATTAAATTAAAATCTTTAGCCAAAATAGGATAATCTAAACCTTTGCCTCTAATCTATAAAAATAATGATAATTAATATTAACAAAAGTTTAGTCTATTTTTACAATACATTACATACATTTGCGTCTTCATGTTTACCAAATCCCCGGAAATAAAATGGTTTGTCATTAATGAGGAATTGCTTGTCTGTGACCTTAACTGTTCTGATGCCTACTTTCTGATAGTAGACATCAATAGTTTTAGCATTTAGTTGTAAAGACAATTTCAATGTGTACTGATAGCCTGGATTGTCATTTGTAGTGTATGGCCACCAAAATGTTGCCTTCGGTATTGTTATGACACCCTTAACCCCTTTACTTGTCGTTACTTTGTTTCCCTTTTTGCCAAATACTTCAACAATATAATCAATATTAGCCTTACTATCACTTATTGAGATCTCATAGTTAATGACACCAGTTGTTGGATCTTTAATCTCAGTACTGGTCCAGACATCAGTTATATGTACTTTAGGTAATGCATATAAAAATACATGTCTATCAATACCGGCGTAATTAAAAAAATCAAATTGAGTTGTAGTCCTATACAGGCCTTTAGGATATTTTTTCGGATCATTATAATAGTAAACCCCTCCCTGAGGGACAGTTATTTTTGATAATATATTATTGACAGCAACTGTAATAAAATTATTTTCGCCATATTTCAAATGTTTTGTTACATAGGTTTCAAACGGCAAGTGTCCGCCCGTATGGTTGACAACATTAAGACCGTTGACATAAACATAGGCCAAGTAGTGAGCGCTACCAAAGCGGAGTATAACTTGTTTATCTGTCCACGAGTTGGATACATAAAAACTTTTGTCATACCAGACCCAACCCGCATAGTCACGTATAAACCTGTCTTGTGTTATATCATTATAACTGGACGGCACCGGCATATCAATTACATTTCCCGTCTAATTTCAAAATATATTGTTTGTTAAACTATAGATTTTTTATTAATATTTTTATTATACCTCTTGTAATGGTTTTGAATACCATTTGTCAATAAATCCGATTTCTTGGTTTTGATCCAATCCTATGACCCGAAAGTTCCAAATGCCGTCCAAAAGTCGGATGTCTCTGGTTTCGGACTCTTTTGGATAAAGTGCTTCATTTGTTATCATTAATGTGAAAATTAATGTAATTAATAACATTTGTTTTATTGCATACATTTTGTAAATAGTTTTATATAATAATAAAATTTTTGACTTATAAACAAATTGAATGATAAGTTTTATTTTATTTAAGCTATAATTTTATTATCTGTCAATAATTTATTTTTTTAAATGATTTAAATTTGACATTTAGTTTTTATTTAACAAATACAAAAAAATTTATAATAACATATTTTATATTATGTAATTTTTTAAATATGATAATTAAGTCAATTAGCACTAGAAGTTTATTTTTTGATAATACTGTAGTAATATTTGTTTAATTATTATCAAATAATTTTTAAATATCTGTATATTTTTAGTAAAAACACTTACATTTTTTCATAATTACTAAATTTATAAAAATTTAATATAACATTATAACCAAAACAAATTGTGATAAACAATTACAATGAGTTCATTAAATCAGTTGAGATAACAGAAACTTTTTAGACTTTCTAAGAACTTTTGATCCGATGATGTGCTCATAATTAATGACAATAATTATCTTATTTTGTTTTAAAGTGTTTAGAAATTATAAAAGTATTTATTATATAAGTACTAAATAAGTGAAATATAAAATTATAAATTTTATCATATTGTTGTTATTTTCAAATCAATTATAAACACTTAAAATACAATAATCCCATTAATTTTCCATATATAACCTAATTTTCACAAATTTTGCAAAAATAAAAATTGATAGTAAAAACTAATAAAATTAAAAAATGGTAATAAAAATATTATTATAACTAATTAACTTTTTAAAAAATTAACAATATTTGACAAATCCAATTACAGAATATATTTATACTATAATTTTAATCACTTTATTGTAATTATTAATTTTTAACTCAGATAAAAGCAATAATAAAAATTAATAGATATGTTATTAAGTAAGATAATTGTTATATTTCATAACTAAAATAACTTTTTCAAAGTTTTGTTATTTTTTCTTGTATTWTTAGCTAATTTTATATTAATTAATTTTTTAATATAATATATTAAATTAATTATCATTTAGTAGTTTTTACATTTTAAAATACAGTACATTAAACTTTTACACTAACAAATTAAATTATATTGTTTGAATAAATAATGGTTGATTTTAATATGTATTAAATTACCATAAAATGATTTAAAATGTGCCCATGGTCATAATTATATAAATAAATGCCTATAATAACAATTACAACAAATTATTGTTTTATAAATTAATTGACAAATTGTCAAAATATAATAATGAAATTTATACAGATATAAAATATTTTAAAATTGATAACAAATTAATTTAATTATATTTAATAATTATTACTTTACCGGTAATACAAAGTTAAAAAATCAATAAAAAAATTGAATAATTTATTGAAATTATTAAGTATTAGTCGACAAATCATTTGAATATTAATATTAAAAATTTAAAGAAAATATAGTGAAAAGTATATTAAAATATATATAAAAATACGTTATTATTGTTAAAATTGAATATTAATATAAAAACACTGTTTGTATTGATTTTGACAGACAGTGACTATCACTGAAACATCGGTTGACCGCCGATGGACACGACCGCAGACGACAAAGACTTGGACTCATTGAAGACCGGTATGTATTGACTCTATGTGTCGGACAAACCAACAGTCAATGTGTTTGTTATGTCATCTCTTTAGCCGTTTTACAAGCGCTTGAAAGTGACGGTTGTTTGCGTGAAATTGGCGCCCAATTGACAGCTCATGTGATGAGAGTTTGCGACCAAACATATGATAATAACAAACCATATAAACCAAAGACAACCAACACTTCCACTCAAGACATTATTGTCCAACAATTGATTGCAGACTATTTGATTGCTAACGGATTAAAGTCAACATTAAGTGTATTTAATACCGGTTTGTATTTACTGTTTGATTACAACAACTGTTATTAAAATCATATTWATATTGTTATTGTTTTTATCGTTTGAATTATCAAATTACCAGAGATTGGTCACCAAAACGATATCACTGTTGATAGAGATTCACTCCAGAAGAAGTTATCGGTAAAGACATCACAAAAAGATAAACAAATGTATACTAAATATGAATATAATTTGTGCTAATTATCAGTAAATAATTTTAAATGTTTTTTTAAAAAATAATTTGTAGACCACTATTGACATCAATTGTTAAACAACTTCAGCGCAAATAAAGTCATTAGTTTTTTGTCGTAATTAATAATTGATAACAATTTCAATTGATTTATACTGTAATTACTATTTGAATATTTTGGTCATAAAAATGTTAAACAAGATATTATTGAACACTTCCCGACTTTTTCGGCTCAAATCAATCACAAGTACTATAACTGTGCGAAACATTTGTCTAACAAATTCATTGAAAGATATCTTCAAAATTCAAGACGAGAATGACTTTAAAGAGAAAGTAGTGAACAATAAAAATCCAGTTATTGTTGAGTTTTATGCGACGTATGTCTTAAACTTATTTTATTTGAATTTACAAATAATATTATATATAAAATCGGTCGCAAAATAGGCGGAACTAGTTTTATGGGAATTACTTTTGTTTGAACTAGATTTCAATAAAATTATATTTGCAATGATTTTGGTAACGATTACAATAAGTCTTATAGTTTTTGAGATATTGAACATACCTGAGCTTACCATACCTGATGTATCAGTGCTTATGTAGATTCTAAATAGTTATACCATTGTAAACGTTACCAAAAATTATAGTTACAAATAAAATTATATTATAAAATTCTAATCCAGAGAGAAGTTATTCTAATAAAACTATTTCCGCCTATTTTGCGACAGATTTTATATAAATTAATATATTTATAATATTAATACTACAGTTTATATTAGTTGATATTTAACTAATTTATGTCTTTATTTGTATTATTTAATGGACAGGTGGTGTGGTCCGTGTAAATTACTCAAACCTAGATTGGAGACAATTGTCGGCGGAAAGGGAGGTAAACTAGATCTGGCATTAGTAGATGTCGACGAACACGAGAGTCTGGCCATGCAATACAAAGTATTGATATTTTTTTAAATGATATAAATATTGTTGAGTTATAATGTATTTGATTTGAATACTGTTGTGTTAGGTCGGCTCTGTACCCACTGTTGTGGCCATAAATGGCGGAAAACTTGTCGACCAATTTATTGGCCTCAAAGATGAAGACCAATTGAATGCATTTGTCGGCAAATTATTAAAAGAATGAATTTATATTGAATTTGATTTGTAGTTAATTATCGTAACAAAAGCCTCAATTAGTTTTTATAGACTATAAATTCATTTATAAAAATGAATTTTATTAACCAAAATATTTTCTTATAATTCTTCACTCAATAACATAATTATGAGTAATATTTGTATAAATTTTTAAATAGTATTAAAGAATAAAAAATTAATGAAATTTTAGTTAATATGATATTCAAAGATTTATATAATAAAATAGTGATATATTCTTATGAATTTCATATAAACACTATTAAAAAACTCGTTATCATTAAAGTTAAATTTGAATAAATATATTTTTAAATAACGATTATACGATATTAATAAAGTTTGGGAAAAATCGTCGCAAATATAACTGCAGGTAATCTATGAAATATTGGAAAAATAACAAATGTTAGCAAATATACTGAATAAGTACTAAGAATAATAATAATTTTTTTTAAATATTTACCGTAGATATATAAATATTCAATATATTTCAATTAGAAATTTTTAAAAAATTTGAATACTAATTTTTTTATAACTATTTTAATTTTTATCATATTTACCGTTATCCTTATACTTAATTAATCTACAATTTGTGACAATTAGATATCTTTAACCATTCAAAAGATATTTGAATTTAATTTGTGCACATTTAAAAAAATAATTTTAATAACTTCAATAATACTGAATATAAATTTATTTATTTATTATATCTAAAATTTCTTATGAATTGCTTATAAATTATAAAATCCATGAAATATCGATTTCTAGGAAAAAAGTCATTAATTCTAAACTTTTATTAAACTAATGTTTTATGATTATAATATTTATGTTACTGTAATTGAATATTGCATATAATAGCCTAAGTTAACAACATTATTTTTTTATTAATTTTTTTTTGAAAATGGTTTTGCGTTACAGTAGAAATAAGTATAAAAAATATTTATCTAAATTACAAATTTTTATATTTGATTTATACATTTTCATATTACCATATTGTTTTTATATAGTGTGAGGATAACATTTTAGACTACAGAAAAAGCTAAAAGTTTATTAAAACTTAAATAAATAAATTACTGTACTGTAAAATTTATATACAGTATATTGTAAATTATATATTTTATAAATATATATATACTGTATATACTATATATAATATATATATATATATATATATATATAGTATATACAGTATATATATATTAAAATACTTAAATTACATTTAAACTGATTTAAAGTAATAAGAGATATATAATTGCATTTTTGTACTTACATTATTGTAATATTATGTATAATACAATATAATGGGTTAACTATTTGATTATAATGTAGTCTCAAATATTATATACTTGAAGTGTATGTCTGGGGAATAACTTGTTTCTATTACATTATATACAACATATTATTTGCATTTATGTACAATTAGTTTTGTGAATTAAAGATACAAATAGATTGGATAATCATTGGGTTCGCAAAATTGTCATTATATAAGTAAAATAGGATTGAATTAGCTTTTAGCTAATTATTCAAAAACTCATACTTTTAATCATAAATTATTAGATATATCTTGAATTTGTCTACTAGTTTTAAATTAGTTGAAAATAATTTAAAACTATAATTACAGGTATTATTTTTTAAAAGTCTATTATTAAGTGTGTCAGATCAGGTATAACCCGTTGAATTGTCCGGCATTTAGGGCTAAATTTTGCCAAATTTGTCAAATAAATAAAAAATACAATCTTTTTTGTTATATATTTTTAGAAAATAATAAGTTATAACAATTATTGTCAAACATTTAGTTTATACATTTATTTTTCATATTATAATGCAAAATATTAGTCTGAATAAAAAATATAAGTATCGTATTATATATATGTAAATAATTATTGATAAATTGTTAATATATTTCTTAATTTTTATGTTATAATTAGTATTTAAAAAAAATAATTTTATGCTATATTGGTTAGACTGAAGCACTTAAAGTCAATGCCTGTTTTTTGAAGTCTAGTGTGAAATTATACTGTAGATTACAATACATAATATAAATAGTTTATAATTTGTATTACAGTATATTTGTAATTATATAAATATTTACATAATTATGATACAAAATTCACAAAACTTTCAAATCTACTATTAAAATAAATTTAATATTTACGTTACATTGAATAAACATTAAGTTATTGTTATTTTTATAAAACCGGTAATCAAATAAAAATAGTTGACAACTATGTCATCAAATCAAGTAATTCAAACATTGCATTTACAGTAAAATTTTAGACCAGACTTCTATTAAATATAATTATAATATAATTAAATTCAATTATTGTTTGTTTTTGTTTAATTATCACATTTCTTAAATTCAATTATTTTTATATGCTCCTTTTAATTATATTAACTAATCAATGATTTTTAAAAGCTATTAGCATTGCATTAAAACAATTTTCCACAAATATATTATAAGAAATAAAATATTTCAATATTATTGATATTTATAAACAGCATTACTAGTTCAACAAATATTATTATAATCAAAATAACATAAAATATATAATATTTAACGATCTTTAATCATGACATATAAGCATAAATTATATGTTTGTTAATAAATTTAGATTTTATGTTATTTTTCAATATTGTCATCAATTGTTACTTTAATTAATTCAAAATATCTAATTTAAATATATAAATAATTCTTAAATACTTATTGTAAAATTTATTTTTAATTTTCCAATTATTTTCTAAAAACAATTATAATAATCTCTAAAATATAATACAATAATTTATATAAACTGTTTGTTTATGAAATACATACAGAAAAAACTCATAAAACTGTCAAAACATTATGAATGTATGAAATGAATGGTTGTGTGATATATTAGGGAAAGGGATGTTATCCTTTCATTAGAGCAAATCTAATGACTGAGAGTCACGTTTGTCAAGGATTTGGCTTATATTTGTTTAGTCGATAACAAGATATACAACAATTGCAGTGTAGATGTAATAGACGGCAAATAATGAATATATAGATGAAAGTGTTGGTCGCATACAAAAAATGCCAGTTTTTTTGCCATCAATGTTAAGATTTCTAACTCATTCTTGACATTATACAGTACTTTATATTATTATTATTATACCGGTATTATTATATATACTGTATATAAGTTATATAATATAACTTATATTTAAGTTTATTGCTAATTCAAACAATAGTTGCTTTATTTAATTAAATGGTTGACTTAATAAAATTGATTATTATATATAAATTATATATACAGTATATACTATATAGAGTATAAGTTTATATAAAATTAAGTCAATAGTATTTGTATGCTTTAAATCATTACTACATTTTCATTTCTTTTATATTAACAAATGGTTTAATTGACGTTTTTTTGTGTAGAAAATTGTGATCAGAATTGTAATTAAATGTTATAAAAATTTGTTTTTACAAATTAAAAATAAATACATTAAATTCAATTAYCGGGTATAATAAATATACAAAATATAAATTTTTATTTATATATAATATTATAAAATGTATAATTAATATTTATATATAATAAAAATGATAATATTTAGAAAACAGAAATATTTGATTGTTTTCTATTGACGAGAGTATTAGTAGAAGAAGTGGAACTAATTCTGTCTCTATTTCTAATGAAACGACAGGTCATGTACTTCCAGACGCTTTTAGCACCGGCCCTGAAGTCATGATTGAGCCACCAGAAGATAAATGGGTTGTAACTGCAACTACTGATACCCAACCAGTAAAATATGAGATACAATGTGCTTGAATTACATCCACTGGCGTTTAGACGATTGCCATAAAAGTCAACAAAATGTATAACATTGACGGGTAGCCAACAAATGGCAAACACAACTACAACAATGATTAGCATTTTAATGGTACGCTTCTTGATGTCCAACAAATGTCTTTTCTGGACGTCAATCATATCTCCGACATTTCGCTTCCAAATTGTGTGAATAATTTTGGCGTAAAATAGCATTGATGTCAACACCGGAAGCATGTATTGAGTTAGTATAACACCAATTATACGAATGTGTCTCAGGATGTCTGATGAAAAGGGAAAGTCGAAGCGTAAGACCACTTGACAGGTGATAATGGGATCACTTGTGAAATCATATGTAAATATTTTGACAGACACTGCGGTAAATATGACAAATGCTAGAGATATTACCCACACTATGATTATGAATACTTTTGGTTTAATCTTTTTGATCGGATAATGGACTACAATATAGCGATCAATGGCTATGGCTGTAAATGTAAGACTTGATACATAAAATGACAGCACTTGTATGCTCTTACTTATGGCACATCCGATATACAGGTGATCGTAACGGTTCAGTAATTGCTGGGAACATAATAGCCATTGCATTGGTATTGTTATGGCACAGATTATGTCAGAAAAAGCCATATTAACGATCAATAGATTTACAGTTGTCCTCATCTTTTGTGATTTGATGACCACTCGACAGACCAAACAATTGCCAAACAATGCGACAATTGTTGTCAAAGCGTATAAACTTAACACAAATATATCCCGCAGACTGTATGACCTGTTAGGGTCATCACTTGTGGCAAAACTTATTGTTTCCATGATTTACATTAAAGTGACGATAATAACAATATTAATTGCTTTATCAGTAAAATCACATTTAATAGATTAAACTTTACAATCAATTCATTTTATTATTAAAAATATGTTTGATCTTTAAATGATGAACCAATCAATAGGTGTTTAACACTAAGTTGTAGAGTAGACAATAAATTATTAAATAGTAAAATTATTTATCAAAAATATGTTATAAATAATAAATTAATATAAGCCTTGGAGATGTATTACAAATAGTGATGAAATAACTGTTAAATATTATTTATTTTTACATAAATTGATGGAATTAATAATTTTCTAATAAATTAATCATAAAATTAATAACTATATATACGACTAGAGAGACTGTATAATTGCAAGGTTATCATCGATGCATAAGTTACTATTAAATTAATAATATGTTTTTGATGTTATTGTGGTTTAAGTATTTTTTTAATAGAAAAAAAATTGTTTTCAATTTTATTTTTTATTACTTAAATGTTGACAAAAACTCATTTTGCCAGTCCTGTTCAAACAATGTTTAGCGGCTTATATTATATTACAGTAAATTATAGCAATATATAAAACATTATTATTAGTAAAAAAATTGTTTATAAAGTATAAATTTTGAGTGAATTCAAGCGTAACTTTAAGACTACAGACAAATATTACACAAAGTTTTAATATTTTTGTTAAGTTTTTTTCTCTCTTTGGCTATTATCTGGTGACAAAAATTGTCGAGAAAAATACTGTAATGAATCAATTATTTTGTAAAAATAACAACATCTAAATAATAATAACAATAATATCTTATTAATTAAAATGTTATTTACCTGTATTTTATTGAGCCCCTTTCTAATATTGATATATCTATATTAATGTTTACACAATAAAGTTATATCAATAACAGAGATCTATAGTTAATCTTTAGGATGACAAATGAAATACAATATTATATATATTTAGTAATATTGTGTGCAAAGTATTAACAGTTAATTATTAGACGATGTTATAATTAATATCATAACATTATTATCGTACAACTATTGTATTGTCAATACAACAAACAATTTATCTATTATTAAATATTATTATCAATTTTATATATGTCGCACCCGATTAGGCAATCATTGTTAAATGATCTGTAAATACAGTACATTATTTTCAATTAGTATTTAGCACTAAAAGATAATATACAGGTATATTGTTTTTATTTTATTAACTGTGAATTATTATTGTATTATTATTAGCATTTTGTTGATAAATTGTATTTGTATATAACTTTTTTATTGATTTAAATTGTTTTTATTTTGTGGAAATAATTTAATAGTCAATGTATTTATAGGAATTTCTATATGTGTTTCTATAGTATCATTTGATGGCCTGAAAGAGTCTCTTAAACAACAATATCCAAGCAGTTTGTTATGTAATCAAATGCATTCCTTAATGTTATACTTATACCACAAATATTAGTTTTCAGGCAATGGTTTAACTATAAATTGCTTTTGTATGTATTGTTTATGATTGTCTARCCGTCCAATAATRCGATCGATTATCAGCCACAATAAGTATTACAAATGAATGATAATAATGTATTATTATTATTATGATTGTGATTATAGAAGAGCAACAAAAACATGTATCGATTGCCAACATATATTAGTGTTGCAACAAAACTCATTAAAACATTTGTCTTCAAATTGTTTTTGTTTGTCAGAAAAATAACTTTTTTGTTTTATTTTATTATCAATCTATTGAATTCAATTAAGTGGCGATTTAAGTGCAAAAATGCATCAAAAAACAATACACATTACTATACTGTAGATTAATTTACTACATATATCGATATGCATGCCATGCATACAATTTTGCTTTGAATAAAACACTTTTGACATAAAGCCAAACCATTAATATAATTATATCAGACATTATAGTAAATCTTTGCTCATTTAAATGACTATCTCTCTAATCCAGACATTGCATACCCATTAATATATAGAATATATATTATTATATCATATTTATTACAGACAAAAGCCTTTGTGTAATATATTAGAAGTATATTCATATTTATTAAATGTTTACATTTTTATCAAATGATTTATTGTTTTTACATGTTTTGGCGAAAAATATTTAAAAATTATTATTTTTTATGATTAAACTTAAAATAATAAATTCATTCATTACATCAATTGTATGTCTCGTCATTATATGTTAGCGAAACGGGCGTCAAGTTCTTCAGTGACCCCTTTATGACTGATTTTTAAGACAATGAATGACTTGTATGTCATCTGAAATGACAAATGGATGATCACATGTGTAATGYTTTCTTCAAATTTAATATATTTTATGACTATATTTTAAAATAAGATTTCTCTTAGTTTATATTCATTTTATATAATAAATTGTACTACAAATTAATGACTTTTTTCCTATTGTAATGTAGTAATGAAATTATTGATTATTTGATTAACCATTGAATTAGTATATGTAGTATTTACTGTATGTGAGGACAGGGAGTGATATGGATAGGGTATGTCAGTGTTTATASGATGTCATCCGAGAAATTCATTTACTCGACACGTCTTTACTTTCAATACACGATTCATGAAATTAATTCACTTTTTTCTCTCACTTTTTTTATTGCAACAAAAGTTGTCGACTCTCTCAGTCAACAAACTCTAACATTGACTTCAATACAGTATAATGTAAAAGACAGTATTGTATTGTATTGTTATATAAGAGCACATATTTTACTGACTTTTGATTGTTTTTCATACATAGAGTGGTTATTATTAAAATAATTCATACGAATACTATGCCAGTAGTAGTAACGGTAGTATTAATATTATTTCACATACAATAAGTAGGGCTTAAAAAGCCGTATATGAAGACTATTTTTTATTGATATATCGATTATATGATAAGCTCTTTGTTGTGAAATATGTACTGTGTTTATGGTTTTGATTCAATTGCCGATTCCAGTCATATATATATAAGTTAAAAGACAAGAATAGGCCATAATATATATAAATATACGAAATGAGACAATAAATCTCATGAGTACTCAAACGAATAATCTTTATAATAGTTATAGGTTTTGCCAAAAACATTGCCCCAAAACTAATGTTTGATTCAATGATTCCCTATGTTTTTCATAGACAAGCCTTTGGCTATTTTATTAGTTTTTGATGAATTCATCAATTTTTTGTCGTTACTTTACGTTTGCTAAATATACAGTACAAATATATATATATTATTTATATACCGTATAGTTTACACCGTAAATAGTATTGAACAAAATTGGATGTAATCGATATACTATTAAAGTATATTTCTATCGACCAAAAAAGGTTATCAAATCTATCATTAAATTATCAGTGTTTTTGACATATACTATGGCTATGATATCTAACAATTATTATTAAGTGCAGCTCATGAAAAATTCATGTCTTATTGAATTAGATATCATAGGCATAAAAGTTGCCATAAATATGATACTTTGAGATCTGATTTGCAATATATATATATATATATATAACTTATACTGTATCTATATATATATTTTATAAAAATATATTACAGACACCGTATATAATCTACGATAAAATAGTATATCTGTTTGAGGTTAACATTCTTGTGTTGTTTGTATGCCCTCATTATTAGTCATATTCATTCAAATACAACACATATACAAAAATATGTTAAAAATCAAAATCTAATCACAAGAACAGTGAATATATAATTAATAAAAATTAGCGCAAGTATTCACTATTTTCTAAGTTTAACCCCAAAATTATGTTGTTGTTAATTATCATATGAATAATTGATAAGTTTGTCTCATTGGGGTATCTCATCATTAACTACCCGATATTTCAAAACATTTTGAGTACCCAATAAAATAAAACCAATTATTTATATATAATTTCAATTCATATTTTTTGATAAAATAGTATTATTAGCCCAAAGGTTTCTGATTCTGATATATAAAATCTATTTTTATACACTTGTTAAGTAAAATTTGGTTTATTTATAAATAATTGATATTTTAATAAATTACACCAAAAAATTTATAATTTTATTTAAACAAAAAAAACTTAACGACTTTTGATAACTTTCATAAAATTTTATTTTTTATCATTAATTATAAATTAAATAGTTTGACTAAATTTCTCTATTTAATGAAAACGATTACTACTTTTAAATATTATTTCATATAAAAAAATATTATATTTTTAAAAACAGTATAAGAACTTGAACAGTAAAAATTTAATCCATTAATTTTGGCTTAAAATAGTAATTTTAATTAACTTTTATAATAAAGAAAAACAAAAGTAATTTTTAAAATTAAATTTTAAAACAATTTAGATTTACAATTTGCTTAATATTTATCTTATTTTTTCAATTAAAGATATAATGTGCCAAATATATACAGTATACCTGTACAGGTATACTGTGTAATATAAGTAAGGGGTCAACAAAAGTAAACCAAGCAATAAAAAAGTTAAAATGACTTTAAAACTAATAGACAAAACTATAAATTTGTGTCAGACTTTTGTTGTTATTGTTTTATATAGTTGTAAACCCAAGTCATTGCAAAGGAAATAATAAAATCTTATTTTTTAAAAAATATTTTATAAGAAAAACAAAATAACTTTTTAATGTTATTTTATTTAATGATTAAAATTAACAAATAAATTATTATTAGTGATAAATATATACAGAAATTTTCTTCTACACTAATGCAAACAAGTTTGATATACTCTACAATGTATTATAATAAGTGACAAATAATAATAAGATAATACTGTAATAATAATTATAATAATATAATTGCAAAGATCTATTAAGTAGTGATATTTGATTTGATAAAACTAACTAAAAGAAAGTAATTGTTTTTATTTATATCTTATAGTTGATGTCATTGAAACATTGAAACATTGAAACATTGTATCATGGTAAAATAAGTTTGTAATACTGTAATGTAATGTCATATACATTAATTAATTTATATACATACTGTTTCATTGATGGCTTGTGATTGGCTAAAACTTTTGATAGATTACAACTTATAACGTCTAATAAGTCTTGAGTCCCCCAACAGTGTTACTAATGCTTTGATATGAGACAACTGTTTGACGTTATTAATGTCCATCGATTAGTAAGTGTATGAATCATAGAGTGTTTGTGCCTTTAATAACAAACTATGGGTTGTGTTGTTGTGTTGTTGTAGTGAATCCCGCATTGAATTCAGTGTTTGTTAGACTAGTGTTGCGTTCAGTCAGTCATTGAATTGAATGAACGCTAGCTTTAAGTCATTGAATTTGATTGGATTTAAAGGGAAAATACCTTTAAATGTGTTTCATATGGTTTGACGTTATGTTTAGTGACACTAATTGTCTATTAATTATAACAATATAACAGTTTATTGTCAACAAATCATTTGACATAATATTCATACAATTGTCTTGAAATATAAGTTATTATCACTTGATTTGGTCTAAGAAATGGCTAAAGACGATCAGCAGGTGATGATTGACGACAAGTCTAGTGTCAATCACAACAACAATAATAATAATAACATCGAAAACAATTGCATGTCTTGTACGCCGCCGACGGTGGCCAACGACCACAACAAGACCATCACTATGAGTGCCAATCGGTGTCCGTCGGCGGCCATTAATCACCATAGAGTTAGTCTCCAGCGATTGTCGTCCGAAAGTCGGGCCAAAAGAGTAAAGTTCTTCATAAACGGAGATAAGTTTTTCAAAGGCTATATCTATGTCTTCAATGATAAGACAATCCGTACTTTCGATGCTCTCATTCAAGACCTGAATCGACTCTTTCGACATCAAGTAAGACATTCTGTCATTGATTTCTTACAAATTTATTGATGAGTTGTTTGTTATCATATTTCTGACACAAATTTCTCTTCAATCAAAAGTGTGTCTAAAAGTGTTTTTTTCTTACATTTTTTGTTTGTTTGTTGTTTTGTAGCAAATATTTTCATCATTTTGTTTGATGTTTTCAAAGCTATATATTTATTTCCTTAACACTTGTCATTTCAATTTAATTTTTTAGATAAAATGTTTTTTTTGTAAATTTAATTAATCTATTGATTTAATTAAATTATTTTTATTGCAAAATAAATTTTAAAAATATTTTTAAAATGATGTCATATAAGGAAAAGTTAATTATTTTTGAAATATTATTTTCATTTCAATGCTTTAATTTGAATTTAATTAGTTTATAATAATACTATTGAGTTTTTGGTATAAATTATTATACCATATAATAATGTACAGTACTATACTATAGACTGAAGTTTTTATTAGTATTAATGATAAAAACAGTTGATTACACTTACACTCATTTCAAGGCAAATGAGACACAAAAAAAACGTTTCAAAGATTAAAATAAAACATTGGAAATGTTTGAATTAAAAATTAAGTATTTGAATGTTATTTTTCTATTGAATTTTTAATGAATTTAACCTTTTATTTATTATTTAAATTTTTAGCTCATAAAATATTATTAAATACCACTTAATTATTAACAAAAGACCAGAATATTAGCAAAAATGATAATTAATATATATATTTATCGGTGGCAGTGAAGTAATCCTACACTTGTCTGTGTGTAGTGTTTAGTATAATATGATGTGTATGTGCTGTACTGTATGTCCTATTTTGGTAGTGTCTCTCATCTAATGTTCACATATTAGTAGTTTTAAGTCTTAGAAAAATTAAATATTCATACTTTATTATATTAAATATCATATATATATAATATAATATATGTATATATTTATAGTATATTCTTTATAAAAATGCTTAAATAATTGATTTCACGAAATGCCAATTATTTGCTTCATTACTCATTCAAAACTGTGTTTAGTTATCGAAACACTGTTTTATATTTTATTTATATATATAATAATAATTGCATTCTTTAATACTTTATTTTTTCCCTTTACATGGACTTATAGATAGTGAGCACTGGTATTATATAAATATTTCGCCTATAATTACTTCTAAATATAATAAATGCATTTTATTTAATACACATACCATTGACTGTTTAAAATAACTTCTGTTTATATTTAGATATTCATTATATTACAGTTTATAATATACTGTATAAAAAATATGATACCACCGTCTCCTCTGTTAATTGTCTTTACTATAAAAACCATTTGTTATTTGTTAACATATTTTTATTTTTTATTAAATAAAAATAACTAACTGTATTGCACTATTTGATAGTTGTATTGTTATGTCAATGTCTCAATAGATTGTAACTTTGATTTTTATATTGTTTCTTAGTTTTACTTAAAATATTTTGTTATTTATAACTATTGATTTTCACATTTGTTTTACTCTTTATTAACTCAAACTTTTTTATATTTTTTGTATTTGTTTTGTATTATTGTATTATTTTGTAGTCCCGATAGAAGAATTTTTTCTCAAATTGAGTGAAAGTCAATGTATTTCTGTTATTTATATACTCGTGTGTATATAAGTTTGTATTTTTATATTTTTAGTTTTGTAACTTATTTTTTTGTGGACAAACCCATAGTTGTGTTGAATAGTTTTGTTTTATAGTGTATAACGAAAAGAATAGAGAGATATAAAAATGAATGATTTTTTCAACAATTTTGGTTTCTTTTATAATCGTATAAATCGTAATGTCTTTTAATATAATGTCTTTCCGTTTTCTTTTCTTTATCTCCTAAAAAACTATTATCTGATTTGAATAAAAAAAACTACACAACAAATACAGTAATATCGCATTTGAAAAACTATTATTTCATTGAATATCAGGCACTGAAACTTGAATTAATAAATATATCTTAGCAATGATTGCATGCCTTTATTGTGTTGAAACAAATTTTTATTGTTTTTTTGTCGTTTTGTCTAATTTTCTTTAAAAAAAATCTCTTCTCATTTTCTCAATTTTTTACATTTCAAATACTTATTGAGTGAGAAATTGATTTAGTTTTGGTTCAAAAATTGACATAAAAAGCGGAATATTTATTACTCGCCGAAAACAATGACAAAAATTGTTTGACATTTCTTTATAATCATATATATATAAATACATTGTCTTTGTTTGCACGATATTTCAAATGTTTTTCGTTCACAACTTGTTTTGCAGTTTTGTTTAGCAATCGATTACATTATATTTTGTGATCTTTAAGACACCAAGAGATACACCAAAAATAAAGCAAAGTCTACAAAACGCTTTTAGCATTTGATTCACTGCTGCTTTAGGGGCTCTCTGTATGAAAATCTTCATAAGTATAGTGAGATTTAAAGACAAAACGCGAGAGAAATAACATTAAATACATTATATCGATCCAAATGTATGGCACGGGTAGAGAGTGGGAGCACATCATTAAACTAATAGCCATTTCTATGTTGTGAAAATGTACACAAAAAACAGTTATATTAATCTTATGTTTTGTTAAAATTCAATTGCATTGTTCCATATATATTGTAGTTAATATTTAATATGAAAATTATATTGTTTTACCAATTTTTACATATAATTTTTAAAGTAAATATTTGACAATTGTCTGCAATTTTTCCCATTATTTTTGATTAAATTTGTATTAGAATAATAAGATTATGATATTTATATTATTTATATAATTTTTGCTGAATGTCTGTTCAGTAAAGTTTGTAGTAATAGATGTCTGGTCTGAACACAAAACATGAAACCATATAAAAGTATTTGAAGCAAACGTTAGACTCTAATGAGTCTTATAGTTAATGAAGTGTTTTCTCACGAATCACACCTACCGTTTGGACATTAGTTCAGTCATTTAAAAAAAGTCATCCAAATTATCATATTTTTAAAAATTATTACATCAGAGATGTACTATATATGAGTTCAAACATCATTTAAAATCGATATATTTGACACACCTTTAATTTTTAATGATTTAAATGAAATAACAAAATTACTTTAATATATATATATATTTATTTATTTATCGTATATATTATATAATAAGTGATTGCACTCCACACACACACACACTTAAATATATTCATTAATGTTTGCAAATGAAATAAAATAAAATACCAATAAAAGTGGTGACTATTGAGTTAATGTATAGCAACGGAAACGTATGTTTTTTATTATAGTTTTTATTATATATTTTTATGAACTTTTGCAATGTTTGAGTGATTTTTGTTTCATAAATAGTCTCAAATGATCTGCAAATAGTGTCTATTTAATCATCAATTAATAATAAATTTAAATTCAGTTGAATGTCGGTAACAATAAATGTTAGGTTCACTTACACCAACTGATCATTCATTAACTGGTCGTTGAGTTACAGCAATGGGTTAACAAACAAAAAACATGTTTAGGTTTTGTTGTTTCACATGTACTACCACTTCATCACATGACAGCCCTAATGTCCATTAAATATACACAACAAACACCACACCATTACCAGCAACTGATAATCTAATTTAGTTTAATTAATTAATTTATAAACTAAACAATTAAAAAAATTGCAAACAAAACACAATGCACTATATTGTACAATAGATAATACAATATCTATATATACTGTATAATACTGTTATATAATATGAATACTTATCATAAGATAATATACTTGTATTTTTCATTCACGATATCAATCAAATGTCATATTTCACATTATATTCACATTATATCTATGCTTCAAAACTAACTTACAGTACTGTATAATAATAGAGTATTATAGAAACATTAATGCTTTTGTGAATAACATCTTTATTTTTGAAACGACCACTTAATTTACTTATAAATTGTATGTACATTATGTTAGACATATTGTATGATATAATATATCTCTGATAACATGCCATTGACTACCTGTCCTTTGTATGCCAAACAAGTTGAAAAAATTGTAGTCTATAAACCTGTGAAATGTTTTTTTTGTATTTTAATAATTTGTTATCAAAAATAGCATATATACTCAATAATATTGAGTCAATATAAGTGCATTTCCTGAAAAAAAACTTATCTTTTTGATGCAATACATTTGCCTCTAATTATATTAAGACATTTTGTCAAAATTTGTTATCTTCAATGTTATACTTATAATTCAATTGCACGTTTGATATTATGAATTTTATTTGAAATACAATTGAACTGAAATTTATTTTGTTATTATAAAATAGAAAATATAAGTTTTCTCCTCTTTTTTCTGTGTTATCTATTTTTTGTATCAAACACTCCATCCCTAACGTTGACCTCATATTTTAAAAAGATTTTACACTAAATTTGGCTCATTTTCAGGTAACTATTAAACTTGAAATTATAATTTTCAATCGTTCATTGAATTAAAGCTTTGCTATCTTTGAAATGAATAAAAATTCAAATTAATTGTTTTATTACTTTTTTTTATGATTTTCTATTTGTAAGAAAATTTTATATTATATATAAACAAATCGTGACTTATTTTGCACACATGTTTGCGCCCAAAATACATATACTTTCAAACTTGAAATTTTCTGTGTTAAAGATTTTTGGATTTTGAAAAAATTAAAATTATTATCAGACAAGAGTGCAAACAAAATCAAACAAACAAACGGTTTAAATGAATGCATATTTAGTGGTAATAAATCAGTGACATTTTAATGTACTCTCATAACAAAAACGTTGAAATTTTCGAGGTTTATGCCCAATGAGAGAGAGAGAGAGAGAGAGAGACTCTTGAGATCATACAATACCAGAGCCCTGATTGCTATAAATAAAAACTCTTAAGTTTTTATTCAATAATTTATAAGTTTGCGAACATTTTTATCAATTTTTATACTTGACTATTGAAAACATATTGAGTGTAGATCTTTATGTTCACAAATCTACTGATTGTCATTCATATCATGTATTGATTTGTTTCCTTAAAAAACCACTTTAATCGACACAGATATGGCTTTGAATAGTATATCAAAAACTCATTCACATTGTATAAGTTGATTACAATTTGTATATAATTTATTAATATTCATTTCGATAATAAAAGTCAATGGATTGTAATATAAAACTAACTTTTAATACATTTATATATTTTGAAATAATTTTTAACATACAGTAACTAATTGATCAAATACTGTAGTGAACTGTTGGTCACGTATTATTGGTAATCATTTTTCTATAAAATTGTTATAATTAATAATAAATTATTAACTAAATTTAGTTATTATTTATATCAGAGATATAATGGCAATCTTTTATATCATAAATTATAAAAGAAAGTATTTAATATAAATATAGACTTTGAATATAATAACTTATTTAAATATGCGATGTCTATCAAATCCAACATTTCATTGTTTTTATGACCAAAAATAGATATAAATATGAACACTAAATATTTTGTAAGTCAATACCTGTTTTTGTTTGAAGGCATTCAACGTTTATTTATCAAATAAAAATTTAGATACATATGTTTAGCCTCATATAACAACATATTTTAGATATTGTTTGTATTTTATATATTTACTATAATATCAAAATATCTAATATTTAAACTTGTTTTTAGCGTCAAAAAATTGTTTTTACATTAACTTTATATTAAATATAAGCTTTGCATACATTTATTTTTACATTAACTATAGCATAAAAGACTGCGACTGATTTGCCCACAAATATATAATCTTATAATTATAATAATTTTATTATTATAACGTTAGTAGATGTGAACTCAATTTTTTGTTAACAGTTGTTTGTTTTATTAGTAATGAAAAAATTTATTATATGTTGTGTTTTATATCATAAAATATGTTTTTATTCTTGCAATAATTTTATTACTTGAATTACCGTTTATTGATGTTTTTATTGTTATTTTTATACATACTAAATGTGTCACAAAATAACAAACACATTGGATTATAATACATAAAAGTATATATTATATAAATATATATTTCTCACACAAAGTTAGCATTTTAAAAAGTCTCATTAGATATATATATATATATATATATATATATATTATACAAAAAAGATGCATTACAGTCATATTGTTTTTTAAAATGATTTTTAAGTATTTGATGGCTTTAATCACGAGAGAGATGTTTTTACTCTTAAGAGATTTTTCCAAAATATATTAAGCAAATAAAGTAATGTATTTAATGTAAAACAAATTACAACAGAGATAAGAGTTTATAATTAATTGCATTCATTTTGAAGATTTTAAAGTTATGCTAAATTACTGGACTATTAGTTAATACATAATATTTGAATAATTTACGACAGAAAGAGGAGTCCTGTCTCAATATGTGCTCCCAAATGACAATACTATTATATTAGTAGTTATAGTAATGGGAATGTTGTCATTGTTTTTCCCGTTTATTAAGATATCTCTGATTCCCAGTAAAGGCAACTGTTTTATGTATTATATTGTTTGCATCAATACATGACTTGAAGCAAATTCTTGTATAACACGGAAAGGGTTATCGCACTTAACTTTCAAGTATTTAATTGTTTTTTATCTCAAATATCTATTTATTTACTTCATAATAATTTCAGTGATAAACATAAGTATATTTTTTTGAACATTATTTGATAAACGCATTTGAAGCATAATTTTAAATTATCATAATATATAATATTAATTTAAAGATTAAAATTGCATTATGTTAATAAATCACTCATATTTAAAATTTTTATCATATGTTTAATATAATTTATTAATACTAAGTTCTAAAAATTGTTATTAAGTCAAGTGTTAATATAATTTTTCGTTATTTAATAAAGTTTTGTTTATTATGAACAATGATTGACTTATTTTTGTCTTTTATTTTATTAAATATAATATATTTTGTTTGACATATAGATTGGTTTACCGTCTGGTGTTCGTTACATCTTTACCATAGATGGTGGAGAAAGAGTGTCATCATTGGAACAGTTGAACCAATCGATGAGTTATGTGTGTTCTTCAGCAGATAATTATATTCGCTTAGACTATGAATCGTTTTGCAATATCAGTAACGTTTGCGCCAACAGTTCAGTGAGCCTTAAAAATCATAGCATTATTAATAACACGAAGAAGTCTATCCATGAGATTAATACCGATAATCAATTGACAACACCATCGGCAACACTACCACTCAATTCATCACATATTAACTCATGTCTAACTCAATCATTGCAGACATCATCGGTTAGCTCTTCTTCATCAACAGCATCTCCGACACCGAAAGCGCCGCCAGATTTTATAAGACCTAAAATAGTGACAATAATGAAGAATGGAGTGAAACCACGGAAAATGTTTAGATTATTACTCAACAAAAAGACAGCACAGACTTATGATAAAGTGCTCAACGATATATCAAATACGATTAAACTGGACTCCGGAGCTCTTAGGAAAATATACACCCTATCAGGCAATCAGGTATGTAAAGCTAAATGAGCTATCATTACACAACACAATCAATACAATAAAGGAGGTATCATATGGGGAACTACTACTACAGCAACAACAACAACAAAACGGCACTCAATCATGGCTTTCATTGTATTTGCTTTTAACTCAATTCAATACAATTTATCCATTACTAGACATAACCCATGTATTACATACTCCCCAACACACGTGAGTCACTATTTAGACGATACTGTTTCCCTAAACATTGTGTACATTTAACTATTTATTTGTAACCAATGTATGGCACACTTAGTTTTTTATCAGCTATTCTTTACATTAATTGTTTTTGTCTGTCCTCTAAAAACATTTACACATAAACCGATTAATATTGATCTCCAAGGAGGAGGTCTTGTCTTTATTCGTCAATATTTCTTTCAATATCTCTTTCACCGCTCTTTTCTTTATTTTTTGTTTTCTCTATTTGTTTCACTGTTTTCTTCACATCACTAATACTTACGTTTCTCTCATCACTAACTCTTACTTTTCCCTCTACTCTACCTAACATTAGGGGTGAATATTATATAAAGTATCACTAATGCAGACCTTTAACCCCCGAGAGCTCAGCCTTTACTTAGTAAGGTATTTACGTAAGCTATCATCTAATTTATTATGCATCACATCATTTGATGTATTTTATAATTTGATTTTATTTTTACTCCTTATTGAAACTAATATGAGTTTATTGTTGACTGAACACTGAAAACACAAATGTATTGAAATATTTTTGGAAAATACTTATATAAAAAGCAATCATTCGCTCATTAATAATAAACTTTTTTAAAAAATGATTATTTCAACAGTAGATTAATTTTTACTTAATTTTTGGTGATTGACTTTTCAGGTCTTATGTTTGTCTGACTTTTTCACTGACGACGAAATCTTTATTGCATTTGGTTCTGAAAAGTATTCTCACGAAGACTTAGATCTCGATCCCGAAGGTATGTATGCATTGATTCATTCAATTGAGTCCAAAGTCATGACAACTTGTTTTTGATGTGACGACTAGTTTGGCAAACTTGTAGACAGAAAGAACCCAATAGTTATAGCGAACCCATAGCCGTAACGTATCGATTATGAGTCATTCCCTTTATTTTTGTCTATTACTCCCTTTCCTTTCCTCATCCCTCAGCTATGTTAGTGATGTGTTAGTAATATTGGTTTCATATATGCTTTTCTGCCCGCCTTTACATATAATAGTTGGTTGTGTTTAATAGATATTTGTTGTAAAAATGCAGTTTATAGTAGTGTTGATATAACACATAATTTATTTGTTGTAAATTTAAACTGATTTTTCTCATTTATTGTTACCATTTGAACCATTGATTGTGATTCATAACAATAGAGAACAAACTACTAAACAGTTTCAAGACATCGTCATTGACTAGAAATTTATGTAATAGAAGTTCTTCAAAGAAGACAACTTCTGGTTCGCCGCTATCAGTCATTTACGGTTCCATAAGTAATGGCAAAGGAGTCAACACTACTAACAATCAAAACTCACCAAAAATAGGCTCAAAAGTTAAAGAAAAAAACAGTCGAAATATAGCTCTTAACGGCAATTATCTATACAATGGTAATACCAATGGAAACGGCTATTCCATATCGATTCTCTTTCCTAAACAAGTGACACAACTCTATGAAATCGGACAAATCATAGGCGACGGCAACTTTGCTGTTGTGCACCAGTGCTCGCATAAGACCACTGGAGCTCACTTTGCACTCAAAATAATCAATAAATCCAAATGTAAGGGAAAGGAGGCACTCATTGCTTCTGAAGTCGCGATTTTGCGAAAAGTCAAACACCAGAACATCATTCAACTCATTGAAGACTTTGATTACGCTAATGAACTCTATCTAGTCATGGAGTTAGTTAAGGTATGATATCCATTGACGCACATACCGGTGCCACCAATTATTTACACTCAAACTTTTAGTAATTTAATAATAACTTTGAATTAATGAACAATAAAAAAATCTAATTTATAAATCTCGACATTCATTAAGTTTGCACTCTATTTAAAAATATGATTTACATTAGAAACAAACCAAAGCGTAATATAATTATAATTAATGATATGTTTCACAACATATAATAACTCTAATACCATTATAATTGTCACAAAACTATTAATTATTTAAAACTAATATTTTTTATATCTCAAAGGGCGGGGATCTGTTTGATGCCATCACTTTAGCTAATAAATACACAGAAGTAGACGCCAGTCATATGATTCATGATTTAGCCGGTGCTCTACAATACTTACATTCAATGAATATCGTACACAGGGATGTAAAACCTGAAAATTTGCTCATTTATGAGAAAAATTGTGTCAAATCATTAAAATTAGGAGATTTTGGTTTAGCCGTCGAAATGGAAGATAATCTATTATTGTACTCTGTTTGCGGAACACCTACTTATGTGGCGCCAGAAATACTTGCCGAAACTGGTTATGGCAAACAAGTGGACATATGGGCCGCTGGAGTCATAGCTTATATACTTCTTTGTGGTTTTCCTCCGTTTGCTAATGAAGACAACGATCAGGACTTACTGTTTGATCAAATACTTTCGGGCAGTTTTGAGTTTACAGAACCCTATTGGGAACCCATCTCAGACTCAGCTAAGCATTTGATAACACGGATGCTTGAAGTCGAGCCTATCAGACGTTTGACCGCAACTGAAGTGTTGGAACATCCGTGGGTTGCTGTAGGCATCACTTATTTTAACCAATGTAACCAACATTAGCTTTATAACTAATTTTATTAATTTCTTGCATTTACTGACCCTTTAGGGTGACAGCACCGGTACTAACGATGTATTGAATACAGTCTCTCGAAGACTTAGCAGACATTTTGATAAGAAATCTAACAATCAAACCGAAAGCTGTACTGAGAATATGGCCGGCATTTCGCTGATAGCCGTAAGTACCTATTGAGCGGTAAGGCCACTCAGTGCCATATTCCGGTACATGTTATGGTGGTGCTGCTCACGTCCCGTTCCGTTATTGATGTCAATGCAAATTGAATAATCTGTGATATTAATGCTATTATAGACCATTGCTCTCTAGTCCCGTTCCTTCACTTAACAGCTTTAAATGTTTACTACTTTTTCTCTCTTTTTATTTTTTTTTCTTTCACTACATCTTTCAATAACTTACTTTGACTGACACATGCATTGAATGAATTGAAAACTATCGTTCAATTTCTGTCTAAATTTATATTTTCAATATTTTTATGCATTTCTTTTGTTAAAAAAAATAAGAAAATCTTTTTCATTGATTTTGAAATTTACTGAAAAAAATGTAAAATCATTGATTTGTTGAAATTTGTGTATAGTTATAGAAGAAGATAGCATTTGATAGAATTAAAGATTTTGCTGATTTATCTGATATTTTTTTATTGTTACTATTGTTTTGTTGAAAGTCTATAATGAAAAAAAAATTATTTTAATATATTTTTGTTAGAAATTGTATTTTATTTATTTGTTTTAACTGTATATTTGTCTAAATTTAGTAACATTTCATGTTTTACTTTTATATTTAAACCCAAGTTTTCAGTTAATTGAATGCCTAATTAATTTAGTTAATAATTTTGTTTAGTCTCATACCAAAAAAGTTATAACAAATTGACTGTTTTATTGACATTAGCTTATATTATATAATATAATACTAACACTTATACTACAAATGAAAAGATTTTTTTTTGTATAAATATGTAATGCATTAATAGTAGTGTTTAAGTTAAGTGTCTTTCCGTTAATATTTGAGATATGAATTAGCAATTGAAACGATATTTATATAACTGTATGAAAAACAGAGGACAGCATTGGATAAGAAGCCGATCGGGAATGTCAGGCATTACTCGCGGCCCTACAGTAAGGGACGGAATCCAGTGATCAGATTTGCTGTGCCTTTGATTCTTCCGAGAACTTCATTCTGATAGTGATTTTGTGCCAACCATTCAATAACTAACATTCCCTTCAATTATACAATTGCTTAAAAAATTACTACTAATTGACTACTATTTGATATGAAAAACTAATAACTTTTTCAACACTAACTGTCAACAAAACAACTCATACCTCATTTCCACTTATTTTTATTAATAAAATTATTAATATTTTAGACACAATACTATTGTTTGTTTAATAATAATTTTATTAGATTTATATAATAAATATACAATTATAAATATATATACGTATATAAAATGTGCAATCATTATCATAAAAAATTTATAAAATTTATATATATATTTAACTATTGTAATTATGAGATATTTTAATCAAATTTTTAAATTGTTTAAATTTATTACAATTAATTATAAATTATGTAATAAAAAATAAACTGTGAGATTAATTATATACAATTTATAAAAAATGATATTTTATAATAAATAACTAATGTTTTATAACAAAGTCATTTAAAGTGTTTTTATTTCATTTATAAAATATTATAAATTAATTGTTTATAATATTTATCTAAATTATTATTAATGTGATATAATAGATGGCATATGCATATCGGGGTATTAGTTAATTGAAACTAATAATACATTTGTATTGAATATCTATACAGTAGTATAATATTAATACTTTAGTATATTCTATATACTATCATATATTAAATATTCTATATAATAGAATTTATACTATACTATAGAATCTATAGAAATAACAAATGTTATCACTCAAACAATTGTAGTTTATAACTATACTATACTGTTATTATAAACATTTTATTATACATATTATATTGCAATGTTGGCTTTTTAAATAAAAATATGTCAATACTATGTTATACAAAATAATTAAATCTATTTTAATTATATTCTAATGAATCCAAATTTATCAGTGCTTTAACAATGTTATAGTTATAGAATAATATATCTAACAATAACTAGAATATATAGTAAATTATTGCAATGTCTATAATTATGCTTATACTGTACTTTACTTATTAGTGTATATATAATTTAATGTTTATTTAATAAGATTTGTTGAATTATTATTATTTTTCATTTTTATTTAATTTTCTTTTATAGAACTACATTGTAATTGTACTGTATTTATACAATTGCTTGATATAATAATTATATAGAGTCTCATCAAATGCAATAATTATACAACAGATAGTGTATTATTAATTAGATATCTATTGAATACGAGTTTTGTTTTATATGAGTAAATCACTTGCAATCCATTTTGATAATTGTTGTATATTAACATCAACTTCAACATCATAGTATAGTTAACAATACAATATATACATTAATTTATATTTAATATAATTTAAATCTATTTTTGTGAGCACTTATGTGTTAAACTGTCTTTACTGTCTATAAAAATGTGTTAATATATATTCAATATATAGAAAGTGCATATATTTTATTTGGAGGCAATTATGTGGCTAAAAATAATTATATAAACAAAATATCAATGATTTTTTTTTTGTATAAAACATTATACTAAAGAAATTTAACACTTTTGGATTCTCATATGAAATAATAATAAATTTTTGTTTTTTTCTGTCAACAATATAATGATCTCCAACATTGAAGTAGCATTTGGTTTATCATAAATTTGTGTCAAATTAATTGATTGATTGCAAATATACAAACAATATTAAATTAAACAAAACTGTATCTAAAAATACATTTAATATCAATAACAATTCAATGATAAAGATTTTTGTTAAGAATAATATGTTAAATCATAATTCAAAATATGAACCAAATTGTTGCTGTGTTTTCATTATTTATATTAATTTTAATAAATACAACAGCGATATGAGTTCCCCTCATGACATTAAATGCCTCATCAATAGTGTTAAGTTTATGTATATTTTTAGTATAAAAATTTAGTTAAATTATTTACAATATAGATATATAATTTTTGTGCACTGATTCCAATCAATCAGTTAATTTTTGACACATTATTAGTGTAAACTAAACGTTAAGAGCGAAGGCTAAGACTGGGAAAAGTTATTGTTGACGTCTGACGTCGATATGACTCAAAATTTTATGATTTCTTAGAGAGATTACCGACAGAAAAGTGTTAATGTTTGCAAAAATGTATTATTAAAATCATTACAAAAACTCATTTATTGTTTATAATACTTATTTTTAGCCACAAATTACTCTAATTTGTTCATTAATGGCCTAATAAAGTATATTTTAGTGTTTTTAGTACAGAATATTCTTTAATATATTATATCATAATATAAAACGTGTTTTTAAAAATGTTTGTTTCATTTATTACTCATTAAAAATCACTACTATTTGCTAATTATGCGATACAAACAACTTTTTAATATATGTCATAAAACTAATTATCATTAAATATAAACTTTATATTTATTTTATAGTTTATATTATTTAGAGCTGAATTTGTGCAAACTTTTTTGGCGCACAAATAAAATAATAAACATTAGAATTTAAAATAAATATCAAACTTTTACGTACAAAAAGTTATTTAAAAATACAAGATTATTACCAGAGTTTTGTTCAGTATTTTTTTGAAACAAAAAGAAAAAATATTATTTATTATATAGTCTATCGTAAGTGCATGTAATATCTTATCAGAAAAAACTTAATATGTTTTTTTTAAAAATAAAGACATTACTATAAATTAGGATTTTTTGCCCGGAATTATGTTGGATTGACCTAAAAAAATCACACATTCAGACACACTGTTATGAGTAATAAATTATTGTTTTAGATGTCGTTGCTGTGAATTACATGAGTTTTGAAGTACACTTGAAGATCGATTCTGTGTTTCGCCAATTAATGTGATTTTTTTTCATTCAAACAAATCAAATGTTGCTTTTCTTAAACAACTATTACATAAACATTGACTGTTAAGCCCAGAGAACATTACATTTTTATCTATACATATGATCTTTGATGGTTTGAATTCTAATTTTAGCATTTTATTAATGTATAGCTTATATTATAGTTGATAATTGAGAGCTGGCTTAATGAGGACCATAGGATTTTGAGAGAAACTGTTGTCTCATATCTAGAGCTTTACGACAAAATAATATAGAGTTCAGTCAACTTTATTCTCGATTCTGTTAAAGAAGTGGCAAAAAATAAAAGAGGAAATGTTTTTAAGAGATATACTTTTAGAGAGAGAGAGAGAGAGAGAGAGAGAGAGAGAGAGAGAGAGAGAGAGAGAGAGAGAGAGAACCAGGAATATGAATATTATAGTTGACTGAACTCCAAGTATTGTGAAATTGTCGACTCACTCACTATTACATCTTAACTCCTGGTCTTCATATCGACTCATCATTTACTACGAATAGATGTATTGTAACTAAATTTAGACTCAATCTAACAGTTCTTTCGTATAGTGAGAGAGAAAGAGTATGACAGTTGAGAGAGAGATAGAGAAGCAGTCTTAACATTCAGTATTTAGCTTAACTCGTGTTAAGTCGTGTGTAGACATATCAGAGAAAACCCCAACAGTTATATATAAATATTATTTATATAATTATTAGTATTTAGTGCACACATAATGTCTGGAATACCTTCGCGGCGGAACTCGTCGTATGGCTCATCTTCTTCATCGTCGTCATCGACCAGATCTGCGCCCAAAAATGGACAATCGGTCCGCAGGTCACAGTCCATGCGTTACACGCAAAGACATAATAGCAATATGAGTACAAACAGTACCGGTTCGGCGCCTCCTCTTAATAGAGCCCGAAGAGTGTCATCGATTCCCAACAATATTGCAAAAACTGAAGAAAAAGTACTCAATAAAGAAACATTTGATTACAATAGTAATAATGATTACAAGAATTACAAAAATCAAATGAAAAACAATGGAAAGTCAGAAAATGATTGCAATTTTATTATAGCCAAGGATTTGGATCATTTCAAAAATGGTGAGATCTTTAGTCTAATTATTGTTTTCTATAAAATTGATTTTTTATATGAATTAAAATTTTGTTAACAGAAAAAGTAATTCGTATATTAGTTATCGGTTCACAAGACAGCGGAAAGTCATCACTGGTCTCACAATTTTCACACTTTCTCGAAGACCAGAGACAAGAATACGGTTCAAATCAAAACCAAAAGTATTTGATTCTTAACTTTAAAGAAATTGAAAGCCTCGACACATGTTTCCCGCGATCACCGCTAACCGTATATATGCCCGAAGCATATATTGTCATTTACGCTGTTAATGACCGGTAAATATTATTATTATTATTTATATTAGTAGTTAATTATTAAAACCAAAATTTTTACCGCAAAGTAGTCACTTAGCGGTGTCTATCATCCAAACATTAAATTTTATTTTTGGGAGTGTATTGACTTTTATAATAGTTGTAACTTATAAAACTAAAATAAAAAATACATTTTAGGAAATAGTTTTTATTGTTTACTTCATTGAAAGTGCAATGATTTGAAAATACAACAAAAACTAAACAAAGTAGTGTTATATGAGACAAATTAAATCAAATAAAATCTTCAAAACTTATGTTATGATACATTGGCTCATAAAACTCCCACTAATTTTTGGTGGCTTTTTATAAGCCATTATAAATATACGGCAAATTCTAGACTTTTATTTTCTTTTAAAATTTTATACAATAAACAGTAAATTTAGTAACTTTTTGGACCAAATTTTATTTTAAAAGTTAATGTTTTCAAATAATTAATGAATTTTTTTACATTTATTTTCAACCAATTTATTAATTGATTGTCAAATTCAGTGAACCCTTCAATAACAAAGCGTGTGATGAATATAAATGATTTTTGCGTTCAAGTAATTGATTGAATGTCACAGTTTTAGTATCATTTTTGTATTAAAGCTTCAAAGTTTTTATTTTTTTAGTTACACACACACACACACACACACACACACACACACACACACATACACACATTTTTGACTCAAATTAGTTATATATTTTTTGTACAATAATGCTATTATTTTTACGAGAAAATTACATTTATTTTGAAAAATGTTATATAATTTTCTATAATATTTCAGTGAATCGTTTGAGAGCGCAAAACGAGTCATATCAGAGATACACAAATGGGATGATTTTGATCTGAAGCCAGTGATAGTTGTGGCCAACAAAACGGATTTAGTGAGGAGTAGGACCGTTACAAAGCAGGGTTTGTATTACTTTATTATCGTATTATTGAAATTATCAATTTTTCTGTCTATATATCATTGACTCATAAATAATGCTATTAATACCACAAATTGTAGTGAAATTGTAGTGCAGTGTTGTACTAATACTTGTCTTCAAAAAACGCTTATTTCTGCACTTTTTTGCTCCTAATTCACGAAATCATTAATCAACTTAAAGTAAACTCTCTCTCTCTCTCTCTCTCTCTCTCTCTCTCTCTCTCTCTCTCTCTCTCTCTCTCTCTCTCTCTCTCTCTCTCTCTCTCTCTCTCTCTTCTATCGTTATTACAAATATATATGTTATATAATGTTATATAATGTTCTATTATATTCTATATATATATATATTTTTTAGAGGGCAGACAATTAGCGATAGCCAACAATTGCAAGTATATAGAGACGAGTTGTGCCATTTCACACAATATTGACGATCTATTGACGGGAATCGGCGCCCAATTAAATTTGAAAAGCACTTCAAAATTGGGTAATTTTTTACTATTCAATACACTCTCACTTTTACACTTAAATAAACTTTTTCTAACAATTTGAAACATTTGGTATATTTGGTAATATATTTAGGTCAACCCAACAATACCGGTCGTAAACCTAATTTACTAAAACGTCTGCTCCGGAAAGCCGTCTTAAATAAGTCCAAGTCTTGCGATAACTTACACGTACTCTAAATTTGAATACATTATCAGCAAAATCAATGCAAATAATTCATGTAATATATTAATATTTATTTAAAATAATACATTATTTTTTTGTATATAATATTTAATATTATGTCATAAATACAAATTGATATTTTTAGTGTTTTTGTATAATTTGTGAATCATATATATATACGATCATGTTATATATATATATATAATTAATAATTTAATAGACTATGACTTATTGGTAAATATTTGTACAAATTATCAATTTATGTTTGTTTTAAATTGATAAATTTTGAACCGAGTCTATTACTCAATTAGCCTATTATAGAAATGTGTGATGTGATGATTGTACCATAATTTGCATTATTATTATTATTGACTTTAAATTTTTAATAAACATTTATTTGCAAAAAATACTTTATTTAACGTTTTATATTCTGTAAATGTTTTCTTAATTATTTATAAATCATTTTTTATCAGAAATAAATTAATGTGCATTATATATATGGTATTTGTATTATTAATTTAATACCATTTGTACTTATATTTAAAATTTGATTTATAATTAAGAATAAAACTAAAAATATTTATCTTATTTCATAAAAATATTTTGATTACTTGAAAAAATAATTTTAAAAAATAAAAACAAGTTTTAATGTAAATTTTAAATAATAATATTCTTATAACTGTTTTTATTTAATGTTTTGTTGAATACAAGTGTAGATTTTTGAATGTTTTCTTAGAATAACATTTTATATAATACTTATATTTGCTGTAAACTTAAGCTATATATAAAGTTTAACCCATTTTTCAAATAAGTAAATATCATAATAAAGAATATGCATATTATTCAAAATAACAAATATTTTTATCATAAAAATCTACATAACATATAAAACCTTTATTTTAAAACCAACAAAATTAATTATTTTAATTTGTTTTTAAGTAATGATTATAAGATTTCACATAATTTATAATTTCCATCAGAATTTCCTTAAAATTCTTAATAATAAAGTTGAGTGAACTCCACATAATTGTATGATTTTTGTTGAATTCATTCAATTTTATAGTTAAATGAGACACACTCTCTAACTTCTTGTCCTCATTATTACAAATAAAATAATTAAAGCCAAGAAAGAAAATCAGATAAAAAGACAGATAAACAAAGAGAGAGAGAGAGAGAGAGAGAGAGAGAGAGAAAGAAAGAAAGAGAGAGAGAGAGAAAAAAAAGAAAGAGAGATTGTTTTTCTTTTGAATTAATTAGAGACAGATTTTTAGTTGAGTAGTGAGTGAGAGACAAATCTTAATTTAAAAATTATTTTTACAATCATATGTTTGTTTAATATTATTAAAGTATGACATTTGTTGTGAAAGTCAAGGCATTTCTAATGTATTTCTTTGAATTAGTCATTCAATTTAGTTGTAAGTCTAATACAATTTCTTATTGTTTTCACAAACTGACGCAAATCTATTAGCAATAAAACCAATGTTTTAAAACAAACGATAACCCAATAAATCATAAACTCTAATATATTTACTATATTTTATATAAATATTGTTACAATTTTACATTAATTAATAATATTTTGTGTGTACATAAAATGTCATATGAATAATTAAAAATATATTTATAGAAATATTCTAATATGTATAACATAATAAATAAATAATAAAATTTAATGAAATAATAATAAAATAAATATTATTTTTCAATATTTAATATATTAAAATGTTATAGTATTTGTTTTATGTAGAAAAAACTATTAACAAATTTTTAAAATCTAAGTATAATTTTTTAATATTATATAGAATATTGACTTTTCTATTGATCATTATATTATACTATTGTTCAGTTTATGAATACATACAGTATATAATACTATATATTAAATTTACTATCATATCATAACTATCAATCATAAACATAAATTGTAGTTTTAAAATGTAATTTCAATCGATTTTATGATATATTCATAATAAAATCGATATAAAGGTTATATTGATGCAGATTTAAATGATACACCTATTCAATGCATTAAATATATTTATATCAAAATAAGATTTTATATTTTATATATAAAAAATAATATATATATTTAGGAAACGTTAACATTAAAAAACTTTAACATGTAAATCAACAAAATCAATAGTTTTTAAAAATTTTATATTATATTATTTATTTTGAAACTTATGATTAAGATAGTAATAATTTTGAATAAGATTTTTATTTTACATTAATAATGTTTAATATAAAGTTTATAAATAAAATATAAACATATTTTAGTCACTTTCTAGAAGACAATTGAATTGGAAATATTTGTCGAAATTTTCTTATAATTAAATAATTTCTGTAAATCATATTAATAAACAATATTTATTGAATCTTTTATAATAGAATTATTAAATATTATAACTTAAAATAATATTGTGATTTTTTTTAATTAATTAAAAATGCATTTAGTTATTATTTTTTAAATATTTATTATATAAATATAAAAATTTTAGTTAGATTATAGTTTTTTCAGTTAATTAATGTTTTATAAAATTAATTAACACTAAAAATCTCTAACCAAATAAATTGTTGCACTTGTTTTCAAATGCTAATGATATAGTGATTAATGACAAACAATTTCAATCGTTTTACTAATAACTTTCTTATGTAACGATATTTACATACAGTATATACCTTATTGTGTTATTAATTGCTAAAATCAAGAGTTAAAATTTAAAACCAATAAGTTTACAAAATAGATAAATTTGTTGTTTTAAATTTAATAAACTTTATTTATTAAATAGTTTAAATGAAATGTAAATTAAACCAATTATAAGAAAAGGGTAATATTTTACACTAATTTTTAATATACAAAATTTAGACAAAAAATACAATTTAAATAATAATAATAATAACTAAAGTGAAGGCTTTATGAGTGATCGATAAATCATTATTTGGTTTTTACTTTTGTTTCAGCTTTGCTTGTTTTCTGCGGATTCTTCGATATACTGAAGTCGAGTCTAACAAAAATAATGACAAGAATGCAGAGCGAAAATATGGCGACAACTATAAGAAGTGGTTCCTGAAGCATAAATATCTTCTGAAACTTATAGTGCACTTCAAGATCCTGGATGTGATCTTCGACTAAATTGCTCTTTTGAAAGACCAATACTGTGCGACCAATTGTATCCAAATATGTATAGTGTTTCTGATCCTTCTGGCGATCCACAGAATAGGCTGATCTATAGTTGATGTCATACGCGCCCTCCGGGAGTATCACTTTGACGACGACATCATCGATAATGCTGTTGTCAAAGATGTGATCAATAAATGGTACCTTAAGAACAAAATCGTTGCCATCGTTGAGCAAAACGTTTTGGGAGGTAATATAATAACCCAAAACATAATGTGTTTTCCAACCACCAAATAACGGAAATCGTGGCCTCAGATCAGCGACCAAATGCTTTGAAGTGGCCTTTAAATTACTGGTCGAAATGTTTCCGATTTCATCTCTATAGTAGATGTCGTATGCATTCAATGGTAGTTTGGTTTTCCATGACTTTACCGATGATATACCATTAGTCGGTTCCCGTTGGAACTCATACCGAGAAAACGGACCTTTAAGTTCAGCTCCGGTATGTAAAACATCAATAGTTTCTTCTACTGATACAATGGCCGACCAATGGCTAACCTCAATGTTACGCTCGAGTCGAGTGACTGTCAAAAAGGGTGAGTTGTTCTCGTAGTGTATCTTTAGTTCAGACTGACTGTTGGCCGCAATGTTTTCGTACGGACCATATGTTATGGTTCGGTCAGTTTGTGCCGTAGGTTTCAATTTGGTGTACGACTCGATACTACCGGTTGGCGTCAACTTTACTTTAGTTGTTTGGGTTCGCGTCTCATACGGACTCAAGAAGTAAACGTTACCGAAATATTGGACGAGTTGTCGATCCGATTGTACTATTTGTGTCGGGAATGGCAACAATGCGTGTGTTAATACAGATTCAATCTCAATGGTAGCACTGGCCGACTGTCCGGCAGCAATGGCCTCAGTAGAGGCCAACTCTAATCGATAAGTCTTGTCATCAATTTTGGTTACTTTAAGCGGATTCTTGTCGATAGTGGCCGAGATATACGATAATTGTTGTCTTTCATTATCATCCAAAACAACCAAATAGTGATCTAATTTCTTCTGATTCTTGCTATTGTCGACCACAACACGTGTCTGTATTTTAACCAATTGTGACGATATATCGATAACTCGGTCTACCTTTGCGTTGACCACTCCTTGTTGTCCACCACTTGTCTGACCTGAGATGACAATTGCATTGAATGCCAGTAATAAAGCCAATGAGGATAACAATGACAACAACAACATGTTTGCCATTAATGTCTTGTTTTTGTGCGACAATCACTTCAAACTAAGTGTTTATCGTATAAGACGTGGAAGTATTGCCTTTCAATTGCCGGCAATAATGACAACACTTTTATTATGGCATTCATATCATTACTACTACTAATAGTGACACTCATTGACTCCAATATATAACTAACAATACGTTTGTATTGCATTCAAGTCATTATATTTCAAGTATTCAACACTTATGGCACTACTTGTAGTCATTGTGGGAGTCATTCAAACCTATACTGACATTACATAACATATAACTATATTATTAGTAATATAAGTTGTTTGTCATTATAATTAAGTAATTAATTTATTGATTATTTTTATTATTATGATAAAACAGATTAACAAGTATAATGATTTTTCTTAAATCTACATACAGTATATTAATATTTTTAAGAAAATCAATCTATTGAAAATATTTAATTAAGTAACATAATTTATGGTTTACTTAATTAATTGAGCATGGTCTATTAATAAAATATGATAAGAATTTGAAGCTGAAAAAAATTAATTATCTTTAAATAAATATTTAACAAAAAAATAATATAATGAAATTCAATAATTATTATATTTTAATTGAAATCTAATATTTTATAATATTATCATATTATCGTTGTGTTGGAAGACATGCTTTCTCTTTAAAATAATATTTTTTTAAATTTTCTACAATTTTCTGTATATTCGCAGTAATTCCGGAAAACTTTTTTTTTAAATTGTTGACTATTTGTTTTGATGCTAAACTATTAGCACATACAATACAATACAATACATTGTTTAATTTATAAATCATAAAATAATCAATTATTGAATTAAATTTCTTCAGATTTACAATTAATATAATAAAATTTGTATTAAAGTATTTTTAAGTTGCATTTTATTAAACTAATAAATTTTTATTTAAAAATTATTTTTTCATTATATTGTATTAATAAAATGTGGGAAAATATTTTTAATTTATATGAAGTATTATCCATTGTATCATACAATTTGTATCTCAATTTAAGTCTAACTTTAATTGGCGCACATTTTAAATATATTTTTAATTTATTAAAATGCAATTATGTTTACTATTTACTATATAAACTAGACTATTTTAAGTCTATTAAACTATTTTATTTGATAATTTTAATAAAATATCATATCTAAGATACAATACATACGATATAACTAACAATTAAGTATTATTGCCGATATACTATTAAAGTTGTGATACAGTATTATATCAGTAGTAACTACTGTTACTACCTGTATATATATATATATATATTGTATTACACAGTAGTTAATAATATCAAAATTTATTTTGCAAAGTATTTTATTTAAATATTTATTTATTATTTATTTACTTTCTACTATTAAAGGTTTTTTCTATTGTGTATTTTGACTAAATAGTAACAAATAAGTTACAATCTGTGATAATGTTTTTTAAAATAAAATATATTCATTTTATATAAATTTGCATAAATGATAAAATTAATTTTTACAAAACAAAAAATATATTGACGTTGTCTGATAATTTGAATTATAAATTTTGAAGTAATCTCATGTTAAAATTGTTTATATTTTCAATTAGATTATTTGTCCTATCAGATTAAATTAAGATTTAAGTAATTTATATATATATATATATATTAAATTTATAAATAAAATATAAAATCAAAGCTATTAATTGCATGAATGGGCTACTGATAAGTTGAAACTTTAATGTTTGCCAAACAGTACTTTCCATTTCAAATGCAAACATTTAATATGATTGGCATTTAGTAATGAAAATTTTATTTCATAATTTTATAATTTAATTTAATAATATTAGGAATTTTTGACAATTTTTCAATTGTTTAAAAAGATGCAATTAATGGTAAATCAATTAAATTGGTAAATACTGTATTTGTCCAAATAATGTATAATATATATACTGTATATGCAATTGCATACAGTATTGCAAATATCCCATTTGATATTTGTTTTAATAAATATATTATAAGAGAAAAATTGCAAATTTATATCAGATTATCAAATAACACTTACAGATATAACTTACACCATAAATAGTAACATACGTTTAAGTTTTTCTAAGTTAATATTGAAATCCTTGATAAAAATAAATAGTATATAAAAGCGTTTTTAATCATTCTTATGGCACTTAAAATAAATGTATTAATAATTAGTCGATCCTCTCATATGTTTGTGCATATTATCACTTGTTTTTCAAATACAATCGGAGCCCGATATTGGCGACAATTGACGGCATCATCACCATAGAAGTACCAGTTATAGGCAAATCAATTGCATAACAGTTATTGAAAATAAAAATTTCCAACAAATACTGTATACATTTAAAGTGGTGTTTATCATGTAATATATGATACAATGTCTCGACACTTACTTTTTTTTGTTTGGGATCCAATTGTGACGTTAAAATTTATTATCAATAATTAATAATATATCAAATCACTAATTTATTTTTAATATTTATAAAACAATGTTTAGTTAAAAGCATTAGATTTACAATTTTATAAATGTTTAATAATAAAGTGACAATAGACGTGTGCATCTAAATTTTATGTTAATTTTTTCAAAATTGTTATTTAGTTTTTTTTTGCATAACTGAATGTCATTTTTTAGTGATGAAGTAACTGCCAGTTTGAAGTTCTCTAACAAATTTAATTACTTTAAGACAATAATAATAATAATAATAATAATAATAAATATTTATTAATTTATTAATAAAACTATATATAAAAAATAAATTTTTTATAGTTAGTGTGTTTTCAACTACTAAAACAAGAGCATCTTTTAAGTTGTGGTAAGTTATCTATTTGTGAGATAATGATGTGGTACTGACCCTGGAGTCAGTGATAGCTTTTTGTTGATCAGAGTCCCAGGAATCTAGACTTTATTAAACTTAGTTTCAATAAATTGCAATTTCAAATATTTTGGGTTTATATATAAATATAATTTAAATGAACTTTATCATTTGTTAGTTATAATAATAATAATTGTTGATCTGTTAGCACATAAGTTTAAAGTTAGATTTTTTGTAACTACTTTATTAATTTAATAGTCTATCAAATATAAAGTGTATTTTTAATTAAATTTATATGAATCGCTAAATAGCAAATGTCATCAAATATTCAAATGTCAGATACCATGACATCGGATCCAAATGAAACCAAAGATTGTGCTAATTATGAAGTAATAATTTGTTTATTATAAATATTGTTTGCGAAATATATTAATCAAAAATGTATTAACATTTTTAAGCGATCGCCAAACAAGTTTGCAAACTATGCGCCGGTGCGACAACAACTCAGTGGTTATCTTAATCAAAGTAATGGTAATCGTATTGGTGTTGTTGGTAATGATGAGAGACAACCACTGATAAATGGCAATTGTTTTTCATCCAATGCTCACATGCCATCATATAATACACTAAAGTATGTAATATATTAAAGTTATTATTAAAAATTATTTTATAGTTAGTTTATTTGTATGTGTTTTTCTAAAAATTCGAGAAAAGTCTTCAAACTTTTAGATGTGTTTTCCGTTTCATTAGTTTTATAATTGTTGTGTTTCACTGATTTTTGTTTGTTTAAACTTTGAAACAAATTTTTCTATCATTCAATCAAAAACACACACTAAATCTGATTACGAGAAAAAGTTTTGATTCATTGCTGTATTATTTTACCCATAAAGTAGTGGAAATAAATCAAACAGCGATTCACACTATTCTGAAACTACTCTCGATATGGATGTCGAGGAAAGGCCTAAAAAAGCGACTAAACTTAAGTTTCTTAAGACATTGCTATTGGCATCACTGGTCATCTATACTCTGGTAAGTATTCACTTGTTTATCAGTATTTTTATACATATGTTTGTTAAACTCAATACTATTTACAAGATAGTGATATTTATATTTGCTATTTTTATTAGTAAAATATTATTTTAAAAATCCAAATTTTAGTGATTTTACTATTTATCAATTGTTATATTGTATATGAATTCAAAATCTATAAATTTATTATAATAGCAATATTTAATGGCAATATATTATAGATGTTTAAATTAAATAAATTTTAATTATTGCCCTAAAAAATATTGCTTATTATATTTTGATGTAATCAATTTTTAAATGTTTCAATTGTGTCAAATTAATGATTTTCATTAAACTATGTTAATGATATTTTAATGTCATATTATATTGTATTATCGTTATGTTTGATACTAGTAAAAATTAACATTAGATTAAAAGGAGTATTAATGTAAATGATATTTAATGAAATGAAATAATAACAATTTAGTTTTAAAAAACAATATGGCAAATAAGTTTTTAAGTTATATTATCAGTTTAAGTAATAATTTTTTTTATTGCAAAACAACTCTAAAACATTAGTGTTAAGATTGTTTATTTAATAATATCAATTAATTACTATATATGTATTTTTTTGCAAAAAATAACAGATAAGCTTTATATTTATACGTGAAAGACACGAGGCCTGGAATAATGTGGCCGTTCAGCAAAGCGCACCCATATATGTTGACCTCTCCGAGAGCCTGGACATCATGTTTCCCGTATGGAAACTGAAGGCTCGGTCGACATTTGTATCCAATGAATACGCAAATCTGACCGATTATGAGGTCAGGTTTACCATAATTAGAATAACCGATGACAACAATAAGTCTATAATGAAGGGCCCGTGGGTGGCGCCCATTGCACCCAACTTTTTGGCACTAGAAGTGGGTACTCATGAAGTTGAACATACATTTGTTGTAAATAAAGAGGATCATTACGATGATAGTGATCATTATCAATTACAAATTGAGACTAATGTCAATGAATCAATTGGCATATCTCTTAATATATCGGGTTTTTCGGAGCTATCACTTGACGGCATACTATTGGCCGCAGCAGTTCTTGTATTTCTATATGTATTAATCATCTTTGAAGTGGTCAATCGTACGCTGGCGGCTATGATCGGTGCCACCGCTGCCATCACATGTCTAACACTAATCAGAGACGTATGCAAATTGTTGTGTAATATTTATTATTTTATTATATGATTTATTTATTATATTTGTATAAAATTAGAGACCATCGTTGGAAAAGGTAGTTTCATGGTTAGACGTCGAGACACTGTGTCTATTGTTTGGTATGATGGTGTTGGTGGCCATCCTATGCGAAACTGGATTTTTTGATTATGTTTCAGTTTTGGTAAGAAATATATAAAAGATTTTCATTAATTAAGTAAATATTTGTCAAATACTGATTGATATTACAACAGTTGTTAATGTACTCAATAATAACTAAAATTATAAGTTATTACTGTTTATTTCAATTTATTTAATGATAAAGTATTTTTAAGTAAAGTTTTCATTTTGATTTGATAAGCTAAACAAACGTATCAATAATACGTGCAAAAATCATATCATATCCTTGAGTTATGTCTTAACGTCAATTTAAATTCATGGGTTAGCCATAGGGTTGATAATAATGAATACAACAGGTTTTATTTAAATGACAATTATTTGTAATTAATTTGTTGGTAATTGTATTATAATATATGTATATATTATTAATATTATTATTAAGTACTGTAATTAGTTTTGTTGTTTAGTCAATAAATGTTTAATAATTATAATATATTCCAACTAATTTGATATAAATTAAAATAGATAATAAATTTGTAATACCCAGAGTTAAATACTAATCATTTAGTAATTCATTTTTATCAATACATTTAAAATTTTGTTCAATACATTATTAGTTAAAGATTAAAAAAGCTAAAAAATAGTTATTTTAGTACTTGTTTAACAATTTTTTGATAAAAATTTATACAAATTAATTATATTAGACTCATTAAAAATTATTTAAAATCAATAATTTCAATTTTAATGTGATATTTTTGATAGATAATGAAAAATTTATTAAACTAAAAACCATTATACTTAACATTTGGTTAACTATTAAATATTTAATAGAAACTAACTATTTAAAAGCACTTTTCTCTTTTAATTTATTAAACACAATAATACTGTATTTTAACAATTAGTTTGTTGACAATTAAAATATTTGAAATGAGATTTACAATAAAAATGAATACAATAACAATTATTGACTGTTACTCACTATATATTTACCTAATTATAGGCCTTCCGACTGGCAAAGGGACAGTTATGGCCACTTATTTTAACATTATGTGTTTTCACTGGCGTTTTATCGGCTTTTTTGGACAATGTGACTACTATTTTATTAATGACCCCGGTAACAATAAGATTGTGTGAAATAAAAAATATGGACCCAAAACACGTGTTGATAGCTTTGGTCATATTTTCCAACATTGGAGGTGCGGCCACACCTGTTGGTGACCCACCAAATGTCATAATCATATCCAGTGCTAAAATACAACAACAGGTATTTTTCCTAAGATAAATATTTTTTATCTTAGATAAACATTAATTTTATTTTCTAATAATATTCTATAATATTATATATACAGTACAATGTGTATAATGCTTTAAATTATTTTTGGTGTGTATTTTATATTAGATTATTTTTTATTTAAATAGTGATTTTAATTGGAGTTCAATGTGATTTTCCGTATAAACATATTTATAAAATATAAGTAACATAAAAAAAATACTTAATCATACCAAGCAAATTATTGCCAATTTATTTAAATCAATTAATATTATTTTTTTTATATTTGTAAGTTGTATATTATGTATATGCAAAATTCCATAATGATATATTAATAATCCAAGAAAATTGAAAATATAAAACATATCTAAAACAAACAATTATTACATATTATGATTATAATTTTTTTTATTTGTTATTCTATGTCTAATTTATATTAACTTATCTTAATTTGCGTAAAACTATTAAATATAAATAATACATATATTGATAACTTTATTTATCAATATTATATAAATTTATAATTTATATTTAGATTAGTTAATTATGATTTTTATTTTAGTTTAGTTTATATTTAACTATAAATTTAAAATCAATTAAATATTATTATAACCTTTAGAATTGAAAGTTAATTACACAAAAAAAATCAATGACAAATAACATAAATTTATATATTATTTATAATTATCACTTATTTTTTGGGTTAAAGTGCTAACATTTCAAAATTTTATTACTATTTACAATGTTTTGCATTATCTATTCTCTCATTGCTAATGAATAATTAAATTTTTTATTGCATTGTCCTTTTTAATATCTTAAATAAATAATAATAAGATACAATTTAAATTATTTTCTATATATTTAGTAAATATTTAAATAATTGCAATTAAATAATAAGTGCAGTGAAATTGAGATATTATTAATATATTAGCTTTTCATGTTAATATTAATTTGACAATTTCTAAACTAAACATTATTTTTTAATGACTATGTAATGGAAATTTTAACAAAATTTACTTGATGTTATATTTTATTATTATTTTTTATTTATTAGAATTTATAGATCATATTTGATAAAGTTTAATATTCATATAAAAATGATTTTATTTATCATTGAATGCCTTGAAATTGAATTTTTCAGAAAATTTTGCCTTAACACCAATTTTACTTACAATACAAAAACATTTGTCCAAATATTTGCTTTAATAAAACTTTAGGTATCATATGAGCAGATTTTTTTTGTTATCACTTTTTTGAATTTATTACCGACAAGATATTGTTTGATAAAAAAAAATTTGTTTAGTTTGACAATCATAACTAATAGACTTTATTAAGCAGTAAACAAAAATACGGAAAAGTGTAATACAGTATTTTGCTATTTTATATATTTAAAAAAAATTATAATTTAATTGAAAGGTTATTTTGATAACCATTGACGTCTGAAAAATAGTATCGATAAAAATGTTTAGAAATAAACAATACTTGATTTTCATCACCATATAGACATTACTGAGTGTTTAAATATAGTAATTAATCTTAAAAATTAAAAACATTTCCTTGAATATAACGCAATGTATGACTCATGATTTGCTTATATATAAATCTATTGATACTTATAATTTATAAATAACAAACTTGAAAGAAAAAAAATAGTTGTCAACGATAAACAACAATAAAAAATGTTTTCATTTGTAATAATAATAATTTCTATTGAAACTTATAGGGCATTGACTTCGGGCGCTTCACGTATCATATGTTACCCGGAATTGTCATTTGTTTCATAGCATCACTGGTTATGATAAGACTCTTGTATCGAGACTTAACTAATCTTAAGTTTCATGAGCCGCCAGAACTAGTAGGTGTGTATAGTATTGTATATACAACTAAATTGAATAATTATAAATACAAACCAATTTATTAAACAAAACAAAAATTTGATTATACTAACAAAAAAATTACTGAATATTAAAATTAGATAATATAGGAAATAGTTAGACAAATATATTAGAATATTAAGCCAGCGATTTAACATTTCATGTAATTGTATAATTTGATTAACAAATTGCATGTAATTTAGGGAAAAAGCGTTTAATGGAGTACTTGAAAGTTGAAGTCGAAAATTTAGACTCAATTGAAAGCGAACAAAGAAGACGAGAGGAAAGACTATTAAATTCAGAGGACATCGAAGCTCTCGCTTACAACTCAACACAATTACAAACTCTCGATTCTGGGAACCCGTGTTTCCAGTCATCTAATGGTAATTCATTATATATGACTTACCATTTGACTAATAATAAGCACTTATGTATAGTAATTAGATTTAATTGTATCGACTTATTTAGATTAATATTGTCTTTCCTCCGTCTATTGTTCATAATTAGATAAACCTCTTGAATGTTATATAATTTTATATTTTCTGATTTTAATATTGAGTTTTCTAATAATTGTTGCGAAATTATTGTTACTATCGATTAATTGATTAATAAATTAATACAGAACTTAAACGAGAGATAGACGTCTGGAAAAAGGCTTGTAATTCAATATCCGGTTATTCAAGAGATGAAAACTCCGTTAGAGGAGTACTTAAGCGTAAGGTTATGGCACTGGAAAACCAATTGCATAAACACCTGTATGAACACAAACCATCCGAAGATGACTATCTGGCAAATCTTGAAGAACTCCAGAATAAAGTTAGCATTAATTTAGTTTTTATCTCTTAGTTTATTATCTCTAACCTAAAGTTTTCAATTAATTTAGTATAAGATCCGAAACAAACCACTGTTGATAAAGTCAGCAATAGTTATGGCTTTAGTCATAAGTCTATTCTTTATGCAAAGTATTCCTAATTTGGATCTTAGTCTCGGATGGATAGCTATATTGGGCGCTATATTACTGCTAATTTTGGCCGACTTTGATGAACTCGAGAGCGTTATATCACGTGTCGAGTGGTCGACACTTATATTTTTTGCCGCTCTCTTTGTTGTAATGGAAGCGTTGGCTGAACTCAAGTTCTTGTGGTGGATCGGAAAGTTGACTCAAGACTTTATTAACTCTGTACACGAAGACAATCGTCTAATTGTAGCCATTTTAGTATTTCTATGGGTATCGGCTCTGGCTTCCAGTTTAATCGATAACATCCCGTTTACGACAGTTATGGTTAAAATTATTGAAGACTTGGCAGAAAATAACGAATTTCACGTACCATTGACTCCACTCATATACGCTCTGGCATTTGGTGCCTGTCTTGGAGGTATCATTTGGATTATCATTTGGACAATTATTTAGCAATCAATATTAATGTAAATTATATTTATTAGGAAACGGCACACTTATAGGAGCTTCGGCTAACGTGGTTTGTGCCGGTGTTGCCGAACAACATGGCTATAGGTTTACATTTATCGACTTTTTCAAGTAAGTTATCAATAAATAACACTTAATGTCATTTCATGATATACTGGAAAAATATAGTATATTTATGTTGCAATAAATCTAAAAAAAATCTTATTTAGAAAGTGTTAAAAAGAAAAGAAAGAAAGAGAGAGAGAGAGAGAGAGAGAGAGAGAGAGAGAGAGAGCTTTGACTCCATTCAATGACAAAACCAATTTAACACTTATGTATCATTTAGTTATATACCAAATCATATACAGTGTGTGCGATCAAGTGATCCGTTTATTTATCAGAAACGTTATGTCAAAGTTTAACAACCAATTTGTTATGATATTCTAGTATTTAATTTTTCTGTTAACTATTGCTTAGCTGAACAGTCAAATTGAATGCATACTAAACCATAAACAATAGATATATTAAAATTTATAAGAAATTATGATATAAATTCTGGAGTATATCATTGTGTGTTATAAATAACAGTTTTTGTAAAGATTAGTGTTTTGATTGGTTTTGTGCCAATACTGTTGTGTTTAGGTTCACTGTATTCCTAAAAACTAAAACATTAATTCATGTAAATTAAAAACAATGTTAATTATGGCAAATATTTAATAATGATATGTTATATTGTTTTGTCTTAAATGATTGTAGGATTGGATTTCCGATAATGTTGTTGACTACAAGTATTGCCACCATTTACTTAATCGTATGTCACGTTGTCCTCGACTGGAATTACTAACTATTGTCTCCAATTATTATTATTATTATAAAATAAAGTGTCTTATAGTTAGATAATAATATTCAATCATATTTTATATATAATTTTTTTAACCAACTCATTATTTTATTATTCTTTTTAATTAATGTTTTTCTATGATTTTATTTTGAGATTTATATATAGATATTATAAATATTGTTCAGATTTACTATTATATTTTGTAATATTATTATTATTAATTTTAATCATATTTATTAATCTCATACAATTTTATGCATTATATGCATTCAATTAAATAATGATAGATAACTTATAAGTATAAAGCAAATGATATTATTATTATTATGTATTTTTTGAAATATTTATTTCACATTTTACACAATCAGCTAAAATGTTTGCATAAAAAATAAATGGTAGAAATAATGCCAACTTTTATATTGCATCTCATTGTTTATGAGTATAAATTATATATTAATATTTCGATAATATCGTAAAATAATTATATAATATTTAAAATAAGAAATGAAAAATTGTTTTTATATAATATAATCTGTTTTTTTTATAATTGAAAGCATAGTTTTTTTTGCATAATGTCATCAATTGATTTAATTTGTCTCTAAACAAAAAATACTAAATTTCATACAAAAGGTATTTTTTGATGAGAGCCGGTATAGGCAACAGATCTATCTTCTCGATGACAATGTGTCCATAATTGCCGAGTAGTCGTCTGACTTCCATTCGGACGGTGTGTTTCAGTGGAATCGGATTTACAGCTGTTTTTAAAATGACTTCTCTTTGAGAATTTGATAAAAGTGAACACCTCTTGATTGAGGCGATACTAAACGATTCGGCCATTTCTAACACCAAATTCATGATATCCAGACTTATGTTTAAATGGATCCTTTAGTATAAATATATATATATATATTGTATATCAAAATCCATTAGAAATTATAAAATCGTAATGTATTTTATTAGTTGTCAGCATTTATTTGTAACATACCTGTGCATCACTTTTAATATTCCGATAGGATTTGCAATTTGTGCCTAAATTGTTCATTTAAGACAAATATATTATACTATTAGACTAATATATGTAAATAAATAATAATAGTATTTTAATAAAAATTGTTTACTTTGATGATAATTCGTGCCCCATATTTGAGTAATAATCTTATTATTTCACAATTGGGTGTTTCCGATGAGTTGAAATACTCTCCCATCGGTGGTTTCAATAGAGGACCTCTTTCATCGACGGTTATAGCGTTTGGATCTGCGTCGGCCTCCAACAGAATTTTCACGATTTCTTCTTTGTTTTCGACCTTTAAAATTAAGAGATTAATAAAGTCAAAAATGAGCCAATATTTATGTCAATTGCAAAATTGCTAATACCTTCTCGGAAAGTGCAATATGAAGGGGCAGTCCTATGATGGGTGAGCCGACATTCACCTAAATATCAATTTATAATAATATACACATAAGATAATGACATGTTTTCTCTTTCAAAAATTAATTTATTTATAGCATTTGTGGTAAATATAAGGAGACTAACATCTGCGCCGGCGTTGATCAACAGTTTAACCATTTCAACGTTTCCCCGCAGAATAGCGAAGTCCAATGGTGTTGGCTTTTGAAACTCCGACGGAAACCGTACGTTAGCCGTGTGATGGAGAAGCAGACGCACGATATCGATATTACCACTGAGGACGGCATAATGAAGCACTGTTCGGTGATCGTGACGCTCTACAGTTTGTTTTATATATATTGGGGATATAAATATCATTAGTTTTGAATTTGGGAAAAATTACAAAAATAACTTATGTTTATATATTATATATTTAAAAATATAATTTATACTAAAAGACAATTTTTGTGTGTTTTGTCTAATTCTTTACTTTTCTATACATTTTTATTTTTATTCATTTATTTATGATATACTATGTATCAAAATAGTGTTTAGTGTCAAAAAAAGTGACTGAAATTGATAGAGTGATTGTTAAAATGACAACATTTTCAGATTAAATAAAAGACACTTTTTTGTATTTTTATTAGATATTTGTGTTAAGAGTTATTATACTATTAATAGACTCAATAGACAATCAAATTAGACTTAAAAATCTGAAATAAATGTCACTAATTGGGTATACCTGAGGTCATGGCGTTAGGGTCAGCCCCGTAATGAAGCAGTATTTTTGCCGCCGCGTATCCCTGTGGATGTCTGCAGGCTTTCATCAATGGTGTTAAACCAGATCTGTCTCTTGAGTCAGGACAGGCTCCGTACTTAAGAAGCATTTCCAAGAATGAGATGTTCAGTGGAGATATCAGATTAATTTCGGAGCCCAAGAAGTAGCGGGCATTAGGATCGGCGCCACTCTTCAGCAATATTTCAGCGCACTCTTTGTGGCCATTCTTTATGGCCAATCTTAAGGGCTCATCAGCTAATGTAGCTCTTGGAGGATTGCCTAATGCCTGTGCCAACAAATATTGTCAAACATACGTATAATTTATAGCTAAGGGAAGCAATCAAATAGCAATTGTTCATCATTTGACTCTACTGTAAGTCTAATAACTTGAAAAAAAAACTTGTGTCCTATCATCTGATAAATAGTATGACTCAATCATACAAAACAACAACAAATGAAAGTCTATTAAATTTTTTGTATACATTAGTAAACAATTTACAGAAATGTTGATTCAATTCTTTTGTTTTAATATTTTAGTTATAAATTTACATATAATTAGTGTGCAATAACTAAAAACCATAAAAAACTATATTTAGATTATAAGTCAAACATAAATAGATCCAAATATTCTATATATTCTATATATTCTATATATACTAATAAATATTTTTAATTGATTAGCTATTTTGCAAAAATATTTATCTAAACAAATATGAATAAATTTCTTAAATAATTAATGATTGAATTTAATTAAATATAACAATTTTTATGATTTTTTCTAAGTTTAAAGCTATTTTACAAAACACATGATAACATAATTTTCAAGAAGTATTTATTTAATTTTAGTTTTTATGGTTTTATTCGTGACATTTCAGCTATATTTTACAGTACATTATAAACATGATGTACATAGCAATAGCACTATTAAAATAACTAATAATAAATTAATGACATCGTCTCTGTTTAATCTCTAACTTTGATCTAATATTACTAATCATAATAAAAATAAATGTCTTTTTCAAAAGTAATTCTCATTCAAACAGTGTTTCTAAAAATAGCCCTAAAATACAAAATTTGACACTAATTATGAGTTATATTGTTTTATATAAGATTTAATGCAATGATATGTGAGACCATTGTGTAAAAGTTTGGATACCTTATCGTCGGGTTGTAGTTCTGTGAACTTTACTCGACAACTGTGATCCATAAGCATCTGCATGAGGTCACTATATCCACGTTCAGCGCACAAGTGTCTGACAAATAACAACAACAACAACAACACAACGACCTCTTAATTAGTTGACATTATTTTTATCATTAACTTGTTATCTAATGTCATCTTTACATTAGTAATCACATGCGGTTTAATTAAACAAATTATTTTACAAACAAAAGTGTATATTCTTTATAATACTAATTACTTATATAAAATGCATGATTACATCATTCAGTATTATTTTCAAAACATTTCAAGCTTACAGTGCTGTATAGCCGACTTCATCCATGGCGTCGACATCACTGCCGCGAACAAGTAGAAGATTGACAGCTTCGACATACTTTTGATAGGTTGCATAATGTAAAGGTCGGAGCCCTGACACAAGTGTTTCATTTTAGTATCAATTATAAACATTATAAACATTAACTATTTATTTATTATTTTTAATAAATTAACAATACCTTGGGTTACGGGCTCATTGACTTTAGCACCGCAGGCCAACAATATCCTAATGTCATCCAAAGGAGCGCACCGTATGATAGAGTCGGCTAACTCTCGCTGAAGAGTTTGAAGACATGGTAGAGAAGGCATCTCTTTAATAATCACAGAGATTTCGTTGATTTTTAATAAAAACAAATATATTTTGTTGATTACCAGTCAATTGAAACTTTTATTGATGTTTTTATAATGAGATCACAATCACAATAATGTTAACACAACTCAGTTATCGATTGTTATTAAATGAATAGTTTTCACCACAAATCAGATGATTTAGACTTTTCATTGGAAACAAAGTTTGTTTTGAAAAGCTTTAAAGTCAAAGAAAGTCTGTTTTTAACATAAATTTTCAAATTCAAGTACACTATTCTATTGAATGTCTGTTGCCGTATAAAAACCTATGACTTTGTCAGGGCTTAAGATATGGGAAAGGGATGGCAAACTGCCAGTCAATTACATAAGACTCTCTGAATAATACGCTAACGCTTTCAATAACTCTATCATTAAATCCGAGTCTTATTTATAGACTAAATGCGAACTCTTTTAAAACTCAACTCAAAGATTGCACTAAACTTTTTCATCATTTTTGTCAAACATATATACTTTTATATATAACATCCACTTTTGAGACATTGATTTGTTTTGTTTTTGTTTTGTTTTTATTATTTCATTTTATAAAGTAAATTACATAAAATTTACATTAAATGTCAAACATAATGTTAAATACAGTCTACTGTATGAGTTATTTGTATAATTGTATGTTTTTAATTTATGCAATAAAATTATTTTTATTACTATGATCTACTGTACTAAATGAATTAATTATCAGATTTAAGGTATTAATTATAAATATATGACTAAACAATTAATAATTGCAATAAAAATTATTTAAGTAGTTGTCATAGATTTTTAAAAAATAAAAATTATGTATACAAATAAATTATAAATGTTTTGTAAGTTAACTTACTTAAAATGTTTGTAAATTGTTGAACACTTGTTAGCAAATAATATTTAATTGAAATAAAATTTTACTTTACTTATCACAAAAAATACATTAAGAGATATAAATGCAATATCAATGTAATCAACATATTATATAATTTGAAGTCGAAGTCAACAAACATAACAATACTGTGCGATGTTTTTAAGTTTGTAGTTATGGTTAACAAAAAGTTTATATTAACTTATATCTGATTCCTCTCTTTCTAACTGTTCTTATATCTCAAGGATGTGATGCCATAAATGAAAAAAAGATGAGCACATGACTCATGTAAGTAACAAAACTAATTTGAGCCGTAGTTTTGCCACTCATTGCTTGTATGCTATCAAATGTTGGCATACAGTTAATCGCATCACTTTTCGTCAAATAACACATCTTTTAGTTTATTATTGAAAATTCTATAATCTATACAATCATGTAATTAAATTTTTTTTTTCAAATTTTTCAATATTGGATGCTAACAATTTTCTATAATTATTATTTTTATAATCTATAAATTGAAATTTTTAAAATTTACATAATTAAAATTTAATGCATATTAATTAAAAACTTTCCAAAACTAGTCGCTGATACTCATAGAAAATGTAGATGAATAGTGCAATAATTGTATGATTAGGATGAGTGTGCGCTCAATCACATACCCATCTTCTATATGTTGTCGAGTGATATGCCGTCTAAAACATGTCAACGGCTTAAACATCAAACAAATATATATAATATAATTATTTAGAAATAACTCTTGTTTGAAGATTTACATCACTTAAATTGCTATCAATTAAGTGATGTAAAAGTTTGTTTGAAAAATATAGTTTTCAAAATGTTAATCTATAATAATCTCCCGAAATGTGACTTTCGCTCAAAACATTTCAATGTAAAAATGTAAGTCAAATATGATATTTTAAATAAATTTCTAAATGTGTTTTAATGATGTGTTTTATTTCAATTTAAGTTATTTTTAATAAAATTTAATATCTTTTGTTAACACAAAGCAAACTTTTCCTGACTTTTCAATGCCTAAAGTTATGAAATCTTTTGGAGGACTCAGTTATAAAGTTTTTAGCACTTGATTCTGCCATATGAGCGCACAGTTATGTGGGTGTCATCCAAAGCTGATGCCATCATCTGACTCATAACTTTTGTTGCTATTTTGTCGCTTAGTTAGTTGTTGTGTCAAATCATACAAAACTAAATAATCAACAATAGATGTTATATCAGATGTTTTCATTGAGTGTATGACAGCATCACTTAATTCAAACTTTAAATATAATTAATTTCACGAAACAATCATATAATCTGTTTGTATGAAATACCCAGAATTATCTATTAATGAATGATATAAGCAATTAATATAAACAATTTTTATTTTATTTTTATATATCATTTTTTTCTTTGAAAACATTACAAATCTTGATTTACAATTTTTAATTAGTTTTTTAACATAAATATACTGTATTATACAATACCGTTTCATGCAAATATTGTATTAATAATATGACAAACTTAAATAAAATCGATTTCTTTTATGTATTTTTATTATTGCAATTATCATTTGAAATTAAATCTCTGTCGAATTAAACACAAAAATATATGTATATAAATATTATTTTATCAGTTATCGAAAATTGTCTTTTCATAAAAACAATAAAAAATGTTTCATATATTAGTTAGAAGTAATTTTTCCTTTAAATGTTAACTATTCATACATTATATCAATATATGATATTAAATCTTGAGATATATGTTTCAAATTCATATGATTTGAACAACTTTGAGATACTTGTTTCAACAAAATCATGGTTTTGTATCTATAGGACTGGGAATAGTAATGGCAGCCATACCATTGCTAAGACGCACCGGCACTTTCTTAAATTTCTAAAAACAATATTTTAATTTTTATTAATTGATATATACATTAATAATATATGTATAATATTAAAATATAAAAATTATTAATACCAATAACATACATCAGGATTGGCTGTAATTGAGGCAACAATTTTATTGAGATCTTCATTATCTAATGGTGTTTCTGAAGTTATAATAACGCTTTTGCTGGCATATGAATGTGGACTAAACACAGATTGATTGGACTGACCATTTGTAGGCATGGTTGATGTGGATGAGGTTGATGCTGGTGCACCGTTTGCTATTAATTTAAAACAATAGTTATTTAAATAAATTAAAGATAATAGAGAGACATACGTATGCTATTGTTTGGAGGAGACTTTCTTTGTGTATTTGCATTGAAATTTTTTGATGCAATCATTGACTTTGGTTTGAAATAAGCTTTATATTTGTCTAAATTGGGAATTTTAATTACCGGACCGGAAACTGATTTGTCTAAAAATAAATCTTAATGTCAAACTTTTTATTAATATAAAAGTGTATCTATCATTAAATACCATCATCTGATGAAACCATGAATGGTGTCAATATCGTCGGTCTTGTAGTCAGATGGGGTGGTTTTAGTAGTGAACTCTCTTGTCTGACAACAGTTGTATCGGCGGGTAATTTACTTAATGCTTTGTGTTGCAGATCAGGTGGAGTCAACTTTGGATATTTGTTAGAAGTGCTGACCGACAAAACTGTTTCATTGTTTTCAGTCAATGATTTATTAGTCATTTGAGTCAATTGTGATTTATAAGTAGGCATTAAAAGCCTTTGATTGGAAGGGTTTGATGATTTGGTCGTCAATTTTATAGGAATGGTATGCGTTTGTATCGGACTTGAATGCGAAGTGTTTATCAAATGAGAGTTTGCATTGTCTGAACACTGTTTGACTGAATTATTTTTGGACAACATTTGAGAACCTGAGATACATATTAACAGTTAGTAACTTAAATATTGTATCAAAAATAAATAATCAATACGTTTGCGATTGAATTCCCGTCTTTTTTCCTCCAATGCTTCGCCCACTTTATAACACATACTATCCTTATATGCGGACATCACTTCCGACACTACTTTATAGGCTTCCGGTTTCATGCCTTTATTCAAACAACAATACGGATAAATCAATATAAGGCGCAACAAATTATATGCATTTAAAAGATATATATACTCTAAGACACAATAGTTGGTATTAAGTTTCTTAGATAAAGTTATATAAAAGTATTTATTTAACTCAATTGATATTTTTACATATTTTAGCTAAATCTATGAGAGTTCTGATAAAGCAAAATATATTTAATTAAAATTTATTAAATACAAGTTTCTGATTTTTGTTGTTGTATAAAATTGTCAATTTTATTAAGAAAGTGATTAAATACGAGATTTAACTTTCAAAACTACAGTACATAACCTAAAAATACTATTTATATGAAATTATAAAAAGTTTTTAATTAAAATTCAATTTAATTTGTTTGCTGTATAAACTATAAAGAATATTTTTTTTAAATCAGAAAAGTTAATATAATTTGATCTAGCTCTTATAGATTTCAAAATAATACAACTTATTTATTCACGTATATTGTATTTATTAAAATTACATTTAAAATAAAGACAATATATTCTTTAAAAAAATAAAGTTGTAAAAATGTCATTGATCAAACTTAATAACTTTAAATGTGTTCAACCCTCCCTCCCCCCCCAAAAAAAACGCGTGCCAATCATTTTGTCTTTAATTTTATTTATGTGTAAATATTTAGATCCTGTATTTATATACACAGTATGATATTTTTGTGGATATGTATATATTTATTATGTACACTAAAATATAATGTAAAGTTTATTGAATAAAAATTGTTTGGTAAAGTTAGTGCTATCATAAAAATTTATGATTCATAACTTAAAGACCAACACAATTGTTCGCAACTAATAGACATATATTTTTCATGTCATTAAACAAAATATTTGATATTTTTTATGTGACACGACTCATGAGGAATACAAAGAAACAAACCTTTTTGTGCCACTTTATCGCATAGTCTGAGTTTGTGGTTCCACATCGACAATAGTTTACGAATATAAGACAATTGTTGTTCCCTTTTATTCAACTTATTGATCATTTCTTGGGCTTCTTTGATAACCTCCACCTTATTTGGTTTACCATTCTTGCCAATCATCACAGATCTGTTAACATTCATTGCATTCAATAGTTGATCAAACAATTGATTGACATAAGCTCTTTGAGTGGCACTGGCCTGTGCTTTGGCCGATAATGAGACAACCCTTTTATCACCCATTGTTTGCTTAGACATTGAAAACAAAGAAGTGAATGATTTTTGTAATTGCTGACCGTTCTTAGATTTGTTGACTTTTATTTGATTTTGTGGACGCATTAGTGGTAATTTTGGTATCTTTAATTGATAGTCAGATTTCATTAACGATTTATTAGTTGTTTGGTTCATTGTTTTGGTTTTCATTTTCATAGGTTTATTATTGTTGGGCAAACATTTATGAATCAATGAGAACTTGATGTCATCAAAACATGAGACACTAGTAGTAGTAACAGTAGCCGACGGGTGATACTTCTGCTCCATTTCCAGCTGCCTTTGATGCAGTTCTTGAAGACGTCTCTGTTCCTCCTGAAGCCGTCGCTTACCGGTCTTGCCTTTAGAATCATAGTCAGGAATAACCCATTGATTACCCATAAGAAGACTGCTATTATGAAATCTTGATGGCAATCGAATTTGACGTTTAGATCTGTTTCCTTTCGCTATAATCATTGCCAGATCCGCTTCCCTGTCCTTCCTATAGCGACCCGTTATCTTTGTTTCTTTCACGGGAGACATTTCTTTGTTTTGTTTTGGTGTTAAGCCGACAGCCAACAGCAATGAATTGGCGCCACAATCTTCATTGTTGTCATTATCGTTGTGGTCGGGAATGCGTTCATTGCACTGTAAGACACTTAATGCAAATCTGGAGTATTGGTCGTCCATAATGAATGACGGAATGGCCGTCTTCTTCATCAATTCCATCTCTTGATTGGCAGAGTTAATATAATTATTGTATAAGTGTCTCATTTGTTCGTCACTCTGTGGTGTGTCTGGCCATAGAGTCTCCCGAATAACAGGATATTGAGGTAACAGTAGTTCCAAACCTGACACTTCTTCATCTTCTAAAAATCCAATCGAATCACTAAAATCTGTCTTTAGTTTCAATTTATTCTTTAATCCTTTAGAACGTCCCTTCAAGAAGTTACCCTTTTTCTTAAGGGGGGAAAACTGGGAGAATGTAGAAGATGTGGCCGGAGGTGGCATTGATGATGAACTTGATATGTCTGGCATTTTAAGAACACCGGCCAAAAATATCGGCGAATCTTCAGGTGGAGGAGCAAAATCACTATTCAAATAGTTTAGCTTTAAATCGGATTTAGTTTTGAGATAACCATCCAAAAGATCACTGACAAAGGCTGACTTGGAACTGGCCATCGATGACTGACTGCCCATCTTATCATTTGTTATGGGACCTAATACTTGGCCAGTCATCGACTTTTCAAATGATACACAAAAAGGTCGTTTGTTTACTCTATCATTGTCATCATCAACAGTGGAAAACAGCTTTTCTCGCCATCCCTTGATTTTTGTAATATCTTTTGTTTTGGTCGGAAATATCAGTTTTCCAGTCTTAAGACTTTTAATTTTATATGTTTTTTGGACCAAATTTCCTTCTTTTTTCTCTTTCTCTAACTGTTCAAACTTAGAGAATAATGTTATCTCATCTTCGGTTTCAAATGTTTTAAATACAATCCCTTCAATTGCTTCTTCATCAGGAAGTGGTTTCTGTTTGGTCAACAGTTCCAACTCAAGTAGTGACCTCTTCGGCGGACTGGTGGCCACAGACCGCTTCTTTAGTTGACTATTGATTAATGACTTAGACTTTAACTTTAATGAGTTGCCATAAAAGATAGTGTTATTAGGGATGAAGGAGTTGATCGTTTCATCACTACTTTTATTATTATATTTAACCATTGATGACGAATCACCATTGCTTAGACAATTCATAGACAACGAGCTCATTGTATGGTTACTATTGATTGACCATTCGTTGGACACATTAGTTGTCATCTTTTTCTTTAATTTTGGTCTTTTTTGTTGATAATTATATAGTTTAAAGTCTTTGTGATAAACTTTTTTACTTTTGTCTTTCAAAAGACTCTTTTTGTTCACAAGCTTTGTCGTCAGTTTCTTTGATTTACACAACAATTGATTTGCAGTCGATTTTTTTGCACTATATTTACTACGTTTGGCTGTCGATTGTCCATCAGGTTTACCATTGATGCCGTTATACTCAGTCAGCTGTTGAAGATTATTACTGAAGTCGTCATCTTCGAGCATAATCTCGACTTTTGATTTACGTTTATTGCGACACTTTTCGCCACTGGAGGTCACAGTACTGTCAGACTGGCCGTCCAGAGCAGGTTCGAGCACTGGTGGCACTAAATCGGCGTAAGAGCCTGTTTTAGCTCCGGTACCCATTGACTGACTTTCCAGTACTGTATCGAAGGGTATTTCGGGTGTCAGAACAGGCATCTCATTCATGTCATCGTCAATGGACTGACCGCAAGGCGACCACATTTTAATAGGTTTGCTTTGGGACCGGGATTGAGGTGATAGAGGACTGGCCGAAGTGGTACCGCTTCTACGCATTTAAGACACGTTTCCTTATGAAAGACAACGACTGACTGAATCTGTGCTCTGAATTATAGCACAGAAAATGGAGACAACTTTTGGCGCACACTTTGAATGCCTGTCCGGTCGTCACTTTCATCCACTTATTTCTACCACTTCTACACCAATTGTCACCACTTTATCGACCGATTTAGTCATTTAGATGAATCATTTAACAAAAACAATAGAGTTTGTGATCAATGGATCAGCTTTTGGTGACTTTTTGTGACACAAAATGTTTGGTGTGTTTTAAAGTGCGTCGAAGTATAGCTCATGCAATACAAGCACTGCTCAACACTATAGCTGTGGTGGCGCTCACTGTCAGCACACCCTTCCCTGTGCTGTACTATGGCTTAGGTATGTATTAACTGAAACACTTGAGCTATTGAGACACACATTGCACGTGCAATGGTCTTAACTTTACCGAAGACACCGGTGATGACCGAAACAATGGTCGACACACTTCGGGTCACTCATTGACTATCAATTAATTCATATAAAGCCGTAATTGTTTGCCAACGCATTCAAACATCAGTCCTATAATTCAATGGCCAATACATATGTGCGTTGAAGTCGACTACACGGCAATGCATACAACTAATTGAATGCATTGTATGTATGATTGTATACATTGAATAACTATAGTATCACAGAGTTTGCCATCAATTGCACTAACATTACACTAATATCCAACACTACTGTTCCCACAATACTGTCTCTCTCTATCTAACTCTCCATCCATTCATCCCCTCCTCAACCACTAAAACCTACAGCTTCTATGAATAGATCTCTTTCCTCGACTATTGTCTTTGTAGTCATTTTATTGCTATTTTAGACAATCATTGCAAACAATATTATAGTCTTTAAAATATATCTATTGATGGCTATTATAAACAATAAAAGTATCCATTAATCGATCAATCGTTTGATTTTCTTTATTTATATAACAATTGCTTTTAAACAACTAACAGAATCAATGAATGACTAAAAGAGAGAGAGAGAGACAGAGACAGAGAGAGAGACAGAGAGAGAGAGAGAGAGASAGAGAGAGAGAGAGAGAGAGAGAGAGAGAGAGAGAGAGAGAGAGAGAGAGAGAGAGAGAGAGAGAGAGAGAGAGAGAGACTTATATAAGCTTTTGTTTATAAGGATTAGTCACAACTATTTGAATATTAAACTATTTAAAGACAATTGAAATGATAGTATAATTATAAAATAATATATTTAATAAACTGTCTGTTATAATGTGATGCGATGTGAAAGTAAGTAATTATATTTAATAAATTAATAATCATTGATAGCACACATCAGCAAACACTTTAGTGAATAGTAATGCCATAGTATGTCATAGTATTGATGTGTTAGCTATCACTTGGATGTAAGCACTGATATTAACCATCAATGGATCGATACATTCGTGACTTAATTTTATGTGTTTGTCTTCACTACTGTTGTCAATGATTTGATATGAAACCCCATCAAAGTTTTTATTATTAATTTAGTAGTCAAATGTATTTCAAATATTGTTTAATTGTTAAGAAATTTAATACAACAAATTAATTATTTAATTTCTAATTATAATAAATAAAGATAAGTGGAAACAATTGAGGTATTTATTATATATATATATATGGTACTAAATTATCATTGATAATTTTTCAACTATAAACTATACAATATATATTAAATTACATTTAACATATTGTTTAAATAATTTAAATATCAATGGTCTATATATAATTTCACTATTCATTTATTGGACGACTAATATAATCAACTAAACAATAGTTGATGAGAAAAATCTATAAATAAGTTTAGATATAAACAATATTTCAAATAATTTATACTTTGGAGAGAGAGAGAGAGAGAGAGAGAGAGAGAGAGAGAGAGAGAGAGAGACTAAGCAATAAACATTTAAAGCAATTTGTGAGACATTGCTAATTGTCGACTAAACATTTCAAAATGTTTTTCAAAAATTTAAAACACATACAAATTGGTCGATAAATTATAGTGTGAACACCAGTATTGACTATTTTCCTCTAATATTACTTCAATATATTAAATTATTTATATATATATATAGCTTGTATTATATAAAACATTAACTTTCAATTCACGTCACTCTATCTATAATATTATTTATCAAAGAATTACCCAAAATATAATTTTTGTGAGATATTTACTATAGTTTGGTAAGTATTTCCTTCAATTTATTAATATTATTGTAATACTTATTGTAATAAATCAAAAGCAATAATTGTTTTTACTATTTCTTTAGATTTTTTTATCGTTGATAGCAATCACTTGTTATAAAATGCAATTGACATAAAAATAATTACATCTCATTAATTGTTTAGATGGGATTGTGATTGAATGGAAAAATAAAACTGCAATCAGTTATTTTGATTGTTAGTTACAGACTAAATATATTATATATTAAATATAGTTTTTTTAAAAACTATAAGTCATTGGCATTAATTAGCTTATAAAGTGTTTTAATAATTGACTTATATATATACTGTAGTATATAAAATAAAAATAATATTTAACCACAACAAACATAATGATTGCACAATGATTGCAAAAAATTAGATGTGTGGACAACATATATGCATTTTTGCTGTGATTGCAATTTTTATTATTATTAATATATTTGGTGTAAATCATCAAATGATTCGTCATTGTATTTAATTTATCCATAATAAGTGATGGCAAGTGTTTAAAACAAAACATTTTAACTATAATGTATGTCCTCTTATAATAATCATATTCTTAAGGCAACAGTACATCTAAAAGGCCATGAAATGAGATGTAATGTCAACTTCACTGAAAAATCCTGAAATAGCAGTCAAACCTGTGTATGGTTTATGTGTATAAACATATATATACTGTATTGCTATCGTTTGACTACAACAATGCTATATATTGTGTACCTCATCATCAATGACTGCTTACATGTATAATAAAGTGTACAGTAAAGCAATGATAGTCGACTTTTACACGTATTTTCAAAAATGACAATTAAAAGTGTCTAAACTGTGTCCCCACCAAAAATACTAATACATATTCACACAATAAATACAGACAAACATATTTGTCGATATAAATTGATGTTTACATAAATGGTATAAAACTATGAAACATATGGGAAATGAAATGTTATAATAAAAATAGCGATAAACCATATCCTGAGCGACCGTTTTGTGCGCTAAATATTTAGCAATACTTTTCAAACATTTGTTAGGCATTTACAGCATAGCATACACTGAGTATAGGCATCACTGCCGCGCTTTGCAATGCATTTTCATATTATTATTTAATAGCTCTCTTTCTCTCTCTCTCTCTCTCTCTCTCTCTCTCTCTATCTATCTATCTATCTCTCTCTCATTGACTCACTCAGTGACTCTCTTAAATCAAATGTAAACTCAAAATATAATCTTATGGTTTGTATATGTATTGAGTTGTTTGGCTGTTAGTGTCACACAAACGATGGATTGTCTCTGAAATGTACGGCAATTGTTGTTATCAGTGATGTCTCGGATGTCAAACACAGCAATCAATGCACACATTATTATTGACACTAAATGTGCGATTCATTCATACATTCATTCAAATTGAATGCCAAACACAACACATATAAATGTTTTATTAGTTTTAGACTTTAATTTGTTATTTAATTTGTTATTTAATTTGTTATCATTTATTTTATACACATATCAACACTTTTTCATCAATTTTTTTATATTATTGTGATTATGTTTTTATTTTAATTTCATGTTTTTGTCTTTTATATTCAAACAAACGCTTTGAATGTTAAATGTTTTGTCAAAACACACATTAATTTTATTTTATTTTTGATCAAAACGTTTTGTTGTCATACAAATTGTATGATACAATTGACAACTGAATTGAGTGAATCACCAATTGGTTGGCCTAACCATCACTGACACGACTGACTGATTTTTGGACACCAATTACTATCATATCATTGATACATACAATTGAATTAATCAATTAAATGCTAACGAAATGTTTGGTTGACTGATATCTGGTGTGGGAGTCAACCAAAACACATATATTTATGATTAATAATAATCGAGTAATTAGTCATTGATTATCAATTGATTTGTTTGTGTCTTAAAATTGTGATATTTTGTAAACAAATTTTGGGTTATATTGTATATCAATTGGTGACCTGTGTTGTAGACGAGTGGTCGCTAAACTGTTGCTAAATGAAAACCATGGGTTTACTGCCGCTTGAGTTTACCGATGGCCTCACGGATTCGCCATATTTTCGGGAGAAAATTCAGTCTCACGAGCGTGAGTTGGACCGCATGAATGTGGCCATTAAGGACCTCATCAAAGATGTCAAAGAGCTACTCAATGCTGCCAGAAGTAAGTGTGGTGTCGACACACCAAATACAATACATCTAATTGTTGTTTCTTTATGTAAACGTTTGATAGCCTTATCACGAGCCCAGAGGTCAGTGGTCGAGACGTTAAGTAATTTCAGTTTTGAATGCATCGGGAGTTCACAGACTGACGATGAGATTGTTATCGGTTTGTTTATTATAATGTTTTTGTCTATAAATTGACTAATATTTACCATATGTTTGCCAAAAGCTGGTTCACTCAAAGAGTTTGGACGTCTATTGTCGGCCATTGAAGACGAAAGGGATCGAATGGTATGTTTTTTTTAATTATAAATTTGAAATTGAATTGTTCTCATGTCTTGATAATCAACAGTTGGAGAGAGCGAGCGCCACATTCATAGAGCCAATTGAGAAGTTCAGACGCGAACAAATCGGTGGCGCAAAGGTCTGACACCTGCTCTCATCACAGCTTTACATAACTTCTAAGCTTATGTCGAAAACTTGTGACGATTTTAAACTAAAATATCTATTATTTAATTTAATAGGAAGTGAAGAAAAAGTTTGATAAAGAGACACAAAAATTTTGTCAATCACTCGAAAGACACCTAAACTTATCGACCAAGAAAAGTGAGAACCACTTACAAGAGGTATCTATTTTGACAAATAATGAAACAGTTGTTTCCATTACTTATTGCTCAGCGGATAACTCAGTGATAAAAGAGAGGCAATAGAGTGTTGATGTCATTTTAGTCCCAAAAAAATTAATAAAAAATCAATATTTGTTTGGATTCTGCGCTTATTATGCAATTGAATGTGTGATGCCTATGATATTGTGGATCAATAAATATCTATTAGATTGACTCAACTGTTTCATTGTGTCACTGTTTTTCCCAATGCAGTCAAATAGTATTTACTATGTGTTTAACACAATTTAAAGATGATATCATACGTGTTGTTTGATTTACAAAATTGACATCAAAATACAATTTTATTAATTTTGTATCTCATATATGACGAGGAATTAATCAACTTTTTATTGATACTTCCTATTAGTTTTATTGCTCTTTTTTTAAGTGAAAAATAAATTAAGGGTTTTTTCTCTAAACATGTCATTTAAAGAGTAATTATATGATTTAGATTTGATGTTTATTATTAACTATTAATCACTTTTATTATAATTATTAGTCTTATTTGATATATAAATAATATAAACTAGAAATATTTATGTTAGTAATAATAGTAAAAAAATTAATAATTAATTTGTTTGATTATTAGGCCGATGCGAGTCTTGAGATGGAACAAAGACACTTCTTTCAGGCCTCATCTGAATATGTCCTCAAATTACAAGAAGTAAATGAACGCAAAAAGTTTGAATTTGTTGAAACGGTACGTCATTTTACAATTCATTCATTAATTTAAATAATAATAATTTCATTTACAATAATATCGATTTTTACATATATTACTTACCATAATTATAGTATTATTGTTTGTATTGTGTATCATATAATGATCAATATATATATATTTTCTATCATTTATCGACAAACAGGTGCTTAGTTTTATGTACGGTTGGCTTACGTTTTACCACCAGGGTTTGTAGTAACTGTCCACTGTTTATTGACTTATCTCTTAAAATGACAATTCTTTTTCATCAACAATAGGTCACGAAGTCGCCAAAGAGTTTAAATCACTTCTAAATGATTTACAAATAAGACTACAAAGAGTAAGTAATATTTAAAATGAATAATTTGTTAAATTGTTATATTTATAAATTATATACAAATAGACATTAGTACAGTATTATAGTTGTAAATACAGTCTCATTGATTAATTAAAAAAAAATTGTTAATGACATTAGACACGAGCCAATTACGAGACCACACAAAATGAAACGGAATCGCTTATGAATAAAATGCTTGAAGTGAGAAAAAATGTATGTATTTCTACAATATATTTCACTAATATATATATAAAGCTATATTAACATATAAATAAGTTTACAAATAGTGATAAATGATTTTTTGCTAAATTTAGCATACTTTCTACTTATTTTAATTTACTATTTACTATTAGGCAATTTAAAAACCGCACTAATTGTTTTTATTTTATTTTTATAACATTTACTTTTATTACTCTCTCTCTCTCTCTCTCTTTCTCACTCACTCTCACTTTCTGTACTTTATTATAAATGAATGTTTAATTACTTTTTTTACATATATTCTTGTTTTATTTTTATTGAAAACAAATATTTTGATTGCATATTACTCTTAATGCTTTATATTTTTTTTTATTTTAAAAATTAAATAACATATTAAAAATATCACTTTCATTACTTGAATGATATTTATAGAAACTGCAAGACTCGGGTTCATTAAACAAGATGTATACACGACAGGGATATCTGTTTTTAATGGAGAAGAGTAAGTAGTCTTTATATATACAACCCTTTTCTCATTATTGACAGTACTTTTAGTCAGTAATCGTTACATTTAAATTGAATTTGTAATAAAAAAATGTATGAAATGTGTTTATATTGGATAAGACACGCGAAATAAGATTTTTGTTTAATCATTAATTGAATGCAAATGCTTTATATCGTGACTCAAGAGACAGACATTAAAACCATTAAACGCTTAATTAATATAGTAATTGAAGTGTTTTTGTTTCAAAAATATACAAAAATGTTGTGCTTTTTAAGTGCCGATTTATGTGACATTTAACAACACAACGATTTACATTTTTCTCATATATTTTTGATAACCGATTTCAATGCAATTTATATATGGTTTTCAATGAGCAGAAGCGTTTGGCACGTCGTGGGCAAAACACTTCTGTCAATACGACAAAGAAAACAAACGATTTACAATGATTCAGTACAATCAGACCATCGCTAAGATTGTAAGACACAAACTACTCATTTCATATTCAATTTTTATATTTGTTTCAATGTTTTGTTTTTTTCAATAGATATCTACTGAAGAAATTACACTTAAAGAGTGTATTCGCCGAATGTCGGACTCAATTGACAAACGATTTTGTTTTGATATAATTCCTGTGGAAAAGCCAAACGTTTTGTACACATTTCAAGCACTTTCGGAAGAGGACCGTAAGCTCTGGTTAGACGCTATGGATGGCAAAGAACCGACACAATTGAATCCAAGTCTTACAAGCAAAGGGTTACCTCAGCGAACAGAAGATTGTCTTTTGGATGATTTAGGTTTTAGTTTTGTCCAAAAATGTATTCAAGTGATAGAAAAGCGAGGCCTCGAAGATCAGGGTTTATACCGTGTTGTGGGCGTCGCTTCCAAAGTGAACAAATTGATTCAGTTATCTCTTGATAGAAGAAAAATTAGTGATAATAATGAGATATACGATTTTGATACCGACGAGTGGGAAACAAAAACAATAACCAGTGCTTTAAAGACTTACTTTCGTAATCTTCCCGAACCTGTCATGAGTTTCCGATTGCACACTGCATTCATCGCAGCCGCCAGTAATTAATTAATTATTTTTATAGTAATTAACAATTTATAAAAATATAATTAAATTTGTTTTGTGTTTAAAGAATATGAGAACAAAGTTCAGAGAATTGAAGCGATTCACTGTTTAGTCCACAAATTGCCGTCAGTTAACTATGAGATGTTGGAACTACTGATTAAACACCTATGCAAGTGAGTCAAGCATTTTATATTAAATTTTAAAACTATTTAAAACTAACCAATTGTTTGCCTAACAGAGTTGCGAATCAATGCGAGAAGAATTTAATGACAGTTTCCAATTTAGGCGTTTGTTTTGGACCGACACTTCTGCGACCCGAAGAAGAAACCGTTGCCGCCATTATGGACATTAAGTTTGGAAATGTTGTGGTAGAACTCCTTATTGATAACTGTGATAAAGTAAGTAAATTAATATTAGTATAATTATCCGATACTTAAAAATTTTTTTTACAGATATTTGGTTCAAAGCCTGAGAATGGCTTTCCAACTCAGCAAAGAAGTTCTCCTTTAGGTGCTATAACACCTATGAATTCAAGCCCATATGTACCGCAAATGGGTGCTAACAACCCAAACAACAGTCCTATTTACGGACGAATTCCTTTACAATATGATAATAACTCGACATACGCTCAAATTAGAGGTCCAACTCGGAGCACAAGTCAGGATCAGTTGGCTGGCATTACAAACCCGACGGGCCAACATCAATATCGACGACCTCTATATCAACATAGTTTATCGCACACCAACAGTCATCAGATGACTGCATCTTACCCACCGCCGCCCAGTACTTTAACTTATGCTCAATCTATCCAAAGCCTTCCGCAACAACATTATGTTCAATACCCTAACGGTCCGCAGCAGTCACTACAACGGCCCGTACGACCAATGGTTTACAATCAATGGAATGGACCTCCAAATGTTATGTTAGGTGCCTGTTCTGCTTCCCATCATTCACAGCAACAACAGCAGCATCAACAACAACAACAACTCCATCAAATTATAGACAATCACAAAGAGAAGTCGCCCACTACTAGCTCGAGTAGTGCTGATTCCCTCCTAAATAGTTTAAGTCAAACACCATCGACACAAGTTGTCCAAAATTCCAGTCCCAACAATACCTCTTCAAACAACTCGTATTCGAGTTCACAAAAAAGTTTTTATAATTATAGACAACAATTGATGACAACTCCGTCAGTGCAGAACATTCCTATCAATTTCCGTAAAGTTAGGACTCGTTATGCGTGTGTTGGCGAAAATGACTCGGAATTATCATTCGAGCCAAATATGATTATCACAAACGGTTAGTTAACTGACAAGTTTTCAATCTTTGCCTATAATTCATATACAGTATATACAATATTGTTTGTTATATTTATATATATATATATATATAGTGCGTCCATCACGAGAACCGGGATGGCTTGAGGGTTGTCTTAATGGAAAGACTGGTCTGATTCCAGAAAATTATGTCGAATATTTAGATTAACTAATACTGTGTCCAACGCTTATGGGTTGTCACTTAAATATAGTGCCATTTATTATTAAAATTATGATAATTTTAAAATATCGAAGTAATAAATAGACTTAAATTTGGCAAACATTTCAATTAAAGTAAACATAAGTAATAATCGTTATGAACTTAATTATTGAGATAATCATTTGTATATTTAGATTAATATACTTTATATATTTGGTGCAATTCTTTGATATATCGTATAGTATATTATATAAATTTGTAAAAATGCAAATTATTTTAAAATTATGAGAAATATAATAATAATAATAATTTATTATTATTATTATTAATACAATATAATTGAAACATAATTATTTATAATTGACATTAAAAATACAGTTAATTTACTTATATAGCAAAGTCTATGTAATCAATTATTTGTTACTCATATCATTAAGTAATCTATATTTAAATCATCATTCATTCCATTAAATAAATAAATAATTTATTTTAATATATGATATAAAGATATATTTATGTATTGTATATATTATACAGTAATTGTATAATTATTATAGAGTATATATTATAAATTGTATGGCATTTTTGGTCATTAAATATGTCAAAATTATTTCCTAAAATTATAAATTCTAATTATAGAGAAAAAATTGTTAAATAGAAATTATATAATTGTTTTATTGTTTCAAAATAAAGCAAAAACATATTTTATATTTAATATTTTTTATTGATTTTGTTTAATTATTTCAAATAATCACTGATCATATAATACAGTATATATAAGCAAAACTTGCATAACTGCTTGCATTGACATTTATTAATAGACGTGATGATAATTTTTTATAAATAAAATAGTCATTAAAAATTATATTTAATGTGTTAATATTATTGTCAATTATTTATTTAATATAATTTTATTAATTTTAAGTTGTTTAACTTATTTATTTAGTTTGATTTTTAAAAATCGATTGAAATGATAATACAGACAAATATTATAATTATTTATTATAAATAATTTTTAAAAATTATGTTAAATAATTTGAAAATTAAAAAAATAAAATAAAATAATTATTTAAAACTAAAACATATAAAAATGCTATAATAATGAAATTGAATCAATACATTTGGTATACATTATAAGTAAAATAATCTAAATTATTTTAAGTAATTCATACCCATTAACCCTTTTGTAAGATAATAATGTATAGGTAAGCAAAGGTAATTCAGTACATATTAAAATACAGTGTAATAGCTTTTATCATTTGATACATTATATCACACTTTTAATATTTAACGATACAGTTATTCAACGCATGATTTTTCTACTAAATTTGATATTTAATAAAATACTATGAAATTGTTATAAAATTAGTTAAACAAACAATTTTTAATATATTCAACATAAAGTATAGTATTAGAATACTTTCATTTATATTATATTAAATTTTAATTTTAATTTTAATTTTCATATTATTTTAATTACAATACAAAAAAAATAATGAAAATATTGTAGTGTATAGATGACTACTGTAGTTAATACTTAATTTATTGTAATTTTTAGTTATCATTATTTTAAAAAATCAACGATTATTCGTTAATATAAGCATCAAATAAGTGTATAAAAATTGATAGCATTACTAAACTTAACCTTTAATTTCTAACAGATTTATTAGAAATATTTATCACTTAAAATGTGTTGATTTTATTAACTTTATGTGTTTATCTATATATTATATATAAAAACCATAGTTAGTGTCTAATGAGACATCCTATAAATACTCAGTCAATTTATTTTTTTGTTAAACAATATTTGATTTTTCATTATCAAAGTTATAATTATTGAGTGACAATAGTCTGTGATGTACTCTATGAACTCATAATAATCTCATAATTGTTAATTGTTTTATACTATTTATTTAACATTATTTAAATTACATATTGGTATATAAAATATATTAATATATATAAATATATATATATTTATTATATATTTATTAATAAACAATATTATGAATAATTTAGAAATGAATCAAATTAGTGGTAATACTGATGATAGTGTTGAACAACAAATTAAAGCTCTTAAGCATAAAATGCTTAAAAATTTCTTTAAAAACATTTCAATTATAGTTTGTGTTGCAATAGTTTGTTTAATTGGATTTCATGGGACATACTTTTGGTTTAAAAGTAAAGACATTTCCAATTATGAGATCTATTCGGAGTCTTATTCCCGAAATGTCCGACGCGTTGACCAAAAACCTGGAGCCGCCGTATTCATTGTTAGTGACTTTGTGTCCAAATTGCCAAACGATACGCTCGACTTGTATGTAGTCTTCAATAAAACAGATATTAAATTAAATCAAACCGGAAATAGAAATTCAACGATGATTTTCAAAACATCGACTGACAAACAAATCAATGGTGAAAATTTGGTTAAACTTGTTGTGTTAAACAATAATATTAACGGAACAGATATAGGAAATGTCAAAGTTCAAGATATTGTCAACGATAATATAGTTACCATTGACTCTGGATATGGATATTCACTTAAATTAAGAACAATTTGGCAAAAATGATATTTTTTTTAAATATTTTAATTCAATTAAAATAATTTCATTTATTTACACATAATTTCATATTGTATTTTTTACATATTGATTATTTTTTATATTTATAAACATAATAATATTTAGGTAAAATTAATGTAAAATTAAATTCATTAAAATAAAATTATTATTAAAAGACAATGATTTGATTTATAAAAGATAACTTAAAATTAAGTATTGAATAAAAGTCAATTTGCAATCAAACTAAACTAAAATAGACTTAATCCTCATCGGATGAAAATAAACTTTTGTTGAATTGTCTATTACTTAATTTGGATATTTTTTCGGATATTTTCACTTTTTCAATAAAATCATTAACCGATTCATCAATTATTCCATTCTTAGTGTATGTTATGGCCCGACGTGGCCTCAGATCGTAAGGCTTTGATACAGAAGGAGAACTACCGGTAATTGTAAAAGAATCGGAATTCTCTTTATCTAACATTTTGTCCAATAGATTGAAACAATCGCTTGAATGATACGTATTCGGTTGTGACATCAATGTCACCGTAGAGCAGGTCTCAAATGATGCGTTAGTTACATCACTATCATCTGTACTATAATCAGAGTCGTTGACACTGAAATCGCTATCAGTTCCCGATGAATATTCATTATCTAAAGTATCCACTGATTTGTCTAATTTTTGAGGTGAATATTGACCTAAAATTAAAAAATACATTATATAAGCTAATTATTTAACAATAAAATTAATTGATAGACCTATTCTAGTGATTTGGCGAAGTTGTTCCTGAATATGGTTTAATCGCATTGTGTGTTCATTCAAAATACTATAATTAACATAATTATAATCTTTATAAGTGATGGCAAACCATAAGAATATAGCTGTCATTAAAAGTAATGTAACTTTTCTTGAAATCCAAATTCTTTCACTTATAATAATTGAAGTACTCGTCAATCCTACCAACTGGTCGTCCACTGAATACGAGGCTATTATTCTTTCGGCAAATAAATTGCAAATTAAGACGAGAAAAAGCCAAAGTCGGGCTTCATTTGTACGGATAGGTGTTGTAATAAAATAAACGATAATTATTGAAATAATAAAGAAAATGATTGAATAGCCGTAAGAAACTTCAATTAAAATAAAGTCTTGAAGACGAATAAATCGGTCGAGAATTTCTTTAACAATAAACCGCTGTTCGGCTGAAGAGTCCTTAAATTCATTGATTGTGTTTCGAGCGGTTGTCAGCTCTTCATTGAGTCTCATTTGTGAACCAATAGACAACTCCTGTAATCCATTCAATTGATCCAATTGTTTGGACGCATCTTCAAGTCTATTCTTGACATTAGCCGCCGTTTGCGTCAACTTATCAACTGTCGATTCAGTCTTCTGTTGCCACAATTCTGTCTGAAGATAAAAACAAATGCTTTGCGTGTGAGTAAAGAATTCGGTGTATGAGTCAAAGAATCGGTTGTCTATATGTTTGAAACACTCTTTAATGTCTTGTCGCTCATTACATGGGTATGTCTTTTGACCGGATTTTTCGAGAAAACAATTGGCAAAAGTGATGGCCAATCGACTCTGACTTTCTTCGGTTAAATGTTTGCAATTAGTGTCCAGCGATTGAATGGCATTTCGCCAACAATTACCATACATTGTCTCTTTTTTGGCCATCACTTCAAACATATTTTTTCCAGTTTCGTACAATTGTTTGGACGTTTCGGTAAATTTCGGCACATTTTGGTCATTCGTGTCATACGTTTCCCAAACGTTTTCATCAAAACAATACAAATAATGAGCGAAATTAATGAAAACGATAATTAAGAGGTAGATCTTCATCGACGACATCGTCTCGTAAATCATCACAATTTGATTGAATTCAATGGTAACGACATTGCGATCGATGTCTTCAAAAACAAAACACTTTTTTTTCTTTCAATTTGAAAGCGCTTTCAGTTTAAGTCAAACACTGTTTAATGCATTGAAGCCATTGATTGGACTAAACATAAGCACTAATAATATGTAATACAAGTTGTATTCAATTCAATGTATTTGAATGCCTTTAATATCTATTTGTTTTGTTTATTACATAATATTTGAAATAATTTTATATAAAGAAAACCAATTGTATGTAATATTTAGAGAAATTAATAAAACATATAATATTTAACATACAGTATATCAAAGTTTTTAAATAAAAAAAATAATAATTTAATGAACTCAATAACTGAGTAAGTAATGTATTACTTTTCTACTTTAGATTTGTTCAAATAATCAAAATATAAAACAACAAATTGTTAGTAATTAAAAAAAATTCTCATTTATTTATAATTTTTGTTTTACTATAAATGACAGAAACGTTTTCAAATAATCAAAAATATTTTTTTTACAAAATTTTATTAAATATTATTATTATTAGTGAGAATAAGTTTTGGTAATTATTTAAATAGTGTTATATAAACTAAAAATAAGTCCAATGTTTGTCACATATACTGTAGAGTATATATCGTGTGATCATAACATCAAAAACTGCGACAAATTAATTGATGATCTCTTGTGCTCTCTTTTCGAGTAACTTCTCGATGTTATCGATATCTTTGAACCAAATGTCGAGTTTTTTCTTCATATTTTCGATTTGTTTTTTGTCGAGCACTCGGGGCTGAACCCATGACAAGTGGACAGTTTTCTCGACTTCATCTATACTACCTCTGACCAGTCCAAGTGATAGCGCTTTCATTACTAATAACTCAATTTCGTTGATCGGTATACGAGTTTGTTTGGCGATCTCATCAAACTTGATAATACCGTTAGTGCTATTAAATGTCATTTCCATCAAAGATAATAAACATATCTTTTGTCTCATTTGAAGCTCGTGTTGGGCTAAGTCTGGTTGTTGTAACCATTGAGTTCGCAGAGCTTCATATTTAGTCAAATCTCCGCTATTAAAGGCTAACAATAAGTCTTTCATATATCTATGTTCTGGTCTTAATGTGTTAACAATCGGATGCTGAAGAAGTTCACCGAAGTTGTAGATATTATCGCCTAAAATAGCAGCTAATGCTAGAGTGAAGGCTCGCTGTGCCTGAGTGTCGGCGTCTTCAACGTCTGTACTGGTCTGACAACCCAAGTATCGGAGCGCATCTCTATAGTACTCGCAGTGATTGCCGACCAACTTATGGTATTCACTCGACAATCGATAGTATCGCGAATGAACGGCAGTCACACCGGTCTCGGCTTCAATTAATTCGTTAGTCGTTTCGAGTAAATCTTTGATACCCTTCAGGTCTTTCGCTTCGAGCATCGATTGTCCCAATAGTATATTACAGAGGATAGCGGCCTCTCTGTTGGCCTTAACTTTTTCGCTCAGTTTGTTAAGAAAGACGACACGCGACTCGTGTGACGGCAATTGGTTGACAATATAAACGCAGGTCTCGATGAGCGTCAGGCCATTGATTTTGGTCTCAAAGTCGGCGATAAAATTCTCGTAAAAGTCCAATAGGTTCGGGTGAGGAACCGTACGGACAAATTCGTACACCTTTTGAGTCAATTGATGCCACAATCGTTTGGTATACAACTCTTCAAACGTTGTCCACCACTCAATCAGACCCGTATTGGCCGCCAACTGCTGTTGTTGTCGCAGATATTCGCCGACATCCATACGTCTCGTAGCCACCGATGATGAGGACATGTGTCTGCCGTATAAAAGCCGATATAAATAAGTGAAAACAAATAAATGAATCAATAAATTGATGTCTTTTCTTAAGTGTCACAGAAATGCTGATTCACTCAATGCATACAAACTGACGACAGATGTCGTACTCAACACTCTATTCAATGATAATGTCTTCAAATTATTATAGTTTTCATTGCATTGCATATAAATTATATGATTTAATATTAATATTAATATTATTTAATATACAGTATTGTATTAATACTAATAATGTTATACTGTATTAAGTTTTCAGTCATCAATGGCTTCATTAAACACTCAATTAAAAAAACTCTAAAACTAACAACTTTTACAGTATTTTAATTGTTTTACTCTAAGATATATTTTTTAAAATAGAGATATATTAATATATATTTTTAGATTTTCAATAGCAATAATAATTAATATTTTGTATACAATTTGCGATATTAGACTTCAAATTTTTGTTATACATTATAAAACTTGCAAAACTATAAAATAAATAAATAAATAAAAGTATTGATAATTAATCATTTATTGTAAAACAATTCTGTATATAATTTTATATTAATATTTTATAATAACAAAAAAAAAATCTAAAGTAGTATAATTTAAAATATAAATAAAATATATTTAAAATTTCAGTACATGTGTACTCTTTGTATATAAACAATATGAGTTATTTTTTTAAATAAATAATTTTTGTTCTTTATATAAATTATAATATTGTATAAAAATTAAATATACTGTACTTATAATTACAATAACTTATAATAGTATAATAAAAACATAATATAAAAATTTATAATATTTGATATACCGGTAAAACAGTATATTTGAAATATTTTTAAAACAAACAATTTCAGTAAATTTTTCATTTACTAAGTCAAGTGTCAATTAAACATTTTGAGAGAAATTATTAAGTAATGTTATAATAATTATTGAACTAACTATACTTAACAATGATATACTTTATAAAGATAAATACGACAATTTTTAAATATTCAATTACTATAGAATATCATACAATGTTTATAATATTGTTAAAAATGTAAAATAAAGTAAAAATTAGATAACTTTATAAGTTAGTGGACTGTCTTTTATAATTAACTGAATTAAATCTGACTGAAGACCGTTTGGTCGGCGAATACTTGACTTGTTTTCTGCGTTTAAGACATTTAACACAAAAATAGACAATCAGTGCCAACACAATGACCGAAGCGATGACAATGAGAGCAATGGCCCAATCGGTTAGTTTACATTTGACTGAATTGTAATAAAATGAATATTTGTCGCAACCATTACTTCTACTCCAAGAACTGATGCCCTCTTCCCATAAATCGGACAACTCTTGTACGGCTTGTTGAGTGCAATGATATTTAGCTAACTTGATTTGACAGTCCCTCCCGTCCCACATCGCACAACACGAAGCTTTAGTTAACTCCCTTTCACTGGCAAACGATAATTTTCGGTAATAATCCCAACTATCGAAAGAGTGGTCAACACATCTGTCCATTTTCTTCAGATTGTCTTTATAGCATTGTGTCAACAATATCGGTGCTGATTCTGATTTTGATAATATAAATTGTTTACCGATTTCGGGTGAATTGGCAAACGCCTGTTCCTCATTAGACACTAATTTATAATTAACATTAATATATAATATAATAAAAATTATATTTAAATATTTCATTTTTTAAACAACTATATATAATTTATATATTTATATAATGTTTACTTAATTTTTATCGTTTATTTGTTGAACAACTTTATCTCATATCCCGGAGCAACCACTCATGAAAATGACTGACTGTTTCTTACAAAATAAAATTTTATTCAATGATTTCGGGAATTATATTATTATAAATAGATTTGAATGAAATGAATGGAGAATTTCAAGGGAAACATTTAAATGCAAATTTAAGTCAAATCTTAGACGTATTGAAATTTTGCATTTAGTTTAAAAATATATTCAACAAATTTTTAGATATTTTTAAAAACTAGAAAATAAAGATTTTTTGGTTTGTATTTCCTATACTGAAACTGAACTGATTTGGTTTAACTTAATTTTATTATTGTTAGACCTGGCTAAGTCATCCATGCAATATTTTTATTAAATCATCTATAATTTTTTATTGAATTTTAATGATGCATTCAATAATAATTATTGTAAAGTGATATATAAAAAAATAATCATAATCTATTTGAACATATTACTATTAAATACTTGTATTAAAAACAAAAAAATAGTGTATAATAAAAATAGTAGATGCATAAAATTTTAGTAAATATAAATTCTAAATTAATTTTTTATTTTAAAAAATTTTAATTTTAATAATAACTTTTTTATAGGTTAGGTAACTGTCCTTTCAATACAAAAGCCATGTATTTTAACATGTGTTTAAACCTGTTATAAATTGACATTGTGTTTCAATTGAGCTCATTTGCATATATGATATTACATTATACGTTATATAGTCTCCTAAAAAAGTAGTATTCATTGAATATGAATGCTTCAAATATTAAACATTTTTAATGTAAATTTTTCAATTAAGTCACCAAATAATAAGTACTATTTTTTCTAAACCATTGGTCTCTCTTTCTCTCGTAACTCTAGTATCACTTAGTTTTACTTTTTGCACTAAATTTAATTTGCTGTTTAATACAAGTGGTTATCGCGAGTGTTGAAAAAAAGTTGAACAATACTCGACAACACATATGCGTGTGTCAGTTGTGTCAATGCATATACTTAACCCATTTCATTGATATTAATCAGTTATATACTGTAATATACTATATATTATATAATAGTATATATTATAATCTGATATTACCACTACTTGTTAACTACAAATTAATTTTCTAATCATAATTTTTTAGTTTAATTTTCATTTTCATATACTTATACTCATATATATATATACTGTATTAGTATAATTTGTATATTTTTTGTTTTGAAATGAAAAATTTATGATAACAACAAAATACTTGAGTTTAAAGAAAAGAAGAGAAGAGAGAGATCTGAAGATTGAAAAATAGAGTGAATATCTTATTGTAAGGAAAATGTGGTGTTTTTTGTTACGATTTCAAAGAATTCAATAGATTTTATTATAATTATACATAACTTAATGTATGTATTGTCAAACATGTATAGTAGTGACTGTATTGATATTTGAGGACAACTTTTATGCAGTTTTGCAGCTTTAGAGACACTGCAAAGCAATTTCAACAATCAATTGAATAGTCGAGGAGTCCATAACTTTTGAGTGAGAAGTTGAGATAAATGTATAGAAAATGCTTTTTAGTAAATTTAAAATCAACAATGAAATTGATGAAAGATATTGAAGATATTGTCGATTTGCGGTCAGTTGTCTCGGCTCTAAAAAAGTGCACAGCAATACACACATACATAAGCATATAAATTATATATACAGGTATATACTATACAACAATATCTATGGCAATGTCAAAGGCATGCCATCAAAGAGCGACTCTCAAAGAACTCATCACAATATGGATCACATGTGAAGCACACCTCATAGGGCGACACATTCATAGCCCATCCATAGCCGGGTCACATCACATCACTACTATCGCACTATTACTTCAGTCTTTCTTTCTCTCTCTCTCTCTCTCTCCCGTGTAATATATGGTCACATCAAACGTGCCATTGAAGCGTGAAATTGTTGACTGCTTTACAAATGAGTTGGACTATAGTAGTGACTATAGTTGGCATATGAGTTGGGACGCACCCATACATCAATTGAAGAAATAGTATGGTATAGTCTATTGAATTTGAGATATAAGTAGCAATTGAATGTCAATAATGCCAGTGCTATGGAGTGGTCTCTGTTTTGTCGCATATTGTCGTCGATTTGAGAGTCGGTAAGTATAGAGAAGTTAATGCGCCTCCGATTAGTATAAAACACAATACAAGTAAAAACTCCCCTTTGATTGACTCTAAATATTTGTCAGACTTTGTCAACTCAAATGGTGTGTGCATTCAAATACAAACTTTATGTTGGCATATATGGCAATAACCATAAGCCATAAGCTTCTATAGTCATAATCGACTCCATAAACACCAACCCCTTTGCAGTATATCCCCTCCCAATGGTTGGTCCTATGGTTGGCTGATTAACATTGCAATCTGTATAGTATTCTGTGGATTGTGTCATAGCGTCCAAACCCCGCCTGAGAGCCCATATAGTGCTGAGCCGTAACCAGATTTTTGCCTCTTTGGCTCTAACCGTGGGAATTGTAATCAATTGACTCGAATCAGAACTAAACCGCTATTAATGTGAAGACATCACTGGCTCAGGTAGTCTCTAAACTACTGTCATCACAACTATCTATTTGTTAGTTTGTCAAATGAGAAAAACGTCAAACCATAACAATAACAACTGTGTCGCGGATAACATGAATCAAAGTCATACTAATGGTAAGTCTTATAACTTTTACTCATTTTTATATTAACATTATTTTTATTAATGTATTTTTATTAATTCATTTTTATGATAAATATTTAAATAAGAAATAAATTAAAGCTATAAATATATTTAATTTAGTTAGTTAGTAATAACTTTTATCAGTTTAAATAATTTAATTTAAAAAACAAATGCATAATTAAAAAATATATTAATAAAAGTTTGCTAATTCTTGGATAAATCTTTTGCCATTTTTTAGACAACTAATATATAGAATAAGTATACAGTAATATATAGTAAGTTTATAGTAAACAAATTTTATTGTATTATACACTATATATCTATATATCTATAGACTATATAAAGTAAACAAAAGTTGTTAACTTGAATTTTCAAATATTTATATATAATATTACAAAAATCTAGTAAATTTGTTTACTAAACATATTTATATACTATCAAGAGTTTATATAATGTATCCAAAACCTAAGTTAATATTTTATTTATTGTAGTTTTAAAAATTAAAACCTAGTAATTGTGTTTATATATAAAAATAAGTTAATTAAAGATTTGTTATATTTAACTTATTTAGTTGCTTACGAAGTATTATTTTTTAAATAATTATTAACTTTGAGAATATTTAAATTATTAAATTAAAATTGATTATTGTGTTAGAATTACAAATTATTTCATGCGTTTTTAAAACTCTAAATTTAATGTATTTACTTTAAGTTAATTATAAAATTAATACTTATAGTCTATAAGTCTAGAATTTAATCTATAAGTTATAGATATATATTAAATTTAATTTTTTGTATAAACAATATTCATATTAATTTTGATAACATTCTAAACAATATACAAAATATATCATTAAATAATTAAACAAATATATAAAAATAAGAATATTTTATAAAATTTTGTTAAATATTAAATATTGTCAACTGATTCATAATAACAGAATTGACACTTATTTTGTAAAAATGATCAGTTATTTTTTTAGGTAACTAAAATCAATAGATTATATTAATTACATTATTGCTTTTAAGCGGAAATCAAATAATCACCCGATTTATGACATATTGTAGTTATGCTATACATAAAACAATATGTTTGTTGTGTGAGAATAGTTATTGAAGCAAATACTAGAGGCAAAAGTGATGATAACAATTGCAATGAAAATTATGATTCAAATTAATGATGAGTCCATACATTGCGTGGGAAAATATATTTGTGAAAGTTATTAAAACAAAAAACATTGATTTGTCATATGAAACGTAAAATTAATAGATATATACAGTTATGAGTCGACCGGTGCACCAGATGTTCACTGATCACTCTTGTATAACAATCTCATCAATTAATTTGCACTATAATGTTATGATGCTATAACTTATGGGATACAAAACACCCTAATATCTAATAAAAAGCCAATAACTATAGTTAAAATGATAACAGATTTCATTTGTAATAATAATGATAATAATAGTATTAAATATAAATTGTTTTACTATTAGGTCGGATACTTTTGGACATTCCGTGCAAAGTATGTCGAGACCACAGTTCTGGCAAACACTATGGCATCTTTGCCTGCGATGGGTTTGTACTATATTTTTTTGTATGACATTTATCTAACAGTCTAATAGACTATTTTGTTATTGTTTTATATGTTGAAATGAATTGCACCCCTAAAACACATTTTACTTTTTAATACATCTTTTGTTATGTAATTAAATGATATGAGGGATAATGTGTGTGTATGTATGTGTGTGTATGTATGTGTGTGTATGTATGTGTGTGTGTGTATGTGTGTGTGTGTGAGTGAGTGAGTGAGTGTGAGTGAGTGAGTGAGTGAGTGTGAGTGTGAGTGAGTGAGTGAGTGAGTGAGAGAGACATTATAATGAATCAATGACTTTCTATATATTGAACATACAATACAGTATATATAAATTATATATAAATAAAGTATTTAAGTATAAATGCATTTTTTCAAATTCTGTGAGTGAATGCCTAATGTATTGGCTAACTGTTCCCCTTTTGTTAGCAATTAGAGAGTATTGCGACCGCAAGTGACAGCCAATGGGCCGACACGTGCATTGCTGTCAAATGCAATCCACACTATATTTCCTTTTTGACTCATTTTAGTCAAACAATAATCACATTATTTGATTCAATTAAACGACTAAATTCACTAAAATTATCTCCATTTTCTCTCTTTACAGTTGTGCCGGCTTTTTCAAGGTATGTCCCATTCAATGGAGTGGTAGTTCAATATTAGTATTTCTGAAGTACATTTAGTACACATATTGGACTCATACCACTCTTGAGTATAATATGTTTAGACAACTGATAATCAAATATTGTATATAAATATAGCGATCTATTCGTCGCAATCGACAATACATATGCAAAGCCCGTGGTTCGGGTGCTAACAAGTGTCCGGTCGATAAAACTCATCGAAACCAGTGTCGGGCCTGTCGTCTAAATAAATGTGTAGAAGAGGGTATGAATAAGGATGCCGTTCAACATGAAAGAGGGCCAAGAAATTCGACAATCAGAAGACAAGTAGCTCTTTACTTAAAAGACACGTCAGTTATAGATAGACTTAGTCTTCCGTCAACATTCATGTCGCCATCAGTACATGAGCCACAAAATCGATTATCTATACCACAACCCAACTCATCAATCCGACCGCAAGTCAGCACTAATATCTCATTATCATCGCTGTCATCATCTTTGACAGCCATTCCGAGATTAGTTGATTCAAATGCATTAACATTAAGACCAACGGCTGTATGCCATCCAACTCCTAAAGTAAGTGATGTTAAAGATTAAAAAACAAACAAAAATTATTACACTATAAGTTACAATGTTTGATAATATTTGCAATAAAAACTTGTAATCTTAAAGATTAAATACAATAAGTTGTAAAAATAGTTATAAATATGATTTCTATTTGAAATTTTGTTATGTCTAAAAAATATTATATGTCATAATCTATAATCTATACTAATATCTATAATATGACTAAACCATAATAAGATATTATAAGAATAATAGAAAAGAAAAATACTATACTATACTATAAGAAAGTTATGTTTAAAATTTGTATTATATTTATATTTTTTAATAAGGCTTTAAATTTATTACATTTATTGAATAAGTTATTAATATTAAATATTGTTCAACTTTATTATGTTTTAAATTTATAATTATATAACAATTAATTAATTTTCTATATAAATTATTTATAATCAATAGTATCCATTTCCATACATACCCGGATTAAATGGTTTTATATCATCAAATTGTGAGACAGTATGTGAAACAGCAGCTCGACTACTGTTTTATAATATAAAATGGTTGAAAACATTACCAGTGTTTGTGTCACTTCCTATGAGAGATCAGGTAATTTGTGGCCATGAAATGGCATGAAATTTCAATGTTATAGTCATTATGATTATAATAATCCTTAAAATTGATAGTAATGTCAGACAAGGAAATTCTCAACTCTTTACTTAACTTTTCAATACTTTTACTTATATGTGTATTATTTGGACAGTTATTACTTATAGAGGAGGGTTGGAGAGAGCTGTTCATACTTAGTGCCGCACAATTCATGCTTCCCATAGATATGGAGCCATTAATAGCATCGGTCGGTATTAACTCGAGTTCATTGTTGGCGTCGAGGGACGACTCGTCGGCACTATCATTGAGCACAGCCTCCAAAACAGACAAATTCGTCACTTTTATGACTGAAATTAGATGTTTTCAAGAATTGGTGACCAAATTCAAAGAGCTAAGAGTCGATACCACTGAATACACTTGTCTTAAAGCTATTGTTCTCTTCAAAACTGGTGAGCATTTAATAACAATAACTAACTCTTTCACTACTTTTGTAATGCATTTTTCCATTCATTCATATATTTATTTATTTACTCCATGTATTTGACTAAAAGTCTTGAGAGAGAGAGAGAGAGAGAGAGAGAGAGAGAGAGAGAGAGAGAGAGAGAGAGAGAGAGAGAGAGAGAGAGAGAGAGAGAGAGAGAGAGAGAGAGAGAGAGAGAGAGAGTGAATGAGAAACGGAAGCCTTTAGGCTTTACTATTAACTATTGACACATTGTTTTCATATAACAATTCATAATATAAATATTTTACGGATATTTTTTCCACTTAAACATTGATTTTGATATCTTTATTGTAGACTTTCCCTCTTCATCATCGACTTCATCGACTACAGTCCATGAGCTCAGAGATAGTGCTGCCGTATCTGCAGCTCAAGACAGGGCTAATGTGACATTAAATCAGTACATTTCAACGGCATATCCGACACAACAGTCATTCCGTTTCGGAAAATTGCTTTTAATGTTACCATCGCTTAGAAGTGTCTCCGGAAACACTATTGAAGAACTGTTTTTCCGGAAAACCATTGGAAATATACCAATAGATAGACTTTTATCAGATATGTATAAATCAACAGAATTCTGATAATTACTGTATTTATAAGTTATTTCTATTTAAGTAAAATCATAATTGTTTTTAATTTTTAAAAAATGAAATTTATTTCTTTGAATGAAAAAATATATAACAAATGGTGTAATGATAATGTGTGTCATAAAGTGGTGCTTAAGTGTACAAACTATGTCGGCAAAGGTGGGTCCCGGACACTGATGTTGAGATCAGCCATCAATACAGTTGACTATAGCTGACTGATGATATAGAGCTGAATGAGAGGCTTTGAGAGGTATTGTAAAGCACATAGAGTTGTTGGTGAGGTATATCCCTATCATTTTGTAAACCACTAACATTTGTGTCATTTTTCGAGTCCTAAAGTGATTCCCTTTGCGACAAAACGACTCAAACTACTGGTGCTGTTGTTGTGCTCTTTCATGTATTTTTGATGTGCTTTTGTATTTCGACTCCCAATCAGAGTTTCGCCAATTTTTTGTTGAATGCATTGAAAACTTTAATAGACTCTCATATTTCGAGCCTAAGAGCACTGGTAGTATTGGCTTCTCTGTTCAACTGTTCCCCCTCTTTGTATTGCTCTCACAGTTGTGGAAATCAGGCCTAAAAGGCAAGAGATTAAACTGAGTTCAGTCACTAAGCCGACTGTGAGCCCTCCTATCCAGCCGTTTGCCAATATGTTAGTCACTATCGACCACTATATACCAGTGTACTTCCAGGTGCACCACTTTATAGGGATCCCTATTTTATATGTGTAGTCAAATAACAATAATATCAAGCAATGCATTGACGAGAAGGGAGATGTAATCACAATATACGCTTGATTTGCATCAACACACAGACTAATAGTGGTCTCCAAATATCATCGAGTTTTGCCATTTCATACAATTTATAGTATATGTCTATCAATACTCTACCCGTCCTATCAATGCTATCTAATGTCATTGCATACCATACAAGTCGTATATAGTGGTTGTATGCCTTTCTATGTATAAAAATATAGCTGTAATTATCGACTTAAAACGATAAGCATCTCATTTACTTTACGATAATAGACTTATCCATACATTAACTCTACATTTAGAAACATTAGACTTAAATTTCATTCTTTAAAATGTATGGCTTCTACACTATACTAATACTACACAACCACTACAAACCATCCCTTACCCAAAACATTACTATTATTACTACTGTAGACTACAAACAATACACTACCAGAGATGACAATATCTCTTAAAAATTTGTTATCATTTACTATTTAAAATGTCTTTTAACGTACACTTCAATTGTATATACATTATTGTCTCACAGTATGAATCGCTATTTAATAGATATGACGACAATTTTGTTGTCGGCATACGTTTGACTACTCAAGTGAACTGACGGTCCATTGATTTACCTTTTTATCAATGAATGAGTTTCTGCTCTTTCATTGAAATTAATAACTATTTTGAATACTTTATATATCTTATAGTTTTGAGTCAAAATAATTTTATAACGAAAACTGTTAAACTTTTAAGTGGTTTATTGTTAAACATATTGTATTAATAATTAATTCACATGTTTTTCAAGCAATTATATTATTTTTTTAATGCATTTCACTGTATGGATAACTATGTGTTAACAAATTGTTTAGTATTATATAAAAATATATGATAATTAAAAATAAATAAAAATTGTATTTAAATACAAATATAGAGTATATGAATTGATGCGGTTTTGTGGCGATTGTATAGCAAACGTCTGGCCGTTTGTAGTAATTGAACGGCCGTTTCAATGGTGTTGTGATTAAAATATTTATTGAATAAATCACTAATCGGTTTGCAGTATATATTGAAAGAAACCCCAAATTGAAAGAAACACAATAGTATTGGATAGGAATACCAGAATCAGGGCTAAGCCAGACATGAATGCCATCCGGAAGAGTACAGTCGACATTGCAAACGAAGAGATTATTATTCCGGTTGTCATGAAATACGACAAATCGGTGGACACAGCGCTCGGCTCCCAATAATCATCGGCACCACAATTATTGGACATTAAGTAAGGAAAGGGAGTCATTATGTAGAGTATGCCGATCGTTAGGATAGTCCAGTTGTCTGCGATTATACAGGCGGTCACCAGTGATGTCATACCAATCACTGATGTTAACGACAATATCATCAAATTTATTAATTCATTCATTGGATTCAACTTTTTGTTTGATATCAAATACATTCATAAAAATTATTATAATATAACTAATAATAACTCAAAATTATCATTTAATTGCAAACAATTATCAAATAATCGCTAAGAGAACACATATTATATTTAATATGACGAGCAATACGTGTATATGAGATGCGCGTGCATTCATTGATTACACTTTATTACTACTAAATAAACTATTATATATTGTAAAACATAATAAAAATATTATTTAATTATATTTAGTTAAAATAAAAAGTTTTATTCAAAAGTTTTATCAATTATAGGCCAATACATACATTTGATTCAAACTTTTTTTGTTTGATTGCAAACCTGTTGTTGTGTTTGGCTTTTGCGCACTCAATGTGTGTCTCAAACAGTCATATGTTTTGAATGTATGAATGAATGCAATGTTTGTTTACATGAGAGGTGTGTTTGTCTATCACTTAAACACATCCAACAAATAACCACTGATGGGTTGATAACATAACAACAACAACAACATTGTTATTATCTTTACAAATGAAGTACAAGACATTGAAATTGTTGTTATATTTGTTAACAATATTTCCAATAATAATAACAATTGTTATATATTTTGCAAATGTTTTGTTATATTTATTTCTTGTAATTGTTATCACTTTAATTGGTCTTTATTTGGGCGTTAAATCCTATGAAAGACAATTAATGGACAATTATCAGCAACAATATGATAGCAATAATATTAATACATTAAAATTGAATCCAAAGTACAACTCAAGACATAATGACAACAAAAAAACTTTTGACGATCCGATCGACAACTACTTCAAGAGTCGGACTCTTGTGTCCACAAATGTGGATCAACTTATGGAAGAGATTGTCGACAATTGTCTCAGAGATTTTCTGTTTGTTTGGTACAAGAATTTAGTCAAAGATTGTGATAGTGACAGACTGTCCACAAAAATTAAGTAATGAATGCTTAAGACAATTGTTATTACAATATATATATATTAATATTATCATCGGTTGAAATCTCTTGTAATTTCAGAAATGAATTTTGGGAAGTGTTGGCAAATGTTGTTATCAGAATGCGATCCATCGATTTGGTTAAGTTTTTTACACGTAATGCTGTCAATCGGTTCTTAAAGCACTTCCAAAAGATAACTGTTTGTATGAATGGCCCGAAAGATAACCAGAAAAATGTTTATCATTTGAGCGCACATTTGACTGAAGACAAAGAACTAGAATTTATTAGAAAATTATGTGATTTTTTATTAACAATTTTACTGCCAAAGAGTTACGCGAAAAGCAAACCACTGAAACATCTCTTAAGAGAGATACTATCAGTTCAACTATTGAATGCCATTAATCTAATATGTGATCCAATTTATTTGAATCAAAAACTTTTAGATTATCTTAAATATCATAAGATTGAGTCCGAAAAACATCAACAAACTTATGCCTACGCAGAAACATATGAGGACTTTATTAAAATGATTAACCATTGCTGTGATGTTGAAGATCTCAAAAGGATCCGATTTCAGGTGATCACCGAAATAATGGAGGCAACTGTTATCAATAATTTAAAGAAAGAGCGCGGAATAGACATGAATGAGAAGATGTTTTCGGGACCTATCACTTCTGCCAAAGGAGACCTACTTCAGGCACGAAATCTCAAGAGATATATAAATCAATTAACATTTGCAAAAAATCAATGCGAGAAACGAATCAATGCTATTAACGGCATTAACAATCGGGAAGTGTTGACCCGGAAGAATGTGCTTTTTTCGTCAGATTCATTGCCACAACCAAATCGTAAGACTGTACTCGGATTCAAAGTAATAATGACTTCAGAGATATGTCGATCATATTTGAAAAAGTTTATGCAATATTCACTAATAAGCAGTTCCAGTACTCCGGAAAGTAGACGCCATTTGATTGTTTTTTGGGAATCAGTAGATCAGTTGTCCAAACAAGAAATTAGCAAACAATATGAAATCGCTAACGAAATATTAAATAATCCAAATTTTAAATATAATTTTATAAAACTAATTAATTTATCAAAGAATACATTGAAAACAATGGAAGAATTTGTTTTGGGTAACAGAGGACCCGAAGCCTATTTTACTGCACAGACAATGGTCTATGAAATACTCGAAAATAGATATTATCCGTTGTTTATTGTAAGCAAAGAATACAATGAAATGTTGGATCAGATGCACGAAACTCTGCAAAGCAGTCGCGAGTCGACTCAACAAAGCGATGAAAGTCAAACTGATGAAAGCGATTCAGAATTAGACTATCTTCGGGAACAAAGTTTAGTTGATATAAGCAATTCAATTGTCGAGATTCATGTTTCGCAAACAAAGGTAATATTAGAAAATCTCTCACAAAAACTAAACGACAAAAGAAATGCTTTAAAAGCGTTAAAAAAATCTGAAACGGAAAAACTGACCACAAATTCACTAAATGTTAACCAAAAGTTGATTCAATTACTTGAGAAAGAAATTGATGATATAATGCGTGAATGCAGTCAATATGAATCACATCTGGTCTGTACTGAGCTATGGATCAAAGGAATGGGTCACTGGAGAGCTGAGATACATAACATTGAAATGGATAACATCGATGGTTACTATTTGGCAATAATTATTGTTTATAGAAATGATGTGAAGGAAAGTTCTTCCAATGGATGGATTGTTGCCAGAAATGTCCAACAATTTCATGAATTAAAAAGAAAACTGATTCACTATTTTCCTAATTTAAAACGTTATGATTTACCAAAATTTTACAAAAGATTTATATCATTAAATGAAACACATTTGAATGTTATGAAGAAAAAGTTGCAAATGTTTTTGGATGTGTTGACAACAAATGACAAAATATACAGCAGTGAAGAACTATTTCTATTCCTATCTCAAAGTGCTGACAGTGTTAGGAAACCTATTAACAGACAACACAACACTTCGACTATTCGGTCAAAAATGTTTCCGTTGGCCAAACTATTTGGTATCGCAAGTCAACCATACGAAAGACATTTGTCTAGCGATTCCAACAGTGAGGACGTCGATCATCATCAACAACAGATATCAGACAATCAGTTCTTAATTCTAAATGATTTAGAAAATGAAGACAATATTAAAGATGATATCGCGGAATCACTTTATGATCTCATTAGCGAAATATTTGAATTGAAAACCATAACAAAATGGTTACGCAGGAGTCTCATGACATTTGTTCAGATGACTTACGGCCAGACTATTAATAAACAATTGTACTCAACGGCCGAATGGTTGGCCTCTGAATCCATGATTTATTACTATTTGACTTCATTTCGGGACTCGTTGTGGCCAAATGGCAAGCTATCCGAACCCTGGCCTCACAATTCTCTAGAGGAACGAAAAAGAGTACAAATTCTTGCTAAACAACATCTTTTAAATAGTATTCCCGAAGTTTTCAACAATCTTTTGGGTCAACAAAATGTGAGAAAAGGAGTCGTCAAGGCTTTTGATGGATTGCAGAATCAATTACTAAATAAACAACTATTTTATGTAAGAATTTTGTCTATAAAAATATATTAATTAAATTAATTATTTTTCCTATTTTTTAGGAAATAGTAGAAACATTTATTTTTGAATTCGCACCTGAATTGAAAAGTTATTAAAATTTTATATTTAGTTATTAAATCAAATTTCAAATTTTATTTTTATAAAATTAAAACCACATACATATCATGATTATTAATAAACTTGTGATAAACTACCGATAAGTCCAAAAAAAACTAATCATAAAATGTGTGGAACTAATTGGATTGCTATCGTAATCATTGCTGTCTTATTAGTCTTCATAAACCCAGGACTGCTGATTGGCCTTCCATTCGGTCAACTCTTTGGGATCAAACCACAAAGCAATCTCTTTGTTGGCGCTGTCGACTGAATCGCTTCCATGGATTATATTTCTGTAAACATTTTAAAATAATGGAAACAAAGATATTTAAGTTATTGTCTTAACATTAATGACTTGAAATCACGAAATGACAAAACTATTGATATAAGTATTTCTGATATTTTTATCACATATACAGTACATTATACATACCGTAAGGTTAATGAAAGTAATAAAACATAGGATTTTAAAAATCGATAAAATAAATAAAATATATATTTCTTTGTAATATCATTACCGGTACTTATAATTACATTTAATTGTCATTAAAAACTATTATAGTATAAGCAATAAAAATGTTAGCAAACAATGTGTTATTTCTATGAAATACCGGTATATATGATAATTAGTAAAATAATAATCAAAAGTATAGACAATACCTTCCGGTTTGTATACAGAAGTCACCCCTAATGGTTCCGGGCTTGGAATCGGCCGGATTGGTCTCACCCAAGAGTACACGACCAGTCTTGACCACATTGAGTCCCTCCCAGACCATTGGCACGACGGGTCCCATTTGCATGTATTGGATCAAACTTGGAAAGAATGGACGCGACGACAGATCCGAGTAATGCTTTTTCAGCAACTCTTCTCCGGCCTTAAGAAAAAACAATCAATTGTCTCATTAATATATCATATCATATATTATATTAATAAATCAATTTCATAAATGACAGACACAATTGTCACCAATTAGTGATAACATATGACATACATTCATGAACTTAATGGCCACTAATTTGAATCCTTTTTGTTCAAAACGTTTGATGATATCCCCGACAAGTCCTCGTTGGACACCATCGGGTTTAATCATAATGAAACTTCGCTCGCGATTGGCTGCCATTTCTGGTGATATCCAAGACAATAGTGACAAAAGAGTACAAATCATACAATAAGTAAATGAAATGTGGAGTAAATGTGAAGTCAGAGTCAGTCTGTTTGAAGGCCTGTCTGTCACTACAACTACACTAAACTACCGGTGCTTTCAATAGGCATTTGTCTGACATTTAAAGCATTAACTCTGAGCTCACATTTGTAGACATTTTCCATATATTTTGTACGCAAATAGTCTATAAATTATTTGTTAAATACCGCAATAATTAAACATTTGGTACTTTTTTTTGCTATAAATTTCTAACATTAAACCTAATATAATAGCTTAATATAAAAAGCATTAAAATAAAATGTAAATATATTTGACTTAAAGAAAAGTGTGAACACATGTGTCTAATGTTTTGCTATTGAATTGCATTGAATTTAGCGCTGATTTAAGTGTCCATTGATTGACCAAACAATGTCCGAATCGTCGATACAATCGCCACAAGAGTTGATCCACAAGAGACCACATCATAAAAAACATAAAGTGGTTGACGAGAGCCATGAAAAAGCTTTGGAAACCATTCTCTTTGGCAAAGAATCGGATGTATTGGAGACGATCAGCAAAAAGCATAAAATCAAATCAGAAAAAGCGGACCAAAAGTTTGATTTCTTTGTGGACAAAGGTTTGCCAATATTGACGGCATCTTTCAGTGAAAGCTTTGTTAATGAAGAGGTCGAAGACGAATCTGATGACTCCAGTGATGGCGATAATGATTATATTAAAGAAGCATTTAGTTTGGCGACTAAACATGAAACTGAAGAAGAAGAAGAAGTTATTGAAACAGAAGAGATGACTAAGAGGAAGAGTGTTTGGGTTGATTCGGATGATGATATTGTCGTCAATGAAGCCATGAGTAATGCCAAGAAGTTACCCAAACGAGTGGACACGAAAGACAAATACAAGGATTATTTGGATAATAAATTCACTGATTTATATAAAACGCCGAAATGGGCTGAAATGGGTGATAGAAAAGACCGAAACATATTGTCAAGTGATAGTGACAGTGACTCCGACATCGATGACGATGGTCTGATGCGAACCGCACAGAGATTTAAATTGAAATCAAAGACGTTAGCGAAAGGGATTATATCTATTAAGAAGTGTACGCCACTTACCAATGATAATAAAGTCAAAGTATGGCAAACATATTTGAATGTTTGAATTTATAATTAAATTTATTATATCTCTAGACGTGTCTAAATGGTGTCCAATTTCATCCAACATCTACAGTGGCTTTGGTCTCAGCGCCCAATGGTTTGGTTCGACTCTTTCAAGTTGACGGCAAAATTAATGCCAGAATTCAAAGCATTATGTTTAGAGATTTTCGATTAAATTCAGCACAATTTACCAAAGATGGCGATGAATTGATAGTTGGATCTAATGAAGTGATGGGTCAATTTTTTTACTACAATATGATCGCTGGTAAGATTGTGAAGATTCCGTTTTTTAAAGGAAAAGACAAGTATATGTTGGAAAAGTTTGTTATCTCTAACGATAATCAACTGATAGCAGTCAAAGGAAAGGAAGGTTTTATACGATTTCTTACCGTTAAAACAAAAGAACATATATTTGATCTGAAAATGAACGGAGAGGTCATGTCATTAGATTTTAGCGATGATTCAAATTTGTTGTTCACTCACGGAAATGAAGGAAAGGTCTATATTTGGGACATAAGGAAAAGGCAATGCATTAATAGATTTGTTGACGAGGGATGTGTTTCTGGGACTACTATCACTGTATCGCCGGACTCTAAGTACTGTTGCACCGGTTCAGACATGGGAGTGGTTAACATCTACCGATATGATGATGTATTAACACAAACATATCCCAAACCATTGAAAAGTATAATGAATTTGACAACAGAAGTGTCGCAATTGAAGTTTAATCACAGCTCAGAACTGTTACTTATGTCGTCCAAAGAAAAAGACAATTGTGTTAAATGTGTTCATATGAATAGTTTAACGGTTTACTCAAATTTTCCTATCGCTGGCAAAAATTATGGTCGAATTTATAGCTCTGATATATCATTAAATAGCGGTTATATGACATTTGCTACAAATTGCGGAACCGCTCATCTCTATAGACTAAATAATTTTACTGACTATTGAATTATTTTATATAAATAAATATTTATATTTTAAATAAAGATTATTATCTAATATTTAATATGTTATAAATGACAAAAAAAATATTTTTTACCTGAATTTGAATAATATCGGCCATAAGTACTCAAATATAAGAGAGATTTTCTATTGAATTTCATTTACGGTATTAAACAAAATAATTGTTTACGAAAAAGTTAATAAATAATAAATTAATGATAAGTTTTTTAGTTTTGTTATTTGTTTTGACATTTTTGTTAATCATTTGTATAATTAAGTTTTAAATATAAATGTTGATAAATATTTTTAAAAATAATAAATTTATATTTTAGGACCAATATTAATTAAGTTTGATTAGAAATTTGAAAATTACGTTATTATATTTTTAAATATATAGTATTAGATAGTGTATAATATTGTAATTTAATAAAATGCTGCCAAAAATATTTATTTCGGAAGATTTTCTAAAGGTAATTGAAATGATAATATAAATATTTCAAGATTAAATTTTAAATATATATAATTTTAAATTTATTTATTTGAATATTTTTTTCCAGTTATTTTTTGTACAATTTTAAGGTCAATATAATTATAAATCTAATAAATCTCTAATGATATTTTATAGTAAATAAAATGTTAGTAAATCTGTTTTATATAAAGACTAAATGATAAGTAGAGAATGTTTTTTAAAATATAAATTATTTGACATTTTTATATTAATGCATAGTATGCATACATATATAGTTTAATCACAACTTTATAATTTATAATCTAATCAATTGATTATTAGTATAACTTTGATTTGTTACTTATTTTGTATTAATTTAAGTGCCGTTAAGTTTGAGTTATATTTCATAGTTGAGTGAATACTTTTGTGTAATCAATTGAAAAAATACATTACATTAATTTACAATACATTATTATTTATTTAATTATTAACACTTTTGCTTAAATGATGTACTCAATGAAAGCACAATTTCTTATAAAATAATAAATTTATTGAAACAATAATTGCATCAATAGATAGACAGGTATTATAGGCGACGTGTGTACCAAACGATTAGCCGGTTTGTACTTTTACTACAGTATATGAGCAAAGGTTGTTTGTTTGGATATATTATACATAAAAGTGTCAAATGTTGTGTACCTAACCTAACCTTTATCCACAATAATTAAAATTAATTGTTTTAATTAACATTAATTGTTAGAGCAATTACTTGTAAAATCCTGTTTACAATATAATCATAATTTGTTTATATATATAGACTGAATAATACAGTATTAAACATTACATGTACTGTATAAATGTATAAATTAATTAAGTTACGGCAATTATTAATAACTTAGGGGTGATTGACATATTACGTTCGCACTTTTTAAGAAATCCAGACCCCTTCCCTAAGTTCACAATTATTGTAATCATTTTAAAAAATTAGGTTCGCATGTCCTTAACCCCACCCTTAAGAATAAAATAAAATACCACTATATTTATAAATAATTTAATTAAAATTAATTAATTAATTAATGTATCATATGATGACTTTGAGTTTGGCATCACTTAATTTAACAATAAAATAATGATTTAAATGAATATTTTATAAAATTATTTTCATTTTCAAAATATTCCAAAAATTGAAAATAAAACTATTTTTATTCAAAAGTCATATATTTACGGTATTCAAACCGTTTGATAAAAATTAATTCCTTAAATTATTTAAATGCTAAGTTCTTAAGATCTCTACCCTCCCCATCGTTCGCAAAATTCACTCCCACCCACCTCCAAATGCGAACGTAATATGTGAATCACCCCTTATATTCATATAATTAATACAATTTTAAGATAATTGTGTTGTCTTTGATTTTTGTTTCACATTTTAGAATTTAAAATAAATCAAAATATTACAATATATTAAAAATTATATTAAAATGTTTTTAGTTACATAAATTTAATATTAATAGCATATGTTTTAATAGTTTAATTTATATTATGATACAAAACTTTATGATTTATCAAACATGATATAACAACTATTTATAAAAATTACATTTTTATTTGATTTATTAATAACAATCATATTAATTAATAGTTTTAAAATATATATTTAATTATGATATTTGAAATATAATAGATTTTGTGTTAGATTTTGTTATATTAATAGATAAATTATGTTTACTATATTATAGTTTAACTATTTTAATGCCTTACAATACTTACGGGTAAATTATTAATTTAGATATTGAGAAACAATACAAATTCCATGAGTAATACATACTATCTTTTATCTAATATATCTTTTTTATTAATACCAATGAAAAATAATACTTACTATCGATCAAAATACAAAGTTAAATAATTGCATAACAAAATGTGATTATAAATTTGAGAACTCATCTATAAAAACAATGTGATTTTAAGCTATAAGTGTTTCACTAATTTTTTGTACAGTAATTAGTTATATGACTAATGTATTACAGAATATTGTTAAATATATATCAACTTTGCAATTGTAAATTGTTATTTATTATCATATTATGTGTTTAAAATTTTAAATAACTGAAACCATTTATTATTAGTGTTCAAATTATTTTTTTAAAAATATAATAAATTAGTATATTATTGCAAAATGGGTCAAATAATTAACGGCAGTTTAGTAATCGTTGGTTTATTGCTTATAATAGTCGGCGGCGTTATTCTCGGCATTTTCCCAACCATTTTGAAACAAAAAGTTTCAGAAGTATGTTGTTTTCAATATTATAATTTTGTTTAATTATGTTTTTAAATTAAATTGTTTAAAAATCCTTTATTTAATTATAGTTTTTTAGTTTGAAAAAATAGGCAAACATTAAGAATCTAATTAATTAATTAAATTGCTTGTATTATATTTTTTTTCTTATCTTATTATACCTGATATAGACAAGTGTTTGTTTAGATAACTAATTTTTATAGTTTATTGGGATATACATAACATTATCAGCAAATATAATATATTTTAAATGTCATATTATATTATATACTGTATATATATATATGACTCAAATTATATAATGTAATGCAATATTATATATATATATATATATATTAGTAGAAGTAATTAAAACTTATTTGAATGTATAGGAAATGGCAATACTGAAGGATACGGATGCGTTTGACCGATGGAAAGAAACACCGGTTCCCGTATACATGAAATACAATTTTTTTATTCTCGATAATTCAGACAACTATAACAGTTTAAATGATATTGTATTGAAAGAAAAGGGACCCTATGTTTACAAAGAAACACGAATTAAACAAAATATAAGTATTAGTCTCGATTGGGAACACATATCTTATAGAGAAAAGAAGACCTACGAGTTTGTACCGGAAAAGTCGTGTCAAAAATGTAAAGAAGAAGATTATGTTAATGTCATTAATTTTCCGCTATTAGTATGTATTTAACAAAACAAATAAAATAATTTGATTATTATATATTGCAATTGACACACAAATTGATAAAAATTATATACAAATTATATATATTGTCTTTTTTATATAAAAATAGGGCATTTTATTTAATGAAAAGTTTAAGACTTTTCGAACCACTATTAATGATACCTATACTAAAGCTGCTAAAAACAATACATTAAAACCATATGAATTGGAAATATTTCTTAATGAAAGCGTTCAAAACATATTATTCAAAGGAGTTCATTATAATCTTATGGATGAATTAAATAATAATCTTCTGATACCTTTTAAACTGCCACTACTTGATCCTAATTACAGAATAAATGATGTAATTATAGTAAACATTGTTATAAAAAATGAATAACAATATAATAAATAAATAAAATAATGTTTGGTATTATTTGTTAGAATTACACCGTTTTGGAGGAAGAGTGGACAATAAACACCGGTAAAAATGATCTGAAAAAGTTGGCACAAATTGAACGATTTGATTACAAGACGTAAATATTTCTTCAAATTTTAATTTATTTCAATCTAAAAGTGATTATCATTTTACAGATCTCTTATCAATGATGATATGAAAACTTATATTTGGAACTCTAATCCCGAAGATGTTTTGGATTCAGAAGATTGTAATAAATTGAGGGGAACTGATGCTGAACTGTTCAAACCATTTATTGATAAAGACGATGTTTTATATGTTTATGAACCACAGATTTGCAGGTATTTCAGTGAAAAAATAATAAATATATAACTTTATTAATTTTTTTGTGAAATATCATTAATTTTATTTTTCATAATTAACAGAACTGTTTACTTCAAGTACTGGAAAGAGAGTTCAGTGCAGGACATCGATACCTATCGGTTCAGAATTCCTCAAGAATATTATGCCTCACCATTGAAAGTGAAGGGAAATATGTGTTATTGTATTAAAGAACGGAAAGATAATAAAGAGTGTGACCGGAGCTGTACACTTGACATTTCCCGGTGTTGGCGTCGATCAATTGGTGCCCCCATTATTATGTCGGCTCCCTATTGGGTTAATGGCTTACATAATGGTGAAGATCTACGCAAACAAGTGGGTAACAAAGGTTTGACATCCAAACTCGAGTATAATGACGAAAATTTCGATACATATCTTGATATTGAACCGGTATTTTATTACATAAGTTTTAACAATAAAAAAAACTAATTTAATAATAAATGATTATTTAGTTGACTGGTATAACAATGGCAGCGCATAAACGTATGCAAATGAGTATTGAAGTGAAAGGAACGGATTCAATACCCTTATTAAAGTTAGTCATTCATTATTAAACATTTGATAATTATTTTGATTTTAATTATAATTAACGATAAATTACATTATATTTTTTTGAAAAACTATTACAGAAAGCTGTTTGACTCAAAAGCTAATCAGTCGTACATAATCCCTGTCTTTTGGATTGAAGAGGTATATTATATATAATTATAAAATTTTTTGGTCGCTTTTTTAAAAAAAATCTGTATTAAAGGTTGCCGAAGCTGATGAAAGTCAAGCCGACAAATTCAAGTCAATGGTGACCAACAAGAAAAAACTGGCCATCGGACTGTCCATTGCGGCCATTGTTTTAGGTGTTATATTGCTTATCATAGCAATTGTATTGATGTATAGACAGCGTAGAACCGGCAAAAAAATTGTGTGATATAATAATATTCAGTATTTTTTATATATTCAAAGTACAGTAATATAATAATTAAATCTTTTTTTGTTAGTATTTATTGCATTACATTGTAATCTCATTAGTAATCATTTGTGTTATTACATTAATTACCAAGAAATAAAAAAATAAAATATACTGTATAATAAAATAGTTGTTATTTACAGTATGTAGTTGTTTATAAATTGATAACTTAAAAACACAATAGTATTTAATATTTCTAAATTATGATTGACAAAAATTTTATAGTAATAAACTAATATACTTAAAAAGTAAAATATATTTTACTATTTATAAATTTGTTATTTATTTAGTATAAAATATTAAAAATAAAAAATATTATTATAAAGTATAATAATTAATTATTATTTTACATATAAATTTACAGATAATATGAAATATTTATCATTATAAATATTGTATACATTATTATTATATAATATTAATTTATAATAAACATTATTAACCTAAAATAAATATAATATATTTAATATTTACTTTATTGTGCTTTTTTAAAAAATATAACTAATAATCCAACATTATTAAATTGTCAATTTTATAATATTATCAAATTTGCAATCAATATGCATAAAACTATATATAAAATTTAATATAATTTTATTATACTTTAGTTATTTCTTCACTTATATATTTATATCGATTTATGTGAAATACAAGTCTAAACTTTTATTATTTTTATTACATTAATAAACATCTAAATCAAATAATACTAACTTATTAACATAATTAAACAAATAAAAAACAATTAATAATATAATTTATTAACACCATTAAACTTTCTATTGTAAACATAAATATAATAATTAATTTCAAGGTTGGCTTAAAATTTAAGTTTCGAGAAAAGTCTCATCAATTTGTTTGGCTATTAATTGGTTTACTTTCTTAGTAATACAACTTGTATTATAAAAGACATTTATAATTAAAAAAGCATTGGTTTGCATATTGAACTTAAAAAATTTCATTAAAAAATTATGACTTTTAAGAAATATTGCTATTATTTTATATGAAAGATTTGAAGTCACGCTATCATCTAATTTTAATGTGATATACAATATAGTATTGTGAACAGTATAGTCATAACAAAAATATCACGCAATGGCATAGAAAATACAAATATTTGCCAATAAAACATTTTTATATAAAAATATTTTCAACTAAAATTATATTTTTCTAATTTTTTATTACTAAAATATAAATATAATATATAACTATATACCGTATTGTATAAGTACCATAATATAAATATATATTTTACAGACAATAATTTAGAGATCAATTTCTACTGTACTTAGAAATTATAATTTTATATATTTTCAATTTGCTATTGAATTTGATTGAATTAATTTAATAAAACTATTAAAAATGTGCAAAATTATCAATTGCTGTATTGGTTTAATTTTGATGATAGTTAGCGTTGCAATAATAGGTATCAGTCTATACGTTCACATAGATTTCGATAATATTATGGATAATCGGATAAAATCTGAAGTAATTATTAGCAGAGATAATACATTATATGACAAATGGGTTAATAATGAGTCTCAAGAGTCCATCAAAATGTTTGTCTTTGAAGTGGAAAATCCTAATGAAGTTCTCAATGGAATCAAAGCTAAAGTCAGAGAAGTGGGACCTTTTGTCTTCAAGTATGATATTATCACTTATTTATTTAAAAACATTTATTATTATTATATAAATTATAAAATTATTTATATTTTGATTATAAAGAATACAAAGACTTAAAGAGAAGGTATCCTTTTCTATGGATAAAACTATTGTATCGTTTGCTGAAAGAAAAGTCTATTTATTTGATGAGTTAATGTCTACTGGAAGTCTTGATGATAACATAACTGTTATTAATTTACAATTTATGGTAAATTAATTAATATATTAAATAACTTCATAATCATGTTTGCATTGATTTTTGTTTTTGGAGTAGATTTTGAATCCTATGTTAACTCAATTGACGCAAAGCTCTAATACAGTTAACAGTCGAAGCAATAACTCTGTATTGAACACTATATTTGATACCTTTAGAGACAATGTATTTACTTCAAAGTCCATTAGAGAGATACTCTTCGAGAGCAAAGATGATCCCAAACTTAAACAAATAACACAATACTTCACGAGTTTATCACGAAATGGTATTTATGTACCAAAATTGTTACCCAAAAACTTTTCTCTGTTTGATAACAACACTGAAAATAAATTTGAAGTATTGACCGGATATAAGACAGGCCTATACTCGAAGATACTTAAGTGGAATGACCAGACGTTAGCTATTAATTATTAGTTAATAATTATAGTTATTTTAATTAATTAATTATTATCTGTTAGAAATCTGAAAGTATGGACGGGTCGACAGTGTAATGCAATCAATGGCACAAATGGCTATCAATTTACACCTCCTGTTCATAAATTGGGTCGAATTTATGAATATCATACGGATATTTGCAGGTTTAGTCATTACTATAATAAATTATTATTAATCATATTAATTATTATTTTTTAAATATAAAACATGTGATAATGTTTAGATCAATAGAAATGGGTTACGACAACACCTATGATATCGATGGTATATCTATTTATCGGTTCAGTCCAGTCGATAATATATTCTATGGTCCAAAATCTAATCCCAAAAACAGATGTTACTGTTTATCACCAAATAATCCAGAAAAGTGTAATTTTATTGGTATAGTAGACCTGTCCTCATGTAGGGGTTCACCATTAATATTATCAAATCCACATTTTTGGCGAACTTCTGATATTCTGTCCAAAAGTGTGGTCGGACTCAATGCTGACGAACAGTTGCACCAAAGTTTCATTGAAGTGGAACCGGTATTTGAAATCTTTTTCAAGTTTTCAATCTTATAGTAATATTTATTTATAAATATATTTTATAGATATCAGGTTTTGTTATCTATAAAACCAAAAGATACCAATTGAATGTTCACGTGAAGAAATGTCCATTGAATCAGTCAGTTGACAATAATTACTAAATTCATAATTATATGTAATTTTGTTTTTTAAATAGAAATTTAGGCAAAACTCTTAAAGAAGGTATAATTCCTTTGGTTTGGTTTGAAGAGGTGTCAGAATTAGACGACTATACGAAAGACACCATTAAGTTGTTCTTTGTTTGGCCGAACAAATATGAAGAGCTTATTGTGTTTGGTTTAATAGCTTTCGGTGGACTACTATTGATGGCATCCCTGTGTTGTTGCTGTTGTTGCAGAGGAAGCAAAAAGAAAGTGAGTGAAGAAACACTTTTTTTAATTGATTCACAAAATGTCGTCTAATTATGGCTTTAATCGTGACTTATATTACCAGAAAATCAATCCGATCTCAAAACAAGAAACTAATATAACGGATAACAATCCTATTGTTACTATTAATACTATAGACGGCCCGACCCTTAATGATAATAATTTAAGCCATAATTACGACCAAATATTTGAAGGCATTTCAATCAATAATTTCAATTTAATTCAATTTTTCATTAATACTTTATTTTTAGGCCAAACTCCACTCTCTCGACTAAAAGAAAATCCACCGAAAAGGCCATCAGCTGCACATCCGCCGCCTCCTCCACCCCCACCACCACCTCCTCCTCCACTCATAAACTTCAATTCAGATGATGTCGTATCGGAAATCAATGAGATATCGTCATCGGATTCGCGACAGAATCTCTTAAATGACATCAGAAATGGAAGCAAATTGAAAAAAGTTGAGACAAGAGAGTCGCCAACTATTATACAGATAGCAAATAATGACGAAACATCACCACAAAAAGGTCCGATTATGAGCTCATTGAACACTGAGTTACAGAAGTTTATGAGACGTAAGAGTGAAGTTGCAATCTATGGCTCACAGAATGGTCCGCAAAGTTATTATCGATGGACTAATCCTAATATTAATGCCATCAACAACAACAACACCATCAAAACAATCACCAATAATAGTGACCCAACAATCAATCAACGGTCCATCCAATTCAAGGCACCTCCCGTTCCCATCGATGAAAATAATGTCATCAAAGATAATAACAATCTAATGATTGAATCAGTAGATCAAACAGACTCTGACTTTAGTGACGGCGATGAAGAAGAGTTGAGTGATAGTAACAGCAATGATATTATCAACAGTAATGATGTCATCAAAGATAATATGCAAATCATGACAATACCCACTCAACTACCGATAATTAAGTTTCCAAACAATGGTCTAATCGTTGATAATGGCATCAAAAGTGATCACAAATCACAAACCATTATCACTGATATCATACATGTCATCAACAAGAAGTAAACCTCAAACACACCATCGATTGCTATCTATAATCAAATCATGTCATATGTCTTGTAATTGTATTGTCAAATGTCTAACAATAATAACTTTATTAAAGTCTTATTTTATGTTATTTTTAATTCATATCTCAATTGAATTATTTAATTAAATTTAATGTTTAGAAACCATTTTGTCTTCAAATCGTTTCATTCAATAACACTATTATTGTATTCAATTGAATGTTACTTTAAGTTACATTAATTGAACAGTAAATGCAATGCAATTTGAGTGACAATATTGTAGTAATGGCGGCGTAAATGCATTAATCAATTATTCAATAAATAGTCAATCAATACATACAATGTATATCAGTATTCAAGTCATAAATTGAGACAAATTTTTTTGTGGCTAAAAGTGCGCTAAAATAACAACACATTTATTGCCTAACGTTTAGATTTAATACAACTTTTTGAATCCATGAGTGCATCACATGATTCACTGAAACTCAATGCCAACCAATCAAAGTTGTCGTCTGTATTGAAGTTAAAGACGAAAGCATTGTTTGAAAAGCATTTGCTTTCAGACAAAAGTCGTGTCTTTTCTTTTTGTCATCAATTGATCCATTGATTTGTTTGTGACATTTATTTTATTAAAAACAATTGTCAATCACTAGTGGATCACTGAATTGGAGTGAAGTCATGTCAATGATGAGTAGATCGAAGGCTTCGTCGTCGACCAAGTCGTCGGATACGACAAGTTCTTCGTCATTGTTTGCCTGTCGGCCCAATCAGGGCATCACTGGTCGGCCGATGTCTGTCTTTGCCAATCATTTTCCAATCAAATACATGACTGAAATGCTTGTCTATCATTACGACGTGGATATGGAGCCGATGTCCCTAAACTACGAGTTGTCACAAATGCGAATGACTGAAGATACTGACGATAAGTCGACCAAAAAGCGCTTCAAAAAATTGGATAATAAAATCTATCGCATTGTCGTCGAAGAGGCCATTAGACAGTACTCAGGTTCGGGACAACTGTTCGACGGTGTTGTCCCCGTATATGACGGCCAGAAAAATATGTACACAAAGAAAGCATTGGATTTGGAAAAGTTTAGTAAAGGCGGCGATTATGTGGACGAAAAACCAATGGTCAGAATCAAAGTGGATGTCAATGAAGACGGACACGACGTGAGCTATGCTTTGAACATGAAGTTGGCGTCGGCTATTGATTTCAATAATCTTCGGCGATATTTTGACAAACAGACGCATAACGTGCCATCTGATTGCATACAAGTCTTGAATATTATTCTAAGACACGGACCAACTCTTTTTAAGATACCGATCGCTAACTCACTGTACGCGCCATATAATGAAGCGGCAAAAATGCGTAAAGACATCGGTGGAGGTCGTCAGTTGGCCTACGGGTACTTCCAATCCGTCAGACCTGAAGCCTAGTAAGTGATATTTAACGATAATTTAATGTCTTGTTTTAATCTTTATTATTAATTATAATATTTGAATTACTAGTGGTGTTAGTTTAGTGATTGATAGGACTGCCACTGCTTTATACATTTCGGGATTATTGATTAAATTTATGGCCAGTGTTTTGGGTCTAAATAGAGAGCAATTTATGAGTTTAACAGAGTTTCGTGATTCAGACCGAAAGAGACTCGACAAAGAGCTGAAGGGTATTCTCATTCAAGTCAGACATTTAACTTATAAACGCAAATACAAAGTGATTGGATTGACTCCTCTGCCGGCCTCTAGAGTTGTATTTGATCACAAAAAAGTAGACGCCAGAGGTTGGTATTAATGAATATATGAGTTTATAAATTATTTAATGATATTATTATTATTATTGAAAGGCAATGAAACGAGTTTGGGTGACATATCGGTCGTTGAGTTTTTTCAACAAAATTACCCAAATTGTTGTCCATTAAAGTTTGAACACTTGCCCTGCATTATGGTTGGCAACCCTAAAAAGCCTAATTATTTGCCATTGGATGTCTGCGAATTGGTCGACGACCAACACGTCCGCAAGAATCTAACTTCTGACCAAATGGTGGAAATGATAAGAGAATCGGCTTCACAGTCACCGGAAAATAGACTCAAATTCATTAAAGAATCGGCAAAATCAACAATAATTGATTCGAAGACTTATATGAAAGAGTTTGGCATTTCATTCAGTGGAGGTAATGCACCGCTCAAAATTGAGGCCCGAGTTTTGAAACCACCGCAACTGAAATATGGCCAAAATCGTGATATGGATCCGTTTGACGGCAAATGGGATGTCAAACACTTACATTTCTATCAGTGCGCACCACTCGAGCACTGGATAATCATATGTCTTTCACAACAGGTGGAACCAAAGATGGAAACTTTGGAGAGATATATGATAGAGACCGGTCGTAGTTTGGGAATGCGAGTCCTTCCGGCCACTAAACGAGTCTATCTTCGCAACTATGGTTCCGACACTATTACTAATGCATTCAAAAAGGCCACAGAAATTACCGGCGGAAGACTTCAACTAATTGTTTTTGTAATTAGTCCGAAGTATCAGTATTTGTATGAATCCATCAAAAAGGTCGGTGATATTGACTTTGGGGTCACCACTCAATGCATCAAAGAAGCCAATCTCAATAGACTTAAGTAATATCACTATTATTTCAATTGGTTATCATATTTACCCGTATATTATAATTGATTTTTTATTTTAAGGCCTCCATTAATGCAGAATATAATGCTTAAAGTGAACACAAAGTTGGGGGGCATTAATGCAGTCCTTAATAACATTGAAGTGCTTAAGAAGCGCACAATGATTGTTGGTGTCGACTGTTCACATCCGGGAGTCGGTGACCGAATGTCACGATCGGTTTCGGCAGCCGTGGCCTCCATCGATGATTCCTATGTTCGCTATTTTGCTACTACTCGTCTTCAACGTAGAGTACAAGACTTGTCTCAAGAACTTCAAGAGATGATGTTAGACCTGTTGCGCGAATACGCCAAACATAACGACGGAATACTTCCCGAACAAATAATTATATATCGCGATGGCGTCAGTGAAGGACAATTCAATGCTGCACTTCAACAGGAGATTAAAGGTTTGGCGAGTGTTTTTGCTCAAGAAAATGAAGGATATCAACCATTATTGACATATATTGTCGTTCAGAAGAGACATCATACCCGGTATTTATTGAATTTATTATCAGTTTTAAACTAATTGTTTTTTTTGTGTTTAGTTTCTTTCCGGTTAATCTTATGGAAGGCGTTGGAAAGGCTAAGAATGTACCGCCAGGTCTTGTAGTGGACACAGATGTGGTTTCGAAGACGTATTTTGATTATTTCTTGTGTTCACACGAAGGAATACAGGGCACAAGTAGGCCCACACATTACTTCATTTTAATGGACGAAAACAATTTATCTGCAGATCAATTACAACAATTGACATTTAGTTTGACTCACATCTATGCCCGTTGCACTCGTAGTATCTCATATCCGGCACCCGTGGCTTACGCACATTTGGCTGCTTATCGCACTCAACGACACATTATAGGACTTAAACAAAATGAAGACTCTGAATCGGGTTCTTATGGCGGCTCATCAATCGGCGGTATGGCTCCTCCTAGACGTCACCGAAACGATGAAGAAGGACTTATGAATAAAATGAAGATTAAAACTGACTTCAAAAACAAAATGTATTTTTGTTAAGACAGTAACACAATTCACGAATTACTTCATAATAATAGTTTTACAATTTGTGATTTATTTTGATTATTCTCATATTTTTTATATTACTGTAATTGTTGTGATTTTTTAACCGGTTATAATTTTTTACAATTTGTATTTTAAAATTAATTTGTGGTTAATTTGACTATCTTTATATTAATTGATCAATTATATATACAACGAAACAATTTGATTGAATGAAATGATTTAAAAATTAATTAATGCAATAATTTTAATGAGATATATGTTTCAATGATTTTTGACGAACCGGTTATATTAATTATAATACTTTTTTTTGAATTGATATGCTTGTGATATGATTGATATAATATGATTGACAGATTTATTAACTATAGTATATACTGTATTAATATACAATTGAAATATTACTGTAATTGATAAATGAAACTATTTGTGTTTTGCTTATGTTATAAGTTTTTTTTGTAGTCCTATAATTGTTAAATTTAATACATTTATTGAAATGAATAAAATAATTTATTTCATGATTTTTTTAACTTTTATTTAATGGGAATTTCCGATAAGTTGATAGTAAAAGGATGTGTTTAACTTTTGTTTTATTACAATTTGTGCATAAAATGGGAAATTGTTTATTTTAAAGAATAGCTATAAATATGTTTTTTATTAATAATTTTGTTTATATTAAAATAATAATTTTTTTAAATATTAATGAAAATAATTGTCAATCAGTTGGTGATCATCGGAGTCAAGCAATTAGTTTTCCAATTGATTCTCACGAAGCAATTATTGATGAAACGGTTAATATTTACTATAATTAATTAATTCAAAAATAATTTATTTCTATAACTTATATTATTAGCAAATTGACGACAATATAGAGTCTGTATTAATCCGTATGAGTCATGTGACACATGTCACTGATTTGTTGGATGAGCTCGGCTTCGGTATAAGTGGTCGACTAACGGGTCAAACTATTGGTCAACAGGCCTCGTGTGCACCCGAACTCAAATCCATTGAATTGGATGACACGTTTGGTCAACAAAATGATATATTTTTTCCAAAGTGTGTTCGTATTCAACGGTGTGGTGGCTGTTGCGGACCATCCCGTCTCCTAAAGTGCGTTCCGACCAAAAAGTCATATAAAAACATCAGAAGAGCTCACATACGCTACAAAAGATCACTCGATGGAAGAGCTGTTCCTGAACTCAATCAACACACCGTCAAAGTGGAAGTACATGAAGAATGTCGGTGCGAATGTCTCGTTCAACAAAGTCATTGCAATCCATTTGTTCACAAATATAGACCCGATCTGTGCAAATGTCAATGTCTTCATTTAAAAGATCAGTTGGAGTGTAAGCTTTATAGTGATTATAAGGTATGGGATCCCATAGACTGCCGGTGCAAATGCATTCATACAAAGCTGTGCTCCACTGGACTCTATTTTGATGACCAAACCTGCGGGTAAGCCAACAATAATTGATTGAACCGTTAGTTTAGAAAAATGATTTGACTTTTTATTTGTCAAAAGTAGGCAAACAATTCATATAATAATTGATTAGTTTTTCTGTTTTGACACATTTATCATAAACTTATTATTTTTTAATAACAATTTTGTAAACTTATAAAACCATACTTTAATAATAATAATATTTCCAATGAATTAGTGGGACTTTTCAACTAAATTGAAAGCAACACAACATTTAAAATAACAAAAACTAAATGCCTTTTCTCTCCTCATATTTCAGTTGCATTGAAGCGGAATATAAACATCAATAAACCTGTGGCTGAAACTCATGTTTATTATACTCTAATATATTAATATTGTAATCTATTGTCTGATATTTCGATATTAGTTTTACTGTATCTATCGCTCAAATACTATATATATATAATAGATATTGACTGAAAAAATCAAATTATTTGAGTCACTGAAGGGAAAACATGACAAACGATACGATAGGTTGACTTTTAGTGGTTGGATGTGACCAATACATAGGACAGTTAGACTCAGACTATTTATTGAATGTAAAATTATTTTAAACAAAACTATTGTATGTAATCATAGTTTTCTAAAAATAAAAAACCACTTTTAATGTCTATCATTACCGGCACCGGTATTAATATATATTACATTATAAGTTGTTATGACAACACAATTTCAACGATTGTTTGTTGTATTTATTGTTTTTTAAAGTATATATACAAATATATTTATTTCAATGAATATACTAAATAAAATACAGCACTTGGAGTATAGGAACGGTACGACTGGAGCGGTTGGACTTCAAATGCGTGCAAATGTTGTTCCGATTCACTGGTGACTGACTATACTCTCTAAACGCACGTTCCCTACGTGTCGATGCTATAGTAAGTCACCGCTCAAAAAAAAGCTGACAGAGTTTAGTACTGGTTTACTATATTATATATATACTATATGGTAGTACTGGTATTATATTATATGAGAAAAGAGTGGAAAGTTGTCTGCACTCGAGTCTAACGGTGCTATGCATTGCATAGTAATATCAATACAGTTGTGAAGTCGACAATTGAATCATTCATTTCAGTCATTCAGTCATTCATTCAGATGTGTGACTATACAAGTGGTTTGACCTTTGCTTAGGAAAAGGGAACTGTAGTCACCATACAATGCATTGCCATATATCATAACATTTCAATTAATTAATTATTTTATTTGATGTTTTAATTGTCTCACAACTGAACCAATGATTTTATTCACAACTCAATGATTGCATTTGTTTTAACACAATCAGTATGTTTGAGACTTTTCTCAATGCAATCTTAATAGTCTCAGTCATGCTATCAGTCATTTGTGATCACAATATAGTCATCAGAAACGACCGCATCTATCGTTATGTGGGAAATGAATCCAACCTATCATCACATGACAGTCCAAATATACAGTCATCCCATGAGATGTTGGACAACAAGGATCTCAATAAAGTGGATCAGAAAACTCACGACTCTATCATCACAAAACATGTACCGCAAGTATGTAATAAAGTTTTTTATATAATTGAATGCAAAAGTTATTTAATATTTATATTTAATAAAAATTAATTTTACAATGAATTTATTGAGAATTATTAATAATAAACTGTTTATTGAATTATAATTTTTTTGCAATTAGTTTATAGATATGTATAACAAGACGTAAATTAATTTTAAATAAATGTATAGAAAACAGTGGGGAAAATGATAAACTTATATTTAATTATACATTAGATAATATCAATTGAAATCAATAGAATATTTTTCTATTATTTATTAATGTATATGAAATTCAATAAAACGTCGAAACAAATATATGTAAACTGTAATTATGTTAATGAAAAGTAAATGTTAAGTCAAACAATTGTCTGGATTTGTTTTTATTATATTATATGAACAACAGTACAATATATAATTTTATATCAATAAATAAATATAATATAAATTACTTCCATAAGTAGTGAGATTGGTTTTTAAAGAAATTTTATTGTAACTAAATTTAAATGATTTATAACAATGTATAGTAAAGTTTTATGTATTTTGCACTGACATGAAGCTTAGGGATGTAGAAAATCTCAGACTATAAAAACTTTAATGATAAAATATGATTAATGATTAGATTATTGTTCTATCATATGTAATATAATACTATTTAACATATTTACATGCATATATATTTTCTTTAAAAATCTGGTCACTACATTTAAGACCGATATATATATATATATACTATTACTGTATATATAAAAATATTCTGTTCATAAAAAGTGTTATTTCTCTGAATTTTAATAAAGAAAGTCTTTATTTATTGATTAAATAATAATCTTAAAAATAGATTTCTGTATAAATTAATTATGATTTAATCCAAAATATCAAGCAATTACTTTGCATTATAAGGCTAACTTATAACCTTAACATTTATTTTATGATCAATATATTGTTGCATATCATTATTAGCAATATTACTAAAAATATTTTTTTCGATTACAACTATAGTTGTTTTTTTTAATCATTAATAGATTTTTTTAATTTACTTTAACGTTAGATTTGATAAACAAAAATATGTAAATTTAGTGTGGGATGTAAATTTGACGTATTTTTGTTATTTGCATTGGAAATGTCATAACAATGATTTTGTTTATTAGATTCATGTTTTATTTTTAAATATTTATTATTTATTAGTTTTTTTTGTACAGAATTCTGTATTTGTATAATATTGTTATTATATAATACATTAAAACAGTTTGAATATACAGTATAACATTGCAATAAAAAGTTTATTCATACTAATTATTTTTCAAATTTTATATTAATAAAAAATTATAGACAGATAACTTTTTTGTTGACGTCTATTATATTGATTAATATAAAACAGACATATAGACAGATATTAATTTTCTAATTAATTTATATAGATTAAAATATCAAATGCAATTATATAATTGAAAATAAATTGTAAACATATTATTATTTAAATTATGTTAAATAAAAATTATTAAGTTACTAACACAAATTTTAATTATCATATTTAGCTATACAAAAATATTTTTATATCAATTTTAGGCTTACATTATTGGTTATACAATTTATGTTACTTACCTTATTATAAGATATAATTTATATATTATCTGATATTAACTGCTTTATAATCATTAAAAAAATATTACAGAAAATCCCCGAATCATTTCTAATACAAATGAAAGACATTAAAAATTCTGACGATTTTATCGATAAGTTTTTAACAATTTCTAATCACGAAGAGCACAGTAATGATGTTTTTGTTCAATATTTGCAAAGTAGTGATACAGGTCTGCAGTTTTTTTTGTTATATTTTTTAATAGATTTTCTAATGAGAACTTTTAAACTTTAGATGAAAAAAATCAATCAATTGATGAAATGGATATCAATGAAAAAAGTAAGTTTCTTTAAGCTAACAAATTTTTCATTATTTAAAAATAAATAAATTTTGCCGATTTTTTTTATTACAGAGAAAAAGTTAACAAAATGTAAGCTAAATTTTTGATTACATTAATTATTTTTATTAAATAGATAAATAAAAATTTTATTTTTATTTTGATAAACCTAATACCATTTTACTTAAATTTTTGTTGATAACACGTTATGTCGTTTATGTATTTACATTTTTAGTGCCCAAAATTGCCAGCCCGGCTGGTTGTATACCCGAAAAGAAAATTATTGAATTGGAAACACCTGATAATGATAATGAATTATATTATCCCTCTTGTATTCGGATATCCCGGTGCTCGGGTTGCTGTTCAAGTGAACGATTACAATGTGTTGCTCTTAACACATCATTTGAGGACATATCTGTAATGAATATATATATAAATTTTATATTCAACACCTCTTAAAATATTTATTATAATCTGATTGTTAATTAACAGGTGATTCGCGTTAAATACTCGTCTGATGAAAGACGCCTCAAATTTGAAGGCTTTAAAGTGTTTCGTATTGAAAGACATGACAGATGTGTCTGTGATTGCATTCAAAAGGCATTTCATTGTAAGCCAAACCAAGTCTACTCCGATAGCGAGTGTCGATGTCTTTGTCCTAATGTTTCACAAATCATTGATTGCCAAAACTCCGATTATAAACAATGGGATTACAATTTGTGTGAATGTAAATGTAAATCAATACAATTATGCTCAACTGGGTTTGTATTTAATAATAATATATGCCGGTAAGTTATCATTAACTTTTTAGTGTTAATTAAATAATATAAATTATTTTTTTAAATATAAAAAGTTGTGAACCAGAAATAGACATAGAAGAAGACAAATTATCAAATGGTGACCATCCGGACGTGTCGTTTGATATCAATGATAGCAATAATAAACTAAATATACATCACTATGTGTTGGACAAGAAAATGGATAATGAAATGAATGCCGAGAAAAATAAAGATTTTGATGTCATCAGTGGTATTAATCCCGATATTAATGATAATTATCAACAAACATCTGGTCATTAATTATTATAATATATCATTAATAGTGTTTTTATCATACAAACATTTTAAGATATTTATTTTTATAAATAAAATTACTATTTATTAAAAAAAATTTTAATATTGCATTTATATATTTAAAAAGTATTAATATATAAATAATGATTATTTGTTTAATTTAGTTTTGGATTTTGACTTTTTTTTTGTTTTTCAATGACTTTCATCATAAACTTTTGTCTGTCATTGTATTGTTTGGTTCGGATGCGACCCAAAGCTGTTTCCAGTTTTTCTCTTGAAAATATTAGATATACAATACATAAGAGGAACAGTAGTATACAGATAGCCATTAGGTTAGGCAATAACAGTGTGGATGTGAATTGTTTAGGAAATCTCAGACTATCGTAAAACACGCAAAAAGTTTTAAATATAGCGGTAATAACAAAATATTTGCTAAACTTTTTTATACTTACAAATAATTGGCATTTTTTCACTGATTCCTATTATACAAGTCAGAGATATCATACATATCAATGCATAACCAATTAGCTTATGAGTAGATTCATAGCTAATAGTCATCTGTGGAGTAGTTGATGACAATGAATAGTAAGACAAAGTGACAAATATTTGACATATATATGCTATAAGAGTGATGACACCAATCCAACAGTGGATTGAATAAAATGGTTTTGCAATTCTGTGGGTCCAAAAGGCATGTGTTATGGTATATATGGGACATAACCCCAGAAGCATTGTCATCACGTTTAGTGATGCGTGTATTATACGCATAAGTCGTGCACTAATCCTAAGACTAAATCCGATTCTGTGAACCAAAAGTGCTAATAAATAAATCACAAAAACTATATATTAAAAAAGRTATATAATATTTAACATTTTTGTTGTTATTTACAATGACCACAAATAATGAGAAATGTTGTCATTATATAGGGATGATATACAATAAGTCTACTACTGAATCGCCAACCATTATCACCAAAATCAATGACTTTATTCCAGATGTAGACATTGATGGCAACAATTAGTGTTATAATAGCCATTGTTATAACCACTAGAAGAGCAAAAACATAGAATTCTGGTCTTTTGACAATAATTTTCTCCTTCTTAACCATATTTATATCACAAATCACAGCAAAATTTTAAAAAAAAATCTTAAAGTTTGTACCAATTGATAGAATCACTAAAAATATTATAAAACAGAATATTTTTGAAGAGCGTGAATAACATTGTTATCATAATATGTTGTTATAATTGATAAACAAATTTATTACAAATGATTAAATTGTAATAAAAATGTCATATTAAGTATTTTTTTTTATTTTATTTAAAACTATATTATTTTATGTATTAATTGTTAAATAATTTTAATTATAATTTTTTTTATTTAACACAAAAAACTAACGATAAATGTTGAAACATGTATAGTATCGACCTCTATGTGCATTAAAGTCAAGTCTATTTAAGTTATATTTATTAATACAGAGAGACATTCAAAAACAGACACACATTTGCTTTAGTGTTGTATTTGTCGGCAATTGAATAGACAACTAATTTATAGCTAACTGTTTGCATATACAGTATATACAATATATTAATAAATCAATTAATTAATATCATCGACAATGTCTGGCAAAGCAGTTGCTGTCCTTAAGGGTGACTCTAACGTGACGGGAACCATACGTTTCCAACAAAAGGTATATTTAATTATATTAACATTTAATTTAATTAATGTTTGATTCGTTTATTTTTAACTACCGGTGCTTCGCGTATATTCTACTGTTATTTATATAATACTAGTCAACAAAATGTAGTTTAGATGATAATTATTAATTTAAAAATGATATATGTAATGATACATGGTAGTAATAATTGTCAAATTGTACATGGTACATTATTAAGTAGATTATTTGTTTAGGTAGACTGTCTTCAAATGTACTAAACAATGCACTTATAGTGCCTGTCCTTCACACTAGCCTTGAGAGTCTAAATACATATTATTTTAATAATTGTTTTTCAATAAATTAATAATTTCCTTAACTTATCTAATTTTATTAGTTATAAATTATAAACTTATTTATAATTTTTCGTTATATGAATTATGTGGTTAAATATCAATAATTTGTGTATATTTTTAGCTGATTTTATTTATTAATTATGTGTCAAATAGGGAGCGTCAGTGTTGGTCACGGGAACCATCACTGGTCTGACACCAGGAAAGCACGGATTTCATGGTATGTCATACAAAAGGATTTACTCTTTTATTGAGATACGGGATAATAGTATTATGATTTTAATTATAACTGATTAGTTCACGAGTTTGGCGACAACACTAATGGATGCACGAGTGCGGGCCCGCACTACAACCCTCACGGCAAAGAACACGGAGCGCCAACCGATGATATTAGACATGTCGGCGATTTAGGCAATGTTGAGGCCGATGCTAACGGATTGGTTCAGATCAACATTGAGGACAAACAGATTGCTTTGTCTGGCAATCAATCTATTATTGGCCGTTCACTTGTTGTATGTGTTTTATATTGTGATATAATTTTTATTTAATAATGTCTATAAACATAACTAATTTATGTTGATATTGAATCAACAATTAGATTCACGCGGATCCCGACGATTTAGGTCGTGGCGGACATGAACTAAGCAAAACTACCGGTAATGCCGGCGGAAGGTATGATATATACTATACTTTATTATAGCCTATAAAAGAGATTTATTTGTCAATAATTTTTTTTAAAAATTTATATCTATAGACTTGCGTGTGGTGTCATCGGTTTGACCAACAATTAAACTGAATTTAATGGATCACTGCTTTTAATCATTTAAAAATGATGAATTAATTATATATTTTTATATAAATATTAGTAATTTTTGATTATTTTAATTATTACCGTAAGTAATGTATAGGTGAAGACTTAAATTTAACACAATTTTATTGTTTTTTATTTTCCAAAAATATTAATAAAGGCTAAAAAATTTTACGAAAAATCATTTTAACGCTACTGTTCTCTATAATTATTGCTAAATTGTACAAATCATTACAAAGTTATTTAAAATAAACTATTTAAAAAATTTATTATCAATTTATTATTATTTGTATCTAAATTATTAATAATAATGAAAATCATTGTCAACCATTACCAACTATTGTATATTTATGATGACTAATGCTTTTTTAATTTCAATAGGTCTCAATAATAATAATTTTATTTATATTAAAAAATTAAATTTATTTTATTTTTCAATAATTATTTTATTTATATAAACTTTGTTACGTATAACTTATACAAAATATAAATTATTTGATTTGACACATTTGAATTGTCGTATTTGTATATAATTTTATAATATTTGTGTATATTTACCAAAAAAAACCTTAAATTGAGATCTGTTTTTAATATATGGGTTTTATGTTGTGTATTATCAATACATGAGTCAACAAATAACAATATTTATATCTAATATAAATCTAATACAATATAAACTATATATTTATGTCTCACAATAAGATCATAATAATAATATAGTAATATAACATTGATATTTATCTTATAATTTACATAAATATATAGAATAAATAATATTAAATAATTGTATTTATCATTATACAAATTAATATGTTAAAGCTGACTTAATGCAATGTAAATGATCAATGTAAATTTAAAGCTCTATTTTAAATTATAAATATTTAAAATATAAAATATTTAGCTTATTAAATATAAAATAAATATACAATAAATAAATTTATCTATTTGACAAATAATAATTAATTATTAATAACGGGACAATACTTATAATACTAAAATATGTACAGTATATGTATACAATATGTATATTAACATATAAAACATATATTTTTAAATATTTTAATTTATAGTTTGACTAAAACAAATTTTTATATAATAACTATCGAATAAGCTTACTAACATGTTTTTAATAACTCTATCACTATCTAAACTAATGTCATTTATAAAAATAGTTTAATAAATTATTGTATAATTATTATATAGATTTTATTTTAATGGTTAATATTAAGGTAATCAAGACTTGATTTGAAAAAATATAAATAAATAATAAAATTTATATACAATAGAAAATTTTGTTAAACTATGGTTTTTAGGGCTCATATTTATAGCAATATATAGTTAATTATCTAAATTGTATTCAACTAATAATAATAAATATAAAATAATAGAAAGTGGAGTAATGATTGGATGACCCGGTTGTCAATTGTATGTATATATTTAAAAATTGTATAAATAGGTTATATAAAAATGATTATCAGTTATCTCGTCGATATGGTATGAGTTGTACTGGAATTATCTCTAAAGCTGGCGGCCGTCGAGACACTACCGCTGCTGAGTCTCTGTTGGTTCCGGAAAACGGTGTTCTGTAGCGTTCGCTTCCATTTGTCTGCCGTATCCCTCAGTTTTGATAGCCATTGGATCTAATCAATCAATTCAATATTTAGTAAACACAAACACACACACACACACACATACACACACACACACACACACACACACACACACACACACAAGACTACAACTAAATTATATAACAAATTATGACATACTTTGGAGCTTTCAGATGAACTCTGAAATGTATGAATAGTGATGACCTGTTGGAATCGGTTCAGACAAACCAATACAAAAACATTCTTCAGATTAGTCGAGCCTTCACTTCCTGCCAGTACGTCGTGAATGTAAAATCTGTCCAATGATAGCGGCTGTTTGTAAACAACATATTTGAAGATTCCTTCATGAGATCCGGTAAAACTACCCCTACCGCACCCCCACCTTTCAGTAATAGTTGATTGCTATTTAAGTGGGCAGTCATTTAAATATAAGAATAAGTAAATAATTACTATTAAACAAAAATGTTTTACCTTTTTATGCAACCCTTTCTTTCTTTTGGTAATAACCAACATATCATCAAATAATATAACATACATCTCAATGGGTTTGCCGCTGTCCAGTATATGTAAGGGTCCCTCAAGTATTATCTGTCTTCTAGGACTAACAATTAGTCGTTCACACGGCTGCTTAGATAACGGGCCCTTAAGGAACTGTATGTAATACATATATGCTCTATATTAGTCATCATCTTATATATATATAATAATAATAAAGCAAATAAATAGGATATTTGCTAAATTATATTTTATGTGCTTATAAATATAATCCATTAATACATAATATTTGTTTGATTATATATCGATTTTTCCAGTTGTATAACATAACAGAAAAGCTACAAAAAATAGTTTGTCAAATAAAAGCATAAATATTGTAGTAATTCAATGATGTTGTGTTGACTTAGAAATTTGATTATCAGTACATAAATTGACTTTTGTTGATAAGCATTAAGTATATACAGTACACTAATATGTTATATAATAAATATAAAAAAGTGCTTTTAAAATCTTAAGTTCAATATAGAAAATGTAATTTAAAATGACATTATAATACTAACATTTAAATCAAAACACAAACAAACACACACACACACACAGAGAGAGAGAGAGAGAGAGAGAGAGAGATTTTAATTATCTGAATAAACAGTTATCAAATGTAAATTATCATTAAATCATATTTCATATGCTATCTAAGTTAATAATATTTTATCAATTATTTAATAAAAAATAATCAGGTTAATTTGCAATTAATATCTAATATAAAAAACAATTAAACCTATTTATACAAATCGCTGATTTATTTGAATAAAATTATATGTAATACTCTATACTAATACTACTAACTTATCTTCTACTAAGTTATGTAATAAAAGTGATATTTCTGTTGTATTATAGAATAATTGTAATTAATTTATGTATTGCATATACTTTTCATTGTGTCTATTAATATCATATATTATATTGTATTTACTAAACTAATGTATAAATAGTTGGGATAATATTGTATGAATGAAATTGAATATTTGCGTATATTTAGTGATATTTCTGCAAAATTTTTGTAAATCTTATAATGAATTAATTGTATGTAATTTATATAAYAATATATCATATTATATTAGCCCAGAGATCCAGATTTAATAATATATGTTTAAACAAAAGTTTAAACAATTATCGTTAAAATAAAAAATTTGTTTTTAAAAAATAAATGACAAAAAGTTGTTCTCAAATTCTAATATACAGTATTTTTAGCACTATTTTCAAAATAAAAAATTACATTTAAAATGTACAATATTATTATGGTAAATTTATCAAAATATTCCAAAATAAATTTATAATATACCAGTACACTTCAATTCAAATGACTAATATGCTATAATTTATGTATATTTAAATATTATCCATAATTACTGGTAAAATATTTTGATAAGACATTCCTATATTAACTAATCATTTCAATATATTTGTTTTTTTGAGTAAATAAAAATTCAAAATATGAATAATTCAAAACTATATAACACAGTAGTAAAATAAATGAATTAAAAATACTATTTATATAATAGAAAATAAAATTCAAACAATAACTAACATCAGGTATGAAGACTTTAGGGTCGAGATCAAAGACCGACGGCCACACTATATTCCTCTGGATCTCTAGTAATCTCTCGAAGTTCTTAAGCCATTTCATTTTGTCGTCTAATTCACGCAACGAGTTTTCCTCCGATTCAATGATTGATGAAATCAACTCTTTCTCCATTAGATCCTCAGTCCTGAGCTCAATGTCCTTCAATATTAATGGTACGCGCATTATGTGCTGAACCGGTGATACTAATAGATCAGTCAATTGTAATTTCTTGCAACGAGAATCACGATTACACCACTAATGTTTCATTATATAAAAAATAATAGAAAATTAATGTTAATTAATAATTATTTAGCTGTAATCTACTGTATAATATGTATACAGTGTGTATATAATGAATGTATGATTCACAGTCAATAATATAACTTAATATAATATACAGTATTTTAGTTATTTAGAAGTCATGTATAATTTACAATAATAATAATATTAAAAATATAAATGTAAAACAAAACACTGTAGTTATTTACATACATATAAAACTTATTAAAGAGTAATTATATTTAGTTTTAATTAAACTACATTTAGTTATTAGATTTTACACTCATTTGATTTCATATACATTAATTATTTGTACATTTTGTAAGCTTGTTATTCCTGTAATTTTATTATGTTTTAAAATTGAAAACATATTTTTTAAATTAATGAATTTAATAAGTTATATTTAATACATCTTTTAAGTTAAATACATAACTATTGAGTAAATAATTACTTTTACTAATTAAAAATATAATTAAAGACTTATTGTCGGGTTTTTAATGAGTTTTCTATTGATGAGATTCATTAGATTTAATGAAAAAGTATTAAATTAAGTTGCAGTCAAACGGCTAATATAATATCATCGATAATATAATATATATTTATATTATATAAAGAAATTCACAGGAATTTCGATTATAAGAAAAAACGGAGTTTTCTATTAAAATCAATACCTTTTTCTGTCAGTCAAGTGGTTGTCATGAGAGACACATTGAATATAGTGATTCACTTATGTAATACACAATCGTTGGTCTATAAGTTCATCAATTTTTATCATTTATATATATATATATAATATTGTCATTTATTTGGATCAATATATCAACAATAACACAGAATCTTATGTACAGTTTAGATATACCTATAAGTTGTTTTGAAAAATAAATATCGCTATTCTTAAGAAAAGTTTACAAAAAAGCTAATCAAATAAGGGATTTCAATTGTGAACTGCAAGTCTCTAAAAAAATTATTTTTCATATAAATATATAATATTATAAATCAAATAAATATTTTCACAATTTGTTTTCACTCTGTTTTATATAGTATTTAATATTTAAAAAGTATTACATGTAATGCTTTATRTATATATATACAGTATATATAAATTACTCTATATATTAATTTAACCAAAAATAGATATTTTTATAAATTTAGTTAAAAATGTTATTAAAATTTGTATAATTTATATGACAAACCTTTTCAAATTCATTGAACTCGACCTGACGTCTAAGTGTCTCCAAATAGTTGAGAGCATTGATATAATTAAGTGTATAGCGATGGTAGGCCTGAGTCAGTGAAGAGGCTTTTGAGCTCTAAGATTATGGCATAACATAACAAATATAAAAATAAAAGACAATCAATTCATCAATTAATTATAAAATAAATAAATTCAATTTGAAAATCAACATTAATTTCATGCGTTTTTAAACAAAAATTTATTAATACTCAAAGTTAATACATCACTAAATCTTTGGATTCATTTAATAACAAGACTCTTAACTACACTATTAGTTGTCTCGTAAAGAATAATATTATATATAAAGTTATGATTTATAGATTTGTTTAGTATTTTTTGTTTGTTTGTTAAGACTTAAGTTATGTTAGTTAGCGATAAAATCCTCTTATGATTGAATTGAATACCTTTTGAAAGAGACGAACTAAGACATCGGTCGGATTGAGATCTGTTCCACAATTGGTGTACTGAAGCATTACATTAAGAAATTCCTTACAGAAAGCATATGTCACACAACAGAGTTCGTCGAGATTTCCAAACAAGACTTCTGGTTCTGCAAACATGGCATAGCCCTCAACTTGGATCTTCTTGAGCGGCTCCATAAAGACATTCTTAAGAACCATCAGATGATCATATAGAAAGACACACTCGCTTTGGAAGAGATCCCAAAGTGCTTCCTTTCGTTTGTGTTCAGAACGACTATACATTATACTACTTCGGGCACTACTAAGACCAGAATGAGGCGGTGACCCTCCTATCAGGTCCGCCGAATCAAAGCTCTCTGTGATGTCTTGAGAATCGATACTTTGTTGATTCAGTGGTTCCCGTGACAGTCGACGGATCTCTGGTATAGTAACGGGTGCGACACAACTATGACTTCGTGTTGAGTGAGCGCTTATCGCCAATTGATTGTCATCGTTGGCATCACTAGAGTGAGTGCTGTCAAAGGTCTGTGTTCTAATCAGTTGTTTCTTTCTGGATGGCGATGGCGGATGATGTGTCACAATGGTTGGTGTGTTTCCGCCGGGTAGTGACAAATTTGTCTGACCTGAGGATCGACGGCTCTCACTAAATGGCTGTGACAGACGATAACCCGAAACCATTGAAGAACCAGAAGCTCTCCGTTCTTCAAATTTAGACAAGAAGTCATTCCAAGTTAAACCCTAATATAGTTTATCGATTATATGTCAGATAATATAAGCAAAAGCTGTCCACAAATATAAAGTCAAACCTTATATTTAGAGAGCTGTTCGTCATTAAAAACGGACGGCTGAAGAGTGGAGAGCACTTCCTCGAGACCACAGAGCGAGTCAGACTTTCCCCGACCTGACCTGTCAAACTGGACGCACATATGGACGGACAGAGAAGGCAATGCAAGAGAGACACAGAGAAAGATACCCAAAGTGACCGTCAAATACAAGACATACGCCAAAACAGATACGACACCAAAAATATGACAACCATATCATATGACAGCACAGCACAGCAATAGTAGAGTTAAAGTTGTTATTTGGGAATCAATTGAGGGATCGGTAAATACAAAAATGCAGTTTTAAAGATCACATGCGGGATAGACATTGATTAGAGTTAACACTTACCAGCCGTAGGAACGAAAAACGGTTGCCTTTTCGGGACGAGTCTAATGAACATACAGTTTACGATTAATAACTTATTTATCAATTTATATAAATTTTAATATAAGTTGACATAAATGACAGTACAATTTGTTGGATATTATGTTAATTAAGTGGAATTAATAATAAAATAAACAATATGTTGAATGACGGCTACACTTAGTTATTAGGATAAGTGCTATCCAACAGTCCACTAATGGACAGTCACTTAATTGTTTAATATATTTTGTTTACTTAGCATTTTCCCTATTGTTTTATGTAAGATAAACATATAAATGCTTAACAAAATTTATTAAATCTTTTATGTCTAATATATCTAAGAATCTTCCCTTTGAGGTAATATTGCTTTGTTAGGCATTTAAGATTAAAATTACAGAATTAACACACAAACGCATAGAAAACTTTAATATAAATAATATATCAATATTAAAGTTTGTATAAAAAATTATCTATTATAAAGAAATAATTATTTATCAATTATATCAAATGTAGAAAAGTCAAAGTAAAATGAAACCTTTGATAATATAACTTTCCTCGCAATACATACCTTCACTAAGTGTCAAACATTGTGTGGATCCGTCTAAGTTATCTATTAGAAAAAAAGACATTTGAATTTAGTATTTAATATATATTGAACTATAAATTATATATTTATTTCAAGTCAAACATTCAGTAAAACAAATGCACATTAGGTGTAGTCATAAATAATAGTAAAAGTAAATCAACAAAAACTAAGTGAAAAACAAAGTAAAACATATTTGTCTCTCACCTAATAAATTGTTCCGTTGGGTCAATACTTTACTGTAAACCAATAAATCTCCTAAAAAATTTCATAAAACATTTTCATTTATTATTAGATAATATGACAAAGTGTTGGTAAAGTTGGTATAAATGTCATACCGGGGCATATCTGCATCGGAGGTATCACAACAATAGAACTCCGGCGGCGGTTCTTTGGGTTAACCGGTTCACCCAATCTTTAATTAAATAATACAATCAATTAACATAAATAAAATAAAATGCAACAAATTGTATACAAATGTGTGCTTTCGGCCCTATGACTGGGTTCAAGATCATCAGTGGCACTCTCGTACCCATCAGTTATAAGCTTTGGAGGTACGAGTGCTCGTCGTCTATGAAGTACAGAAGCGGGCGGTTCGTCGTGAAGAGTCTCGTCTTCCCTTTCGCTGTCAGCGCCGTCACCCTTACGGCCCAATGCGGACAGCCTTTTGAACACAGGATTTGCATCTGAGCCCTAAATTTGTTATTATATAATAAATTAAATATATTTTATAGTAAATAAAGTATATTTTGTATACATAATAAATGATATAATAGTAGACATATTTAATAATGTACATATTATATATATATGTGATAATTCTATAAATACAGGTATGTACATACTATGTATACATTAGACACTAAAAACTAATCTTTTTAATAATAATAATAAAAATATAAAACATTTAATAATAAATATGAAAGACATCAAATATATGAGATACCGTATAACAACACAACAAAACATACATTTAACAATTGCATTGTCAACAAACAAAAATCTGAGATTTTATTCAACTGAAAGTTTGCAAACAATTGAGAGTAAGTCAGTGTAAAGTTTGTAATATAATATAAGGCAAGCTTTTTCTGCACAAAACTAATCCATTTATGTGTCATATATTCAAAACACGATTATTCAAGTAATACTCCGTTATTCACACTTCAAATATTGTATTTGATAACCAAAATAACTAAAGTTATGTTTTATACAGAGGTGTGTGTCTTTTGTATAGATATAGATTGTCTATTGGGTGACAATATTGATAAAAAAAATATATTACATAAACAGGAAGAGTTAGAGTGTGTCTAAGGAAAGCATAAAGTGATGTACCTTTTCATCAAATTAATGTAAGATATAAACGTGTTGTTAGCTATAGATATATAGTCTGCGGAAAAACACAACAAGCGTTCACATGATATGCATTGAATAAGTGTTAGAAAAAAAGATCTGCCAATAGTTTTGGGTGGAGTTGTGATAGAAAAACCATTAAAGATATTCATTACTTTACTCTCTTTTCTTTAAGACAGATGTTTGTGACACTCATCGGTGTTATTATTGATTGAAATTTGGGTCAAGACATACATACTGTATATAACAATATATATAATATATAAATTTTGTTATCATCAGCTCTGACACTCTACATTAAATCCCGTACAACACACACACACACACACACACACACACACACACACACACACACACACACACACACACACACATACAGTACATAAATTTAAGTATACATACAAACACACAAAGCACGCACCATATCGTGATTGAAAACCCATGGTTTTCATAATAGTATATATATTATCTATGATATCTATAGTATTAATCAAATAAATTATTTGTTTTTAAAATTTAAAATTTTGCATTTAATTTTATGTAGTCTAATAATATTTATAAAAAATTTATAAAAATGTCTTAGATAATAAATTTTAAAATTATAAATACATATTTATTTAAACATTTTTTTTGCAATATAAACATATGATGCAAATTTTCAAATAAATTAATATATTCTTATATTAGTATTTTATATTATTTATATACAAGTGTAATAAAAATTATTTGAAACATTAAAACAATTATACAGTATATAAAAATAAATTAACAAAATTCTAATAATTTTTGAACAAATATTTAAGTTCTTTATAATACTCGGATACACTTAAAAAGGAAATTAAAACAAAGTCAATATTATCTATAGTAAAACATTGTGACAATAATTTCACACTAAATATTATTAGATTAATGATTAAATAAACGTAAGTTACCAACAATTGATAAACAAGTAATTCAATTTTATAGTTAATAGTTATTATAATGAATCATAACTAATGATATAATTAAACTGTTTTAAACTGGATTCACGACATTAAAATGTACAATAAATTGTTAAATTTAATAATAATTAATATACAATCCAAACTTTAGCCAAACCTTTATACAGATTATATAATAAAAACTAGTAATTAAAAAATAACACATTTTTTATTAATTGGTGATAAGCAAACTGTTAAGACATTGAAAAATATGTACAAAATTTTATCATCAGATTCTATAATATATTTGTATTGAATAAGCAAAAAATTACAATAATATATACAAATCGATATATATAAAAGGGGTTTTCATATATTTGTTCCGGGCGGTTTTTGCTATAAATCTTAAACGGAGTGAGATATATTAATTTTGTAAAGTGTAATAAAAAGTGATTTACGCGTGATATTATAAAGTATTTAATAATATAAAATAGTCGAAAATTAAATGAAGTTATTTATGGATAGTAGACACTTATTAGATAAAGATTTTAATACTATTGCTTATTCTAAAAACAAAAAAAAAATATGTCGAATATTTTTTTAATAATCAAATTTAAATACAAAATACTTTATCGAATTACAATATTGTGTTTTTTATTGTAATTTGATTATCTAAAAAATATTCGACATAAAAAATTTTTGTTTTTAGAATAAGTAATAGTATTAAAATCTTTATCTAATAAGTGTTTACTATTCATAAATAAAGTATTTTAATTTTCGACTATTTTATATAATGTATTTTTCAACAAGTTTGAAAAGCCATAAAAAAATTATTTTTTGACCAATTTAAAAAAAAATTTCTTTCCATAAATTTCCAATATAAGCTTTACAAATTTGTTATGAAATATTTATTATATCACTTATAGGTTAGGTTCTGACATAGTGGTTTGCAAACATCACAAATTAAATATGATCACGTGATTAAAATTAAAAATTTAATATTTTATAATATCACGCGTAAATCACTTTTTAATACACTTTTTACAAAATTAATATATCTCACTCCGCTTAAGAATTATAGTAAAAACCGCCCGGAACAAATATATGAAAAACCCTTTTATATATATTCAAACAGAATATCAATAAATACTTTATTCATTTTAAAAGTTTATTTTTCTGAAAACATGTCATATGTTTTATCGTTTTATTATTTATCAAAAATATACAATAGTAATGCATAAAATTGAATTGAAATTCAGATAATCTAAAGCACAGAATTTTATAAAGAATATTCTGTTTTCTTAATAATTTAAACAAAATATTGAAAGTAGATTTTCAGTTGAAAATAATATTATAGTATTTTTCAAATTCTTTAAGCATATAAACTAAAGTCTTAGCTTAATATTGTTATTGTACAGCAGTTTTAAGGGCTAACAAAAAAGCTAAAGCAATTAAAATGGTTTTTAGGATATTTCAATAGAAAATATTGTAAACAAAACAATTCAAAATGATACTATTGTGGTTAAATTGTAAGATAATAATAATAATAATATAGAAAACATTTGTACAATTGTTAAGAAACATACAAAATACAAATTGTTTTCATCAAAAAAAAACTTTATAAAAGAATAGTTAAAACAGAGACAAGACTTACATTCTTAGCAAAATGCAAATAATTGACGGCATAATAGACGGGAAATGTAGAGAAACGACGGCTACAGAAGCAAAGCGGTTGATTCAAAGCTATCATAAATGCTCTCCATTTCCATGAAAAGCCGTCACAATTAAGATAATTATTTGAAATGGTATTTCTCATGGCCTCCAATTGCATCTCTCTAATCATTGTTGGACTAAACATAAGTCTAATCAAAAGTTACCAATCGATTGAATTGAAACATTAGTTTCAATAATTTTTTCGCAATTTAAGAATAGTAACAATATTGTATAATTATAATCATAAATATATATGAATATAATATTTAGTTGTTATTTAAAAAAATATCATACAATGAACTATAAGTTTCAATAAGTTAATGGCTCTTTAATTAAAGAGTCAACACGTTGTAAGCTATATTCTGGGTAATCGATAGCGTGACTAACAGTAAACAGTAATATAATTATAAAAATATAAGCTATTATATTAAAAAATTGATTAAAAAAAGTGTTGCTTTCACTGATCATAAGACACATACACGCAGTCATAATGTGACAAAAATTATGATAATGTTATGCCTTTAGGAGAAAAAGCACTTATTAAAAGGTATAGTAATGTAATACATGGTTGCTAAGGATTTGCATCACTTATTACACTATTCAAGTGGAATTAACTAATATTTTATTATATAATAATACATATACTCTTTTATCATATATATATAAATATAGCATATATTTACTGTATGTGTTTGTTTAGTTTTGAGACGCTGTAAATGTGTAAATGACTTATATATAAATAGATGATAAATATATGTTTTTACCTACGAATAGAATTTATTTATTTTTTAATATAAATATTATATCATAAACAAAAATACTAACAAAACTTTTTTTTAATATTAAACAAAAATACAATAATAATAACTTTTGCACAATTACTACTTGTTCTGAAAATTTTTTACATATCATATTATAATTGTCTAACTATTGTATAACTGTAGAGAATTGCATACAATTTTTAATGTAATAATTTGTTTGCTTTATTTGTCCACTAAATGAGTTTCTTTGATTTGTTTGAGTCTAAAAGCACTAAAGTCTACAGTTTAATACTGTTTTTAAAAAATATCTAAATAATATAGACATCATAAAAAACTTAATATTATTTTATCATATGATTACCGGTATATAAAATGATACTTTAGGTATACTTTTAATATAACTTTGCATTTATAAATTATTTTATATATTTAATAGTGTTAAATTTAATTAAATATTAAAATATATCACATATTATTTTTAAATTATTATATTCATATTTGATATGTATAAAATTTTTAAATACATAATTTTAAATGATTACATTAAATTTATCGAAATTAAATATACATTTAATATTAAAAACAAATATAAATTATTTGATGAAAAGTTTCCGGTGAAGAGTTATGCTATCAAAAGTCAGATCAAATCATCAATGTTTGTCACAAAACTACAAATATTTAAATGTCAACTAAAATAAAATAAAAATTTATTTTTGTTTATTTTAAGTTAGATTTTTAAAAATAAATAAATTTTTAAATAATAAGCAAATCAAATAACTGTATAATATTCTAAATATTAGATTAAATCTTTTTTTTAAACTCAATAATATTTAAATAAGTTATAATATAACACAAACTACAGTACAAATATCACATTTTTATATTTATAAATAAATATTGCAAATATAAAATAATATTTTTATGTAGTATATATTTTGTATTTTAATAGTAAAAATTTATGTAAGTTATTAGTGAAGTATATGAATTAATAATTAATTTTCCTATTGTTAAATACAAATTAATATAAATTTGTAAAAATTTAATCTTTTTAACTCATGATTATTATTCAAATGTTTCTCAATAAGTAAGTAATTGTGAGTTATGTATAAATAAATATAATATTCATGTATTGTATTGTATTGTATTATAAAAACATCTTATGATTAATAAACTTAGAAATTAATTAATATTAAAAAAATTGATAACTATTGTAATAAAACTATAAAAATTCAATAGTAATAAAAAATTTCTTATTTATTTATAATTAAAAAAAATAACAAATATAATTAAATTTATGAACAAATTAATTGCACAAATCCATTAATTGTATAAAAAATAATTACTATTTTTAAAAATCTGTAAAATGATAATTTATTTTCTTATAGTTTGAATAAATATTGGGATAATAATTTTAAATTACTAATATATATCAATTTCGATCAATTTCTTTCCCGCAATTAATTTTCCAAAAAGTTCCTTATTTTTCGTGCTTTCTGGGAATTCCTAAGGAATCTATTTCCTTGTGTTACCTAATGAACCCTAAACTCATTTTAGTATAATGTTTGAAGAAATGTTATATTAAAGTCAGGGTTGCAAAAGGTTTTCGATTTCAGGAGTGGTATAGGGGGAGGGGGTCAACAATTTTTGTTGCATTTTAAACAATTTTTACCAAATTTAAGTAAATTCCCAACAAATTTCCTAAATAAAAGAAAATATTCCAAACTTAATTCATTTATAGTCCAAATATTTTGTTAAACGAATATTTATTTTTTAAAAAGTTGCAAAAATTTAGAAAATAAAGAATAGTTATGCCTTTACCGCAACTCTAGGGATGTTCTCTCCGCGCATTTTGATCACTATATCCGTCAATATTCATAGGATTATGTGTACAATAATGATAGACTTTATTTGTCTTGAATGTGTTGGCCCACTATTATTAGCTTAACTTTATTGAATTTGACAGGAATTTAATACATGTGTGTAAATAATAAATAGGTATTGTTATGTTAGAGTTTCTATAATTATTAATTAATATTTTAACATAATTAAGTAATAGATAATGATATTAAGCAAATGTATATATATATAATTTAATAATCATAATTGATAATTGCATATATTATTTAACATAAGATAATATGATAAGTAGTATTATAAATACAGTATAGTTTAGCTATAATATATATATAATAAACAATTCTTTATTATCCTTTACTTTAACGCCCACCTGTTCTCACAAATGATTTTTAAAAATTTATTTAAAAGTATTTCAATGTATTTTTATGCAAAATATTTTAGTTTTTGTTACTATTTATTTAATAATATAAAATATATATTTTAACGTTGAAAAAGGGAAAATATAATATTTTCCATATATTCAGTGAGAATTTGATGGATTTGATTAGGAAACTTCCCTCCCTATGATAGTTGCCTAAACTCTAAATATATTAATAGAATACACATCGATTAATATTGATATAATAAAACTATAATATACTGTAAGTATGGATTCATAATTAGCTAACTATAAACAACAATTTTATTAAAATAATATTTTAAAAGATTACAATTTAATTTTTATGATATAATTCATATCAATATTCAATACTAATACTACAATAAGTAATTTTACAATTATAATCCTTTTTTAGATAATAATCATGATTATGGCATTATACAGTATTATAGAAGAATATACAGTAATTTATTAAAAATATAAGTAAAACATATAATCATTTTGGTTTGTCTACAGTAAACTCTTGTTAATATATTAAACTTATAGCTTATATATTATTTTATACAAAGAATATAAATTTTTAAATAATACAAATAAAACGTAACATTAAAGACATACAAATTCAAAACTTAACTAAAAATAAAATATTTAACTTTATTTTTTTAAATAAGTGCTGAAAAAATTTAGCGTAAATCTAAAATATTTAGCAAACTTAATATAAATAAGTTGTTAAATAAGGTATAAATATTTAACTTTTCAATCCTTTAATGAATTGAAAAGTTTAAATTAAAAGCCGAGTGACATATATTGTCAAATAATTACTGTTTTACAGATGAGTAATATTTGAGGAGAATTTCTTAAATATATATTAAATAATCGATAAAACAGTTTCACTAACTTTTAGCGCTTTTTAAAATGTTGGTTACAAAGAGTTCGCACGTATTTAACATTAGTGATCAATAAATGGTTTTTTTGTTTTGTTTTAAAGACAAAGATCTTAGTATTGGGTTATCAATTAGTTTGATATAATGTACATTTAAATTAGCTTTTTGTGAGACACCAAACATATTAAAAAATCAAGACTTTAGTATTGGTTTAGTATAGCTTATTGTCAATAATAAGCCTTATTTGACAATGAATTTCATTAGCATTTTTATTAAATAATTAACCAAATAAACACATACACACATACACACATACACACATACACACATACACACATACACACATACACACATACACACATACACACATACACACATACACACATACACACATACACACATACACACATACACACATACACACATACACACATACACACATACACACATACACACATACACACATACACACATACACACATACACACATACACACATACACACATACACACATACACACATACACACATACACACATACACACATACACACATACACACATACACACATACACACATACACACATACACACATACACACATACACACATACACACATACACACATACACACATACACACATACACACATACACACATACACACATACACACATACACACATACACACACACACACACACAMACACACATACACACACACACACACACACAYACACACATACACACACAAACATACACACATACAYACACACACACACACACACACACACACACAAACATACACATACATACACACACACACATACATGCATACATACAGTGTGATTTACTAATATAATTATTATATCATAAGTTACATATAATTTATACTATTTTATAAATAGTTTTATCATATATATATCGCAATTATTCTCCACTAAAAATTATGAAAAATATGTTAAAATAATTAAAAATACATAGGCTTTTAAATATAAAATCATTAAAATTCTAAGTAATATAAAGTAATACAAATAATAAATTATAATTCAAGTGACATACCATTAGATTTGTTAAACAGTATATAACATTAATTATGAGAATAAAACACAAACGATTTGACACTCATAGTCACACAAAATAGTAATTATAACACAAAAATTAAATAATTTTTAAATAAAAAATAGTATTTTAAATATATATAGTATATATATAATTGTCGATTATTCAATAACAGACATAAATGTTTGTTTGAATAATTATATTTTTGTATTATTTTTTAATTTTGTTCTAATATTTACAAATTATATTTTATTATTTACATTATATAATTAATTGCATAAAATTGTATATATTTTGAAATAAAATATTAAAATAATTACTTTTTATATATTTATTTATTTATTATTATTGCTACTAAATATTAAAAAACAATAAAAAAAATTTGCATATTTCATGTAAATAGTTATAAAATAACAATTAAATTAAACATAATTAACGCACAAATATTGACATAAAATAATATATGTATGAATTGGATGAGAGAAAAATGTTGTTTAAGTACTTACCTCTGACTGAACATTAGGTGAGGGCAGACTCATGTATCCGTGAGGTACCGACTCTTTAGATACACTTAACCCTAGAGTGAAGCAGAGATCAAAATAATCGTTAGTTTCGTTTCATGAATTCTCACTACAATATATCATAATATGATACTAATACTAATACTACTACCACTACTACTACTAGTAATTGTAATGATAATATTTAGTATCATAATATAGCTTATAATATTAAATAGTTTTAGAATATAAACATTTATAATCATTGAATAAGCAAATAATGGAGAAAAAATTAAATCAATATTCTTATAGTAAAGAAATTGATTTTAATATAAATCTAATGTAATTTCTAATGAAAATCAAAATATGTCAATCAATAACTTAAAAATATATTGATAAAATCAAATTTATTTTCGATTAACTATATTGTATTATATCTAACTCTAACTAATAGTGTAATTTTATATCAAAGAATGTTATATTAATAATTAATGAGAATAGTTTTTTTGTCAATTTATGATATTTTTGTATTAAATTATTAATTTAATATATTTACTTTTATTTATGTAAATATATTGAGCCTTAAATCTCCTGATTTAATCACTGCTTATGTCAATTAAAATCCCAATAAATCTCATAACTTTCATGGTTTTAATATAATTTAATGTTACTGTATATTTAAATTAAAATTTTAAAGTTATCCACAATATGTCAATTAACAATAATAGATTTGATATACTAAACTAGTAACTATAGTATTAGATTACTATTTAATATCAAAATAATTACATAAAACATATTTTTTTCATGTGATTGAATGTAAGTATTTTATATATATGATTCACTTTACAAGTAAAATGTAATTTTCTTAATACTCATCAAATTATTTATTAAATATCTATTGCATAATGTGTATGTGTATGTGTATGTGTATGTGTATGTGTATGTGTATGTGTATGTGTATGTGTATGTGTATGTGTATGTGTATGTGTATGTGTATGTGTATGTGTATGTGTATGTGTATGTGTATGTGTATGTGTATGTGTATGTGTATGTGTATGTGTATGTGTATGTGTATGTGTATGTGTATGTGTATGTGTATGTGTATGTGTATGTGTATGTGTATGTGTATGTGTATGTGTCTGATTTGTGGTGAAGTGATGATATAATAAACAATATAAGATCACTATATAAGTGGTGATTATCTGTGAATTAGTGTACACTTACCTCCAGCTGTTGGTATGTTAAGAAGTAAAGGCTTTTGCAGCATATCTTTTGATTCAGAGGTCGCTCGCAATGATATATCAAGAAGTCTGACATTAAAATCAATGACAAACTATTATTATAACATAAATATATATATAAACATCAAATGTTAGACTACCTGTGCATTGTGTCAAATGTGAAGACTTCAACACTGGGCTTATCATGTTTTTCGGGAGACTTTTAGTATAAATTAATAAATAATTGCATTAATTATTTCTGATTTTAACTAATAATAATAATACAGTAATTGTATTATCAAAAACATTTAACATTTTACAAATATTTTATATGTTATTAATGTTATTAATTTTTCATAAATAATATCATAATAATAAATATAAATATATTTTCACTTCTAAGTATTTATATAATTAATAGTAAAATAAAATAATAAATAGTATAAACCTGAGGTCGGGAATCGTTATCAAAAGAGTCGGGTGCAGAACTGGGCTGTTTCTTGAAAAAACATAACCTTCTTTTTTCACTACTAATCTTTCTACTGACCGGTTGACTGAATGGACCTGTTTTGCAATATTATAATTATTTATGATTAATTCAATCAATTAGTTTTTTTTAATAATATTATATTTGTAAATATTTATAAATTAGATAAACTAAAGATGTATAGTACAAATGCATGTCTTATTTAGTTATTAATATATGAGTTCCTTTTAAATACCTGTCCGATAGATATTATATGGTGGTGTTAGAGGAGGTGTACCGCTACGAGAATTGGGCGCCGAATTTGTGCCCGAACTCTGTCTCCTTTCTCTTCGATATAGAGGTGGTGTTCCCTCAAGTGAACTGGCATTTGATGTCTCGTGACTGGGAGTAAGTGTCTGTATGTGTTGGGGAACGTATAGATGTGTTTGAGCGACTTCTTGTGAGGAAAGTGTGGGCGAATTGGGTGTTGAACTTTGGACGAGTCGTGAGTATCCACGCGAATCAAAAGAGGCTGCCCTTTGCAATACAGACTTGTGGTCACGTTTTTTCTGCGGAACTGGTTTTTTGTTGTCATCGCTAACATTGCTATTGTGACCCAATATGTATGAGCTCTTCCAGAAGCGAATTCCTTGTTTATGGCTGCCTGAGTGCTGGTCTGGCGTTAATGATGTGCTCGTATTGGACGCATGAGTGCCTGATTTTGCTAACTTAGGCTGTGCTGCGGTCAGTGCATTGGTTGATATGAGTTCACATTGTATGGCCACATCACACTGCCACGGGAATCGGGGCCCGTCATCACCACTGTTGATGTCTAAAGCGCTACAATAGGCCTCTTCTGGTAATATGTTATATGAATTGGATATCTGTTCGCCCGGAATACTCGTCACTTGTATCGCATCCGCACTGTTTTGTCGACCCTTTCGTTACAATCAAATAACAAGTCATTAATATTTAATAAATTTATTATAAATTTATTTTTCCTATTGTTTAAAATACAGGAATATGTATATATATTAATATATATATTAATGTACATTATATAATACATAACTGTATATCTATCGATCAATATCTCAATTAATGTATCTCGCAATTCAATTCAATATACAGTATATAAAGTAAAAGCAACAAATGTTGGCTACAATTGACTGCAATATACCTGTAGTGTGTAGTCATTAGTGTACAAAATGAAAGCTAAAAATGTTTTACTATAAATAACTAGAAAATCTCATGTTATTATAATATCTGGGAATCACTAAATATAACTATTATTTAACAGAATATTTTATTGTAATAATGATTTGTATTTGTATGGAAATATTAAATTGTGAGATAAAAGTTAACAAAAATTTAAAACCATTTAAAAAATTTTGTAAATTAATTTAAATAAATATAACAGTATTTTTAAAATTTGACATTAAATTTAAATAATTTCAGATGATATGACATTAAGTTTGATAACATACCTGTTCTGGTAGTGTGGGTATATAACCCCTTGAATGTGTGCGTACACTATATCTAAACGGCGGTGCGTCGCCCGTCGGTGTCGATGAGGTCGACGAGTCCTTGAATGACAGCTCTGAATAACTCCTGTTTCGGCTAAACTTTTCTCTCAATGATTTAGTTCGGGCACTGATACCTGATTTACATAAGTTCATCATTTTTTTTGGCACTAATTTGTTATCAAAATTTTGTTCTCAATGGTGATAATCCTGTAAATGGATGCAAATTATATAATAAATTAAATGTTTTAATACATTTATAACAATTTAAATATTTCTATATAACTAAAATATTGAATATTTATTTAAATTTTCAATAATGTATTATGTATTATGTATAAATAATAATTAGATTTGAATAATAACTAAAATATGTCAATAAAATAATGAACTGCTTTTGTCATAAAATTAACATATTTTTAATTTATATTTATTTGTCAATTATAATAATAAATTGATTTATATTTTTCAAACGATATATAGGATAAGTACTATATAGGATATACTTTATTATTTATTTGACATAAAATACTCTATATTTTGTACAAATACAAAAATATGCAAATATATAATATAAGTACATTTAATTTGATCAATTCATATGTTTTATTATTGTTAACATCAATTGTTAAGGTTGTGAATACAAAATTAGGCAAATTTGATAATATAGTAGTAGTGCTCAAAATAGTGTAACGACTAAAACGTGACCATATTTTTTAAAAAAGTTAAACTAATTTGCTTAAGTATTCAATAATTTAGTATTAAATGTAACCAATTTATAAAGTGACACTGTAGGTGTGTATGTGTATATTATAAATATTATTTATACTCTTAATACTATATATATATATATATATATATATATGTGTGTGTGTTGGTATAGCAATACTATTTTGATTATTTGGTGTCCAAATACAGAATATTCTATATTTTGCTGAATTTGTTACTAAAATTTTGGTGATATTTTTAATTTATTACTAAAAATCCTTGGGTTTATGTTTAAAACATTAAGCGTTAAATTTATTTTGCAATACTATACAGCATAAAATTATTAATATTTTATTTAATATTATATAAAATATTTAACAAAAAACACAGTTTTAATTTATGCCATCTTATTGTCATTTTATGTATAAAATTATACATATAAATATACAACTGTCTTAGTCTACCCATATATTTATATTTATAATTGTTATTTATATTAATATATTTCTTGAAATGTCTTATAAAAACATTATTACAAAAAAGCAACAAATTTATATACTTATGAAATACAACAGTAGTAATACAACATAAAAACAGTTTATGATATAAAAAACAAAAATTAAATGTAATAATAAACAAACAATTTTGATGACAAGTTTTGTGAGCATATCATTAAGTCTAAACAATAGTTAGAAATATTAAACAAACAAAAAAATTAAACCATATTAGAAATTAATGAGTATATACTGTAATACTACTTATTATTATATATTATACAGTATATAATATTATATACTTTAATCAATCACAACATTACTATTTTTTATTATATAATATTTAATATATTAAACTTATATATATATTAAATATCAAAGAAAAATAAATGTATGGTTTTATCGCTTAAATATTTACAAAATTATTATAAAGAAACACCGATAGGGTGTTCCATAATATTGTACTACAATTATGCTACCAATGCTTCTACTACTAGAAAATGTACTTCAATTAAATGATATTTAAATGACAATATCATTTGAATTATTTATTACCAGCTTTTGTTATATTCATACACTTATTTCTATTATCTAATGTTATCTATTAAATTAATTTGAATTTACTTTTATTAGATTTTCAATAACATTTTAATTTAATTTTCTGTTTGTATATCTAAATGTATTAGCGTTTATCAAATAACAAACAAATTGTCATATTTCACAATTTTTCAATTGTCAAATAAATAAAAATGTCCTAATTTTTATTGAAATAATAAAACATTGCTATTTTACATAATAACATGTTTTTATCGGTTATATAGTTATAGCTAAATAAATGGCATAAATATCATTTTTGGGCAAAAGTTATTTTTACATAATCGCATATATGATTCATAAACATATTTAATATTCTGTAATATTCTGTAATACTTTCAATCATAATGACTGAGTTGAAAATGCTATATAATCTATAAATATATATTAAACTTTGACTAAAGTCATTCAAAAATATAGTTAAATTGACTAATTGTTTCAATACTTTAAGCTTTATGTTATATGTAATTAGGGTTATATAAGATTTACTCGTCATATTCGCAAAGTTCCTTATCTTCCCAGATCTCTGGGAATTCCTAGAGAATCTATTTCCTTGTGCTGTCATCTATTAAACTCTAAATAACACATTTTATTATAATGTTTGAAAAATATTATATTTAACTGTATTTTTAAAATTATTTTAAGTTCTATAGATAAATAGCATCACTAAATTTATTGAATTAAAATTTATTTTTAAATATTAAATTTATTTTTGCAAAAAATAAGTTTTGGTACTATTTATCGTAATAATATATAATACATTTTCCCTTTCTAACAATCAAGAGAAGGAAAATAAAATATTTTCCATATTTTCCGGGAAAATTGGAGGGATTTTTTAGGAACTTCCCTCACTGAGAATTTTGATCGAACTCTATATGTAATACATAATACTGTAATATTATAATAGTGGAATTTGCACTTTAATTTATTTGAATTTAAAATAGTATCTTAAATTGTTTATCAATTATTATAATTAACAATTTATAAATTTAATGTAAGAAATTGTAAATAAATAATGCATTTATTATTATAAATAAGTATATAATAACATATTTTTAGTTACATGTTGATTATTAATACATATTGTATTATTAATACATATTGTATTATTAATACATATTGTATTATTAATACATATTGTATTATTTTTATATATTATATAAATGTTTACTAATAACATTATTAGATATTAGATTAGTCATAAAATACATTTTTTAATTATATTTATATTTATTATATAATTTCAACAGTTATAAACATTTCACGAAAATAAAATTATAGTTAAAATTTGAATTAATTAAGTTTTGCTTTGTTATATGCAAATTGCAGATCACTAATGCATACAATAAATGTTATCAATTTTTTGTAGTGAATAAAGAAAATCAATGAATTATTGTTTTAAGTCAAGTCTCTAAAGGGATTACACCATAAATGGTCGGTTCACTACCTGTTGTGTTATAACACAACCATTAATGAAATGACAATATATTTTATTCTTCAAACAACACTGTGTTGTCGTCAATGTTGTGACAAAATTACTTTAAAAAGCTTTCAAATCTATTAATATATTGTTTGTTTCTCTAAGTGCTAAACAAAAACACATAAATATTTTTATCTCATTTCAATAAAATTTAGATATAAAAGAGCTATATTTTTAAAAGCATTTGTAATAAAATATATGATAAAAGTTTGAAAATTTGTATTACTTTTTGATCTTAATTACTGTAAGCACTAAAACTATACATAAAATTTAATACTAATTATCAGGGTTGGAAAAATACAAGATTTTGAATTTTGACTTTGTATAATACAATGTATTGATGTACAGTATTATACAAATTCTAAAACTAATATATACTATGTTGAAAAATTTATTAAAAATATAATTGCTAGAAAATGCATTATTGTTATAATAATCATTGTTTTTAAATAATTAAAATGAAATAATTAAAAATTAAAATATATTATTAAATCTGTTTTTATTATAAAACATGGCTTATTTTGTTTATATCAATGTTTTTAACACTAAGTTGCGCTAAATTTTGTTTGTATGTAAAATTGGCCAATACAAACAATTGGTCTCTGCCAACAATGCTAATTACAATATGTTTAACTTGTTTATGTGCATATTAGATAAAATATTATATGCATTTTTTCAATTTATAATTAAAAGTTAATTAAAAGTTTTATATATTTTAAATAAAATATAAATAATTAACTGTTTAATTTGCTGAAATAATAAAAATATAAAGATACAATTTTATGATTTAATTTAATAATACTGTAAACAAATATTAAAATATGTTAATTAAAATGGCTATAAATTTTTAACTCGATTATAATATTTTTACTGAATATGATTCGAGAGATTTTGAAATATAAATCTCTATTATATAATCACTTTTTTGTTTGAATTCTTTATCTCTATATTATCTAAGTTTATAAAAATATGAATGTTTTGGTTAAATATAAAGCTTATCTATTATTTATATAAGTAATCAATTTTATCTAAAAATAATACAATTGTTGCAATTTTTTAATAAAAATAATAAACTATTGTATGCAATCATACTATATTTTTATTTATACTTCATTAACTGTTAATACAAAAAAATCTCATATATTTAATATATACAGTACTTATGTTTTAGTATATTATAAGAATAGATTAAATTTATAAATAGTACTAAGGTTTCTGCTCACAGATAATCACAAAAATCAATTTTAAAACAAATTATTATTTTTTATTAATATAACTTATTATACACTATTTATATCATTTTTACTACATTTAGTTAGTTAAAATATTAATAAATAAAAATTAAAAAAATTGTGATTTGTAATAGTGATATTATAATTAACAATATACAGTATATTATATTATATACAAGTTATATTAATTAAATTAATTATATGAATATTATATGATATAAATATTATAAATAAAGATACAAATTTATGATTAATATTATAAAACAGTAATTCTGATATATTTTAACAGTTTTTCAATACATTATATAATTTAATAAATATATTTATTTTATATACTGTATATTCATAATCTTATATTTATAATTTATACAATTTATAAATAGTGTCAATTAAACTTAAATACATTATCTTAAAATAGTTTTTCATAGTCTTTATAGTTTTTAATAGTGTATTTTTATGGTATATTTTATAAATTACATTATAGAGGTTTATAACATACATTATTTAACAAATTAAATTAAAAAATAATTACTGTATTTTTGCAATTATTTTTTGAATTTATTTTTCGAAATATAATAAATCTATATATTATTAGTACTGATTTATATAGAATTTTAAAAGACTGCAAGTTTTTAAATATTATAAATATGTAAATTATTATAGAGAATGAAATTAAAAAAAAATATTTTTAAAAAACAAATG